AAGAGTGATCAGGCCCACGTTCAGCGCGATGCTCACTGCCAGTAAGACCCTCTGTGTGATGTTACAGCATTTTGAAGGAGTTTCTGTGGAGTTGATAAGTTCCATCAGGAAAACGCAACTTATTATTATTTTTTAGTCTTATCCGCCATTCCTTTGAAGTGCTCAGGGCGGCATACTTCGTTTTTAGATTCTCAACACCCCTCAGTAACCTGGCTCGATGGCCTCAAACTCCACTTCCTTCATAGACTTCAAAGTGTGGTGAACCTGCCCTGCTGTTTTGGGGGTCCCTGCTTCTCATTCTGCTGAGTGTGGCTCTGGACTTCTGCCCCCAAGTCCTGCCCCCAATTGTGCCACTGGGTAGATTAGGCTGAGACAGATTAAATGCCCCAAAGTGATTTTTTGTTGCTGAGCAGGGATTTGATCACTTGTGGGGTGCCTCAGGGTTCCGTCCTCTCCCCCATGCTTTTTAACATCTATATGAAGCCGCTGGGAGAGTTCATCAGGGGGTTTGGACTGGGTGTCCATCAATATGCAGATGACACCCAGCTCTACCTCACTTTCAAATCAGAACCAGTGAAGGCGGTGAAGGTCCTGTGTGAGTGCCTGGAGGCGGTTGGAGGATGGATGGTGGCTAATGGATTGAGGTTGAATCCTGATGAGACAGAAGTACTGTTCTTGGGGGATGGGTGGGCGGGTGGGTGTGGAGGACTCCCTGGTCCTCAATGGGGTAACTGTGCCCCTGAAGGACCAGGTGTGCAACCTGGGAATCATTTTGGACTCCCAGCTGTCCAAGGAGGCGCAGGTCAATTCTGTGTCCCGGGCAGCTGTCTACCAACTCCACCTGGTACGCAGGCTGAGACCCTGCTTGCCCACGGACTGTCTCGCCAGAGTGGTGCATGCTCTAGTTATCTCCCGCTTGGACTACTGCAATGCGCTCTATGTGGGGCTACCTTTGAAGGTGACCCAGAAACTACAACTAATCCAGAATCTAGACCAGTCATCTAGACTGGTGACTGGGAGCAGCTGCCGAGACCACAGAACACCGGTCTTGAAAGACCTACATTGGCTCCCAGTACGTTTCTGAGCACAATTCAAAGTGTTAGTGTTGACCTTTAAAGCCCTAAACTGCTTCGGCCCAGTATACCTGAAGGAGCGTCTCCAACCCCATTGTTCTTCCTAGACACTGAGGTCCAGCGCCGAGGGCCTTCTGGCAGTTCCCGCCCTGCGAGAAGCAAAGCTACAGGGAACCAGGCAGAGAGCCTTCTTGGTAGTGGCACCCACCCTGTGAAACGCCCTTCCACCAGATGTCAAAGAGAACAACAACTACCTGACATTTAGAAGACATCTGAAGGCAGCTCTGTTCAGGAAAGTTTTTAATGTGTGACATTTTAATGTATTCTTAATCTTTGTTGGAAGCCGCCCAGAGTGGCTGGGGAGACCCAGCCAGATGGGCGGGGTATAAATAAATTAGTATTAGTTTTAGTTTTAGTATTAGTATTATTGAACCCCTGCCTCCTGAGCCTTAATCTGACACTCTGACCACTACACCTCACTCCCCCTCCTCATAAACAATAACAGCCCGCAACTTCACTAAGAAATTAAACACCCTTGACTGGAATTACTGCATGCCAGCCAGCTGAAACCTGCAATGTCCAAGTTTCAGTCCATACCTTGTGGCTTTGGGGGAACAGGTGGTGAGCAGGTGTTTCTGCTTCTTTCATCTACTGCCATGTAACCTTCTTCATCTTCCATCTTCTAATATCTCTCTTAAGTCCCCAGGGGAGGAGGTTCTGCAAGCAAGGTAGTTCCTGAAAGCTAGACTTTCTGCCTTTGGAAGGAGAATTTAGCAGTTTTTAGACCACTCAAGCTGCAAAAATAGCACGTAAAAATAGCCCTCTACTCCTCAGTCTCATGAATATGAGACTTCCCCAATTGCCGTGGGAGTTGACCACACCAAACATGTGAAGCAATGCACCTTTCCACTCTGTTGGTTTGTGACACACTCTCTTGTGCAATGATTGCGTACAGCGGCAGCACACCGTAAACTGAAGCTGAATCCTGCGAAGAAGGAAATCCTGTGGGTTAGCGGTTTGCAGGTTTGGGAAACTGGAAGCTCACCTGTTATCGATGGGGTTGCACTTTCCCCGAAGGAACAGGTATGTGGCTTGGATGCACACTGTACATAAAAAGGTAACGGACCCCTGGGTGGTTAAGTCCAGTCAAAGGTGACTATGGGGTGCGGTGCTCATCTCGCTTTCAGGCCGAGGGAGCCGGCGTTTGTCCACAGACAGCTTTCCGGGTCATGTGGCTTCTGGCGCAACGGGATACCATGACGGAAGCCAAAGTGCATGGAAACACCATTTACCTTCCTGCCACAGCAGTACCTATTTATCTACTTGCACTGGTGTGCTTTTGAACTGCTAGGTTGGCAGGAGCTGGGATAGAGCAATGGGAGCTCACCTCATCGCAGGGATTCGAACGCCGACCTTCTAATTGGCAAGCCCAAGAGGCTCAGTGGTTTAGACCACAGCGCCACCTGTGTCGTGTTATATCACTTTACCAGTCATGGCTAACCCCATGGGTAGGCAAACTAAGGCCTGGGGGCCGGATCAGGCCCAATCTCCTTCTAAATCCAGCCCACGGGCGGTCCAGGAATCAGCGTGTTTTTACATGAGTAGAATATGCCCTTTTATTTAAAATGTATCTCTGGGTTATTTGTGGGCCCTGCCTGGTGTTTTTCCATGAGTAGAATGTGTGCTTTTATTTAAAATGCATCTCTGGGTTATTGTGGGGCATAGGAATTCATTCATTCCTCCCCCCCCCAAAAAAAAATATAGTCCGGCCCCCCGCAAGGTTTGAGGGACAGTGGACCGGCCCCCTGCTGAAAAAGTTTGCTGACCCCTGGCTAACCCCAAAGATGAACTGTAGTTTGCAAAAAGAGCCACCATTCCAGGCACCCTTAACAAGCGACAGTTCCTGGGGTTTTCTATGAGTATTCAAGTGCTATTAATAAGTGTGAATGTGGCTTTAGGTCCTTCGCTGTCCCTGGAGGCAGAGCTGGCTGAGTGACTGAGTGCTTTGTCCCAGCTTCGGTTGATGCACCAGCTGTGGCCATTCCTGGACAGGGACACAGCCTGGTCTCAGAGGTGCAGACACTGGTAATTTCTAGCTTGCATGGCTTCAATGTGCTCCTCGCAGGGCTGCCCTCGAGGTTGGTGAGGAAACTGTAGCTAGCGCAGAATGATGGGCTTCAGTTTCTAGCCAGAACAGCTCTGCACCAGCGAGGAAAGCTTTGAATTGGTTGCCAGTGTATAACTAAGCCACGTTCGAGGTGCAGTGGTACCTCGGGTTACATACGCTTCAGGTTACATACTCTTCAGGTTACAGACTCCGCTAACCCAGAAATAGTACCTCAGGTTAAGAACTTTGCTTCAGGATGAGAACAGAAATCGTGCAGCGGCGGCAGTGGGAGGCCCCATTAGCTAAAGTGGTGCTTCAGATTAAGAACAGTTTCAGGTTAAGAACGGACCTCCGGAACGAATTAAGTACTTAACCCGAGGTAACACTGTAACATGAAATCATAATAGGTGTAAATATATGATGCAAACTACTAATAACTATAAATAGCAGAATGTAGGCACCCTACATATAGAAATGAGCAATTACGAATTAAGTTCTTAACCCGAGGTACCACTGTATTAGAATTGTAGAGTTGGAAGGGATCCCCTACAATGTAGGAATCTCAGCTAGATCGTACATGGCCTTCCAACCTCTGCTTCAAATAACCTGCTTTGAATTTCTGCTTTGGATCTTGTGGCGCCTCTTTTTCGGCCTCGTACTCAAGCTGACGTTTCTCCTTTTTCTAGCTTGTTCCGTCTCAAAGTTTGGCAGTATTTCTAGCTCCTTTGCAATCTCAGGGGCATCTATCAAAACCCCACAAGGCTTCTTGGACACTTGGGATTGGCTTGCAGCTGAATTTAAACAGCTTCCTTATTTTTTAGTAGTTTGCAAGATGGACTTTGAAAAGGATGTTGTATCATGTTGACACGAAATACCACAAACTTGCCCCAGCAGTTTAAAAGCAAGTGTGTTTTAACTGTGTGTGTGTGCAATACAGAACCTCCTGCATTGCAGGGCACTAGACTAGATTGCCCTTAGGGTTCCCTTCCAAATCACAGCAGGTATAGGGAACCTTTGTGTTAAGTTGTGGGTGAACATATCAGACGACACAGCAATTCTTCAAACAGCTCTTGCTTATTCACAGGCCAGGACAGAACTGAACTGAAGGGTTCAGTCAGCCTGCTTATATAGAGCTCCACTACAACGTAACTGTAACAATTTTCTAAAACTATCCAGTCACTGAACGTCACTTTCGATCCCTTATTTGCATAACTATCTACAGTATCCCCCTGCTGGCCGAGGGTGAGAACTTCAGTACATAACACTTTGGCTCTCCAGCTATTGCTGAACTACAACTCCCATACTGATATTCTATGAAGAGCTCAGAGTTGCATTGGATTGTTAGGCCTACAACCCAGTTCCGGGATTAAACTGGATAGCAAACTTCAAATAACAACCTTGCTGTATGCGTCTATGCCATGGGTAGGCAAACTAAGGCCCGGGAGCCGAATCCGGCCCAATCGCCTTCTAAATTTGGCCCGCGGATGGTCCAGGAATCAGCGTGTTTTTACATGAGTAGAATGTGTCCGTTTATTTAAAATGCATCTCTGGGTTATTTGTGGGGCATAGGAATTCATTATTATTTTGAAAATATAGTCCAGCCCCCCACAAGGTCTGAGGGACAGTGGACCGGCCCCCTGCTGAAAAAGTTTGCTGACCCCTGGTCTATGCTGAGACACGCAGTGTAAGGTGTTTTCTTTGCAAAAGGGAATGCAAAGGTATCAGAATGAACAACCAGACCACAATCTGGGATTTTCCTTTGCAAAGGAATATACAGACAAATAACCAGACCCAAAACGAAAGCTCAAAGCTTTATTACCTGACAAAATACAACAAAGTGTTTTCGCCCTTGTGGGGATTGACCCTGCGAAGATTTTCCCCTATTCATATACGCATCTACCAAAGACCTCAGCCAGAGATCCTGCACAAGTGCAAATAGGGAAAAGGGGAGATATGCAGACGGGTTCAGCTCTTTGAATTCTGCTGTTTAAGTCTTCTCTGAATTGTAATCCTTTCTTCAAACTGTGATCCTTTCCTTAATTGGCTTCTTCCAATTGTCCTTCTCCGAACTGATTGTCTCATTCCACGTGGTCTTCTCTACAGTTGCATTCCCTGCCTTCTCTGAGCTGGTATTGAGAAGGGACTGTTTTTATAGTGACACGTCCTGGCAAACAGAATTCCGCCTCCCTCCATTGAATCCAGAAAGCCAATTGGCTTATGAAAATAGCATTCTTCTCTGCCAGGATCCAGGTCTGAACTATCTCAATTTTGTTCTCTCAACATGCACGGGAACTTTTTCTCAAAGTAGTCCAGACTGCCAATATTGCTCATCTGCTAGACCAAACCTGCTTTGAAGCCCTCTGATAAGCAAAATCTTTAAACCATGCTTAAAGATACAAGATGTATACAAGATGCTAAATTAGCACAAAGTAGGATGTTGCCCTGACCAATGACTCACATGCTCCCAAGTTACTCGAAGCACCTATGGCGAACCTATGCTCGAAGTTTATAACGTTAAAAATGCGTCATTAAAATGTGACACCAGAGGGCGCTGCAGAGCAGCAAGCCACTGGCAATGGAAAACTGCATTATTGGTAAACATCACAGTTGTACCTTGGTTCCTTAAAAAGAAAACCAGTTTGCTTGCAATTAAGGAGATATAACTATATAGGAACTTCTCCCTTAGTCTAGGCCTCTATAATTTGAGAGGATTATCTTACTTATTGTTCATTACATTTGTAATACAATGGTACCTCGGGTTACAGATACTTCAGGTTACAGATGCTTCAGGTTACAGACTCCACAAACCCAGAAATAGTACCTCAGGTTAAGAACTTTACCTCAGGATGAGAACAGAAATTGCGTGGTGGCGGCGGGAGGCCCCATTAGCTAAAGTGGTGCTTCAGGTTAAGAACAGTTTCAGGTTAAGAACGAACCTCCAGAACAAATTAAGTTCCTAACCTGAGGTACCACTGTACACCTTTCCTTCCAAAGGACCCCAGGATCGCAAGCATCGAAACATTAAAACAATGCAACTGAAATCAAACCATTTAAAGACAATTAAAAACTATGTAAAAATACAGGAAGGTGCTATGGAGAGACATCAGTCAGGTTTTCCAGGGTCACAGATCCTAGACTGTTCCAGAGGCGGAGTCCAGTGTCTCAGGGACGCACAATAAGTTCGGTTCCATCCCACACACGGAACCAAGGGAGAACCTTTTCCCCTCCAAAAGCAGCTGAACTGAACGTGTAGATTGTGGTCTGGGTTTCCGGATCGAAGAAATCCACCTGCCCTGCAGTGTAGTCCAAAAACACGCGGATCCACTGTGGCCTCTTGCGAAAGGAGAGCTTTGTGTGGGGAGTGGTGAAAGCTATGTAGTTCCCGAGTCCCTCGTATTCTCCTATCCCCCAGATGCCCGCAGCCGGGCTGAAGTCTGTCAGCCCTTGTCTCTTCACAGACTCCTTGGCCACCCCCACTGCCCATTCCCCCTTGCCCTGCACACCAACCTCCCAGCAGTGTTTGCCTGAAGTGAATCCCTCCCTGCCCAGCACACAAACGCGCTGGGTAAATCTCTTGGTGTTGTTGGGAAGAGTCTGCTCCACCTCTCCCCATCGCACACTTTTCTCATCCTTGGATACCACCAGCCGCCGGTGGGCCGTGTCTGGATCCAGAGTCACACGGGCTGCAAAAAAAGGAAATGAAGGATCAGACCGTATGTTAAGTTGTGGGTGAACATATCAGACGACACAGCGATTCTTCAAACAGCTCTTGCTTATTCACAGGCCGGAACAGAACTGAACTGAACTGAAGGGTTCAGTCAGCCTGCTTATACAGAGCTCCAGTACAACGTAACTGTAACAATTTTCTAAAACTATCCAATCACTGAACGTCACTTTCGATCCCCTATTTGCATAACTATCTACAGTATCCCCCTGCTGGCCCAGGGTGAGAACTTCAGTACATAACACCATAGGATGGTAGATTCCTCCCTGGCTGCTATATTCCACCTTCAAAAACTTGGAGAAATATATTTGATTGGCAGGTGCAGAGGCAAAAGCAAGCAGAGCAGCAGATGTGACTGTGTTGTCAGCTGCTCACCTGTTTTTGAATCCTCCTGCTGGCTTGGCTGGAGAAAGGAGAGAAGGTTTGTTACCTCTCTCCTCTCTCCAGCTAGGCCAGGAGGAGGCCTTATCGTAGCTGTCAACATTTCCCCCTTTTTAAGGGAAATTCCCTTATTCCGAATAGGATTCCTCGCAAGAAAAGGGGAAAGTTGACAGCTATGGGCCTTATCTCAGTTCAAGAACCCATTCCGCAGGTCAAAAAGGAATGCGAGCCAAGCAGGTCGGGTGAGGAGTGTGGCCTGGGGATTAATCCTAAAGGTGAGACACAGAGGTGCAAAGGTCGCAACAGGGCTTGAGGTTCCTCAGCCCTTGCCTACTCTTTCCGTTGACACTTCAACGTGAAAGTGGACCCTTCCATTCCTCCTTGCTCCCTGTTTTCAATTTCCTCCTCCAACACACAACTGGGCATACTCAGTCCTCCCTGGGCCATTTTGCAGTAGGTTATTTTTTCCTTGTCACTTTGCCCTCGTAGGATTTGTACTCATCCACTGAAAACGTCAGTGGACGCGGGTGGCGCTGTGGGTTAAACCACAGAGCCTAGGACTTGCCGATCAGAAGGTCGGTGGTTCGAATCCCCGCGACGGGGTGAGCTCCCATTGCTCAGTCCCTGCTCCTGCCAACCTAGCAGTTCGAAAGCACATCAAAGTGCAAATAGATAAATAGGTACCGCTCCAGTGGGAAGGTAAACGGCATTTCTGTGCGCTGCTCTGGTTCACCAGAAGCGGCTTAGTCATGCTGGCCACATGACCCGGAAGCTGTACGCCGGCTCCCTCAGCCAATAAAGCGAGATGAGCACCGCAACCCCAGAGTCGGTCACAACTGGACCTAATGGTCAGGGGTCCCTTTACCTTTACAGTGTGAGTTGCTTCCCGCTTATACAGGGAACTTACAAGCTACGTGCTTTGAACACGTGCGGTTCCAACTATGCATAGTTTAAGGCTGACCGGCTGACATCACACAGATTAAATGCACAGTGGCAGATTGGCTTAGAAGCCCTTTGTGCAGGGTATCCCCAGTGTGGAAACAGATTTTAAGCTCTCTGCCCTGTTTACAGGGCCCTGGGAGGATCTCCTTGCTTGAGTGGTAAGACCCATTCAGTGTGCCAGCTCTGGAAGGTAAGATTGCTGGAGTAGGGGCAGTTCCAAGGGGCGTGGTTCGAGTATACACGATTGCCACCCCTAGAACGTAACTTCCACCTAAGCTGAGAGTTACCTGTATTTGTAACTTTGCTATCTGAAGCAGCGTCCATATATTCTATCACTCGGTAGTAAACCAGTTTTTATTCCTCTTGTGTGTGAACGTCTTGTGGGCAAAAGGTGAAGGCTTGTAAACACATATTCACAACGAGCGCACATTATAACTCTCGCAAAAGGTCCCAGACCTCTTGGTAGCGTGTGTAGGGACGAGAGCTGGACACTGGTCTTTAGCTGGTGGGTTGAAACTCACCACCAAGTTGCAGTTTGTCTTAAGGCGTCTCACAACAGTAGTAAAAAGGTAAAGGGACCCCTGACCATTAGGTCCAGTCGTGGCCGACTCTTGGGTTGCGGCGCTCATCTCGCTTTATTGGCCGAGGGAGCCGGCGTGCAGCTTCCAGGTCATGTGGCCAGCAGGACTAAGCCACTTCTGGCGAACCAGAGCAGCGCATGGAAATGCCATTTACCTTCCTGCCACTTGCACTTTGAGGTGCTTTCGAACTGCTAGGTTGGCAGGAGCAGGGACCGAGCAACGGAAGCTCACCCCGTCGCGGGGATTCGAACCGCCGACCTTCTGATCGACAAGTCCTAGGCTCTGTGGTTTAACCCACAGCACCACCCGCATCCCTTAACAGTAGTACTACCACCTTACAAATGTATGGTAAAATTATTAAGGAGGGTTATGGTAGGCTTTGCATTCAAAGAGAGACAAAGGTGTTTAAATTACCTGTTGGATTTCCTGGAAGTGCAGTGCATGAATTGGGGGAACTGGGCGAGCAGGAACCGCCTTCCGCGTTTCTTACCTGGAAAACTTTCAGAATAGCTCAGGTTAGGGCAGGGATAGAGAACCTGTGTCCTTATGTAACCAGCATTGACCAACAGTAGGCCTCATGCACAGGCCGCCCCCTGACAACAAACAGTATAATAAACTAAACACACGTTTCTTTATTATGTATGTAAATTATGTACCGTATTTTTTGCTCTATAAGACGCACCAGACCACAAGACACACCTAGTTTTTGGAGGAGGAAAACAAGAAAAAAATATTCTGAATCTCAGAAGCCAGAACAGCAAGAGAGATCGCTGCTCAGTGAAAGCAGCAATCCCTCTTGCTGTTCTGGCTTCTGGGATAGCTGCGCAGCCTGCATTCGCTCCATAAGACGCACACACATTTCCCCTTGCTTTTTAGGAGGGAAAAAGTGAGTCTTATAGAGCAAAAAATACGGTATATACTGTCGGGCCGTCCAACACCCTTCAGCGCCTGAGGCAAGGTCTGCCACCAACGTCCTCCGTCCAGATGGTCAGGTAGGAAGAGACCAGCAGCAACATGGCTGCTCTGTGGGAGCCTCCCCTTTTCACTGCCAGTCTTGACAGAAAAGGGGCATTCCACAAGGTGTTGTTGCTGGTGTCTCCCCAACTTTGGCTTTCAAATGTGTTTTTGGCTTACTCAGTCTGGTTCGGGATCTCCTGCTCTCTGTGGAACATGCCACTTGAGGCAGATCACCTCACACTGCCTCATTGATGCACCAGTCGTGCTAGGGCAACAAGCTGAAGCCTTTCTAGCCCCTCTCTGCACCTCAGGTTTTGCCACCTCCCTCTGCCACATGGTAGAGCCGGCCCTGATATACTGTATAAATATAAAACTATGATTCACTGGATATACATCGAGCAGGATTGTAAAAACATCTTCAGAACTCCTGGGGCTGCGCTGGACAAAAAAGAGAGGAGGAGGAGGAGGAGAAGATCTAACATTTCAAGAGATTTCAAACTCCAAGGGCAAGTTCTGCCCGGGATAAAGGTCACACTTTCTTGCAGGCATACTCCACTACATTCCACAACAATATCTGATGGTAGATAAAGAACCTGGAGAAATATGCAATTACCGCAAGCAAGACTTAAAAGAAATATCCAGGCCTCCTCCAAACTCCTGTGGATCAGCCCATCTGCCTGCTTCTGGAACGTTCTTAGAGGACAGGCTACTGAGCATGCTCAGCTACTGTGCAGAGAAGAAGAAGAGGGGTCCATTGATAGGTTTTTGGTTTTGCAAAGTATTGTCCCGATCTTAATAATGAGGATATAGCAACATGCTTTACGCTTAGACTCTCATCACTGCTGATCATCTTGAGTGTTGTTAGTAGACCCTTATTCCCTGCACAGATACACAATTATCTGAGCGGGTTAACCATCAGTCCCTCTTCCCAGGGAACGGGGATCTCCTAAGAAATCTCACCACCCCTAACTACACCACACCAGTGGTGTAGTGGTTAAGAGCAGTGGACTCATAATCTGGGGAACCGTGTTCGCGTCCCCGCTCCTCCACATGCGGCTGCTGGGTGACCTTGGGCCAGTCACACTTCTCTGAAGTCTCTCAGCCCCACTCACCTCACAGAGTGTTTGTTGTGGGGGAGGAAGGGAAAGGAGATTGTGAGCCGCTTTGATACTCCTTAGGGTAGTGATAAAGCGGGATATCAAATCCAAACTCTTCTTTTTCTTCTAACAAACCTTCAGTAGCCTGCTTGATCTCTGCTTCTGCCTCTGTTTCTGGACTGCTCTCTGCCACAGCCTCTTCCTGCTCACTAAACCCTGTTGCCTCTTTCTGCTCCCTACACCCCCTCCTCCAAGTCGGCTCCCTCTTCTCTCTCCAGCCACTCCTCGTTGTCCCACCACCAGTCCCCTGGCTCTGAGTCTTCTTCTCCCACCACTCCTTGGCATCCAGCCAGTCCATGATGACAGCTTGAGGTTCCCCATGTCTCTGACACAGGAGCAGGGCCAGGAAAAGATGGGGCAGCCCCACCATGAGTTAGAATACGTCAAAAGCCTACCTATAAGAACAATGATCAGGGCCACGTTCAGAGCGATGCTGACTGCCAGTAAGACCCTCAGCGTGACTTTCCAGCATTTCGAAGGAGTTTCTGTGGAGTTGATAAAGTTTCATCAGGAAAATGCAACCACATCCATTTTATGAAAAGCAGAAGCAAATGGAGTGCTCGGATTCAGGGTTCCAAGTGAACCCATCTGGGAATACTCCATTCCACCACCACCCCTCCAATTGGTCATCATTCTGTGCCCCTGGAGTGAGCAATATTATTTTCATTGGTTTGTTTTGGGGTTCCCTTCCATTAGGGTCCCACTGCTGCCCACGCCCTCCAATATTTATTGTACTTTGCAAAACCTGGAATCCACACTCTGGCTTGCTGATTCCGTAGATGGTGCTGTTTTTGCTACCTAAGGATCCCCACTTAGAGAATGAATTCACGATTACTAGATAAGGGGTGGTAGTTAGCTAGATTTTACTCAGAGCAGACCCACAGAAATGAATGAACAGGATTAACACGGGTTCATTGATTTTGCTCTGTCTGCTCTGAGTAAAACATAGCTGAATAGCACCAAAGATTGTTTTGCCCTCCTTGCCACAAATGGCCAATGTTCAGAGAGGATTGAGGCTAGTTTAAAGCCACTGCAGGACTTTGAGCTGAACCGAGAGCTGAAGTAACGGCTTCTTGCTCATGTGCCTGATGACTGCTATGGTACAAGGAGCCTGGCCTTGATATTCCAGAAGGGGCAGGTTTGCCATACGTCTAGAATTTCCTGGACATGTCCAGGATTTAACTGGGGGAAATAGCGTCTGGGGTTGGGGGGAGATTTCGTAAAATCGGCACAAAAAATCCAGAATTTTGAGGTCAACAACTTTTGTGTCCTGAATTTCACTTCCAGAAATATGGCAACCCTAAGAAGGGGGCTTTTTAATGGGATTACAGAAATGTCAGGCAGGTGTAAAGTCCTACTCTTGGATATACTTAGGAATACAGTTGCAAAAGCAACAGCTATGCAAGCAACTGGTTGGCCCCTGAGAGATGTTGGCTCCTTTTCTTTAAGTTCTTATGAGTCACAGTGAAGTGATCAGATCCTGGAAGGAACCTTGCCTAATATTAGGCATGACGTACCGCCCTAAAAGTTTCCATTCTTGCTGAATAGTTCCTCACCACAGAGGCAAAGAAAGAAGCGCAATCCGCCTGAATAGGCTACTTTCCCAAGCATGACTCTTTTACAGCTATATGTGGAGAGCTGATAAGATCAATCATACCGAATGCCTGGTCCTATAGGCGGCATACACACCATACAGTTAAAATACACCCCCCCACACACCATAATCCTGGGAACTGTAGTTTGTTAAGGGTGCTGGGGGTGGTTGCTCTGTGAGAAGTAAACTGCAGTTCTTAGGACTGGGAGGTGTGGATGCTCTAGGTAAAGCTAAAGGGATGCCTGACCATTAGGTTCAGTCATGACCAACTCTGGGGTTGCGGCGCTCATCTCTCTTTATTGGTCGAGGGAACCAGCTTACAGCTTCTGGGTCATGTGGCCAGCATGGCTAAGCCCCTTCTGGCAAACCAGAGCAGCGCATGGAAACACCGTTTACCTTCCTGCCGGAGCGGTACCTATTTATCTACTTGCACTTTGATGTGCTTTCGAACTGCTAGGTTGGCAGGAGCAGGGACCGAGCAACGGGAGCTCACCCCGCCGTGGGGATTCGAACCGCCGACCTTGTGATCGGCAAGTCCTAGGCTCTGTGGTTTAACCCACAGCGCCACCTGCGTCCCTGTGGGTGCTCTAAATGTGTTTTAATTATACGTAGCCTAGTCTCTTGTTGAAAACAACTGAACCCTTAACATGGTCTCCTTCAGTAATAATAATAATAATAATAATAATTTATTATTTATACCCCACCCATCTGGCTGGGCTTCCCCAGCCACTCTGGGCAGCTTCCAAAAAAATATTAAAATACTGTAATACATCAAACATTAAAAGCTTCCCTAAACAGGGCTGCCTTCATATGTCTTCCATCTCCTTGGCTTGTACAGGGCCTGTGCTGTTTGGGGTATATATTCTATAAGATAAGCTTAATTGTTGGAGGAAGAAGAAAGCTCTCTTGAGAAGAGACCTGAGTCCATTTATCGTTCTCCACAAAGAGCTCTGACCTGGGTTGGGTGATTTTTTGCAGTGGAGTTTTCTCCACTCTGGGACTCGAGGCGGCTTACACGAAATTGAAAACAGGCCAAAAATTAAGAATTAGACTGAGAAAGAATAAATGCCCCAAGGTGATATTTGTGGCTGAGCAGGGAGGCTTTGCTCCCAAGGCTCCCAAACCTTATTACAATACTCTGGCCACTAAACCACACACACTCTCCTATTAACAGTAACAAGCCAGTGACTTTGGTAAGAAATCAAACACAGTGGCGTAGCGTGGGGGGTGCAAGGGGGGCCGGCCACACCGGGTGCAACATCTGGGGGTTAGGGGGCGCAAATCCACGGGTTAGGGGGCGCAAATTACTTGCCTTGCCCCGGGTGCTAACAACCCACGCTACGCCACTGATCAAACACCCTTGACAGGAATATTTGCTTGCCAGCTAGTTAAAGCTTACTGTAACTCAGTTTTGGTCCATACCTTGTGGCTTTGGGGGAACAGGTGGCGCATAGGTGTCTCTGCTTCCTCTGTCTATTGTCATGTATCCTTCTTCATCCTCCATCCTCTAGGCTTTCTCTTCAGCCCCGAGTAAAGCAGCTTCTGCAAGCGAGATGATTCCTGGAAGCTAGCCTTTCTGTCCTTAGAAGGGAGAGTTCTTAACTTTCATAGACGATTCAAGTTGTAAAAAAAACAACAACCACCCATATGTAAAAATTGGCGCAGGAACAACCCTCCTCCTCCGTCTTGTGCAAGTGAGACTTCCTCAGTTCCCAGCGATATCATCTGGAGATGAACACACCAAACATGTTTGACAACCTCCCTGAGGTTTGCGACTGACTCGCTTATGCAATGACGACGTACGGCAGTTGGCATCCTATGAACTGAAGCTGGATCCTGCAATGAAGGGAAATCCTGTGGGTTAGTGGATTTCCAGCTTCAGGAAATTGGCAGCTTACCTGTTCTTGATGGGGTTGCACTTTCCCTGAAGGAACAGGTATGTAGCTTGGATGTGCACATTGTACATTTAAAGCACTCTTATACCACTTATTACTTAATTGGTTTTAATTGGTTACTTTTTTCCCTGTTTCCTGCCTATATTTTTAGCTGTTTCTGTTTCAGTTGTAAGCCACCTAGAGTCCTCATCAGGGAAAAAGACAGGATATAAATATTGGAAGAAGAAGAAGAAGAAGAAGAAAAAGAAGAAGTAGAGGAGGAGGAGCTTTTTCTGGGGGGGACACAGGTGTACACATACCCCTAAACATTTTGTGAATCTAAGTTTGGCCTCATTAAAGTGCAGAATTTCAATATGAGTAGGAAAATGAGAGTATCTTTAAACATTATTATTTTTTTAGAAAAAAGCACTAATAATAATAATATTAATAATAATGCCTCCCCCAAAAGAATCTGGGGAACTGTAGCTTGTGAAAAGTGCCGACCTCTTACAGCCGCTATTCCAGGCACCCTTAACAAACTACAGTTCCCAAGATTCCCTCGGTTGTCTTTTCTCTTGGGTGACGTTTATAAGACATTTTCGAAATAGTGATTTGTAAATGGGGAAGCGTGAAACTATATATATCATCAAAAAATTGCCAGGAAGGGAAGCTTCTTTCTTGCGGTGAAAGCATTTGTTTTCATAGAATCACAGAACTATAGAGTTGGAAGGGAGCTCAGGAGTTCTCTAGCATAACCCCCTGCAATGCAGGAATCTGAGCTGAAGCGTTCAAGACAGGTGGCCGTCCAACCTCTGCTTAAAAGCCTCCCAGGAAGGAGAGTCCACAGCCTCCCGAGGGAGACCATTCCACTGTCCAACAGCTCTTGCTATCAGAAAGACTTAACAAATTTATTGTGCCACTTCAAGTCTACTTCGTCAGATGCACGGGGTGAGACCTTAGTTGCTAGGCATGTAGAAGAAGAAGAAGAAGAGTTTGGATTTGATATCCCGCTTTATCACTACCCGAAGGAGTCTCCAAGCGGCTCACATTCTCCTTTCCCTTCCTCCCCCACAACAAACACTCTGTGAGGTGAGTGGGGCTGAGAGACTTCAGAGAAGTGTGACTGGCCCAAGGTCACCCAGCAGCTGCATGTGGAGGAGCGGGGAAGCAAACCCGGTTCACCAGATTACGAGTCTACTGGTCTTAACCAAACTGTCCGTGTCAGATGATGATGATTGACTTGGACTGGGTGGAATTGGCCTGGCCTGAATCTCTGCTCTCCTATTTCCCATGAGCAGCTGTCCAACAAGAGGTCACCATGGAGTCAAAAGTAACCCAAGGAACACTGTCTGGAAACAAAGGGATTGCCGGGCTACCTTTTCCTGTGCATTTATGATCTATCTCGAACAGGCACAACCTATCACTCTGACCACAGTTCCTAGGTTTAATTTGTAATAACAAATTTAAGGTCTTATATATATATTATAAATGTTCATAAATGCACCAACCAAGCACATACATAGATAGGTGGACTACATGTCGGGAGCAGCACAGGAAGACCGCCCTGAAACCATTTTGACTCCCAAACTGACCAAATGTTTTCTCTGCAAAGAGGGAGGGGGCGAGGGAACCTTCCCATTGTCTCAGGAATTGGGAAATCACCATCTCAAAGAAGTGGCCAGACTACCAGGAAAGGCAATCAGATAAGGCATTATCAGATAACCTGGCAGACAGGAAAAACAACAACGTTCAAATTTCTGTTGTAGACCGCCTTTTCTGTGATGTGGGTGTGATGTTTGTGGGGGGTGGTCTTGGGTTACACCCCTTCTGTGATGTAGGTATGATGTATGGAGGGGTGGTCTTGAGCTCCAGGCAAGGGAATTTAAAATGTCTATATAAGGGGCAGGCACACCTTTGTTCTGGGTCCTCCTCCTTTCCTGCGTGTGAGGGGATTACCCTGTTGCAACAGTTCAATAAAGATCAGGCTTACTAGCTGTTTTGCTTCTCAGTATTCTCTGGTTGGCCTCTGTTATTTTCTCCCACCGATGGAGAACCTACAAAGGACTCTATAAAAGGCTCTTGCATATAAGGGAATAAGGGCAGATTTTATTTACAACAATTCCTGGATATCAGGCAGATTGATTGGCTAAGGTGGGCATCTGGGGCTCAGCCCGGACACTGAGGTCCAGCTCTGAGGGCCTTCTGGTGGTTCCCTCCCTGCAAGAAGTGAGGTTACAGGGAACCAGGCAGAGGGCCTTCTCAGTGGTGGCGCCCGCCCTATGGAACACCCTTCCATCAGAAGCCAAGGAAATAAACAACTATCTGACTTTCAGAAGACATCTGATGACAGCCCTGTTTGGGGAAGTTTTTAATGTTTGATGTTCTATCGTGCTTTTAATGTTGTGTTGGGAGCCGCCCAGAGCGGCTGGGGAAACCCAACCAGATGAATGGGGTATAAATGATAATTGCTATTACTCAGTGATTAGCTGCTTTGAAGGGATGCAGGGGAATCACTTGCATTGCTGCCACACTTTATGAATTGTCCCTGGGGATTGTCCCTTCCTCTGAGGCAGACCGAGGGGGGGGGCGCTTGGGGGTGATGTCATGAAAGGGCAGGAAATTGTTCCGCATTTAATCTTATGATGGTAGCGTAATAACTGCAAAGGAAGAAGCAGAGAGAGGAACTTGCGGGCTTTTCTGCCTCAGGCACCAAAAGAGCTTGTGACCCACTTTGCGCACCTTGGTTTGGGGTGGAGAGCAAGACTGGATGCTGCTGTTTGGGTACCAAAAAGGTTTGGACCCGATGGCAGAAGGGGTGCGAGGAAAAAGAAGAGGAAGGGAAGATCAGGAGGAAAAGAGATGTTCTGAGAAGTCTCAAACAGTGGGTGAGAAAAGAAATTGTAAACAACAGTGGGTATTTGTTCAACGATTATATTTTTTCAAAGAAAAGTTTCAGATGAAATAAGACTTTGGGTTAGCAAGAGCATGAGCTCCTCACTTTGCCTTTGGCTGGAGGGGATCTACCTTAGATTCCCCCACTGATTTCCACGCGGGGCAGCTCCCCCTTTTGCACCGGGGAGCTTACATGGTGGGGGCGTAGGGAGGGGGAGAGGCAGCGATCTACCGTATTTTTTGCACCATAACACTCACTTTTTTCCTCCTAGAAAGTAAGGGGAAATGTCTGTGCGTGTTATGGAGCGAATGCCTACAGATGGCGGGGGAATCTGCTGCAGTCGTGAGCAGAGGATCCATGGTTCCCCTTCCTTCCCTCCTCCGTGGCTCGCTTTGAAACAGCAAAGCGGGAGAAGAGCCGCTGAGTGGGGAGGAGAGAGGGACAGAGAGCCTGCTTGCTTTAAAGGAGCAAAGCGGGAGAGGAGAGGAGCCTTCTCCTCTTATACCCCTCTTCTGCATTGTTAACAGCATCCTTCTCCACCCACCCCACGCGTGTTCCTTGTCCCTTGAGTGCTTTTCCTTCCCTCCCCACTTAAAACGTGGTTACAGAGCACGGATCCACATGGATCCTCAGGATTTTTGCACTGGGTCACCCCAAATTCACCATCAGATCACATACCATGTCCATGGCTACAGCTTGCACCAAAAAAATCACGCACCCACTGTTGCCTGGGGCCGCAGTGGTGCAAAAACGTGGTTACAAAGCATGGATCCACATGGATCCTCAGGATTTTTGCATTGGGCTACCCCAAACTCACCGTCAGGTCACATGTCTGTGGCCACAGCATGAACCACAAAAATCATACATCCGCTGTTTCATTTAGAATATTTCTTTTCTTGTTTTCCTCCTCTAAAAACTATGTGCATGTTATGGTCGGGTGCGTGTTATAGAGCGAAAAATACGGTATTTTAGAGAACTCTGTCCAAAGCTCTTCCACTTCGGGGCGCTCTCCAGGCGCCCGATTGGCTGAGAGGGGAGCACAGCGCGCGGCGAGTGTACGCGCCCGGCCAAGCCCTTGCTCCGGGACCCAATGGCTGCTTTCGGAGGAAGGGGACCAAGGGGGCGGCTGGTGGGGAAGGCGCGTGCGCACTCCGCCGCCTCTGCCTCTGCTGCAAGACAACAGGCCGGAGGAGAGTTTTGAAAGCTGCGCTTTGCAAAATGATGGTGAGATAGTACAAAGGGGCCAAAGTGTGGCCGTGGATGTGCGTGATAGAGTCCTGTTTTAAAGCCCCAGGAAGCGCGCTGTGATGGTCTCTCTCTATCTCTCTGGTTCTCTGCTCCTCTTGATTTTACGCGCGCGCGCAAAACGATTAAACGATTGGCATCAATGTCCTCCTGAATCTCTGCCCTATACAGTGGTACCTCGGGTTACATATGCTTCAGGTTACAGATGCTTCAGGTTACAGACTCCGCTAACCCAGAAATAGTACCTCAGGTTAAGAACTTTGCTTCAGGATGAAGCCTTGTGGCGGATACCATGAAATGCTCCTGCAACCCCAAAGCACCCATTTGTATAGCACTGCTGATTCCTAAACTGGAAAGTTGCAACTTGTGGTTGTGGTGACATGAGGTGAGCCAGACCCTACCTTAAATTGAGCAGGGGCGGTTGTGAAAACTCAATTGGGGGTCTCTGGGGTGATGGTAAGGTAAAGGTAAAGGGACCCCTGACCATTAGGTCCAGTCGTGACCGACTCTGGGGTTGTGGCGCTCATCTCACTTTATTGGCCGAGGGAGCCAGCGTACAGCTTCTGGGTCATGTGGCCAGCATGACTAAGCCGCTTCTGGAGAACCAGAGCAGTGCATGGAAACGCCATTTACATTTCCGCCGGAGTGGTACCTATTGATCTACTTGCACTTTGACATGCTTTCAAACTGCTAGGTTGGCAGGAGCAGGGACCAAGCAACGGGAGCTCACCCCGTCGCGGGGATTCGAACCGCCGACCTTCTGATCAGCAAGTCCTAGGCTCTCTGGTTTAACCCAGAGTGCCACCCGCGTCCCTGGGGGTGATGGTGGGTGCTCTCTATTCAATGTCTGGGGCTGAATCTATTGATAGGGGTTCCAGGGTTGTGGAGACTGAGAACATTCTTATGGGAATGTTGTGGATAGTAGCAGAGGATATATTGATTAAATATTATTCTTCCATAGCTAGTGAGTCAGTAGCAGGGTACATTCCCCAGTGTATTGCAGGAAGCTAGTTGGTAGACAGTGTTCTCGAAGCTACGAACATGTGTTTGACCAAACTGCGGGAGGCAGTGGAGGACAGGAGTGCCTGGCGTGCTCTGGTCCATGGGGTCACGAAGAGACAGACACGACTAAACGACTAAACAACAACAAAGTTGGTAGACTCGTTTGAATCTCTTGAGTTAAGCAATCCAGTCTGGCTTATCCAGATGGGGTTATTCCTGGTAAATTCCCCTTTAATCCCTCCAAAAGGAATAAAGACACATCAGTCTTCTTTAAAAGCACTGTAATGATAAGAAGTTTACTTACCTTCAGTTCACAGTAGGTTCCCTGAAGGCAGGCTTTTAGCTTGTAGTGACAAAAAAGAGTTTAAGTTCATCCCATATGGGGATTGATCCCATGTCTCACAGGGTCACACCAATCTACCTGATCACATGCAGGGGGAGGACGCTCCAGACCAGGTGTGACAGGAAGTCCTCCTGGCTGGAGTAACATCCACCTGTGTGTCCACTCTGGGCAAACAGGAAATGTACTTGATTGCTTATGTTGCTTCCTTGCAGGGTCTGGTGACCTTTGAAGATGTGGCTGTGTATTTCAGAGAAAGCCGGGGTGCCCTGCTGGACCCAGACCAAAGGATTTTGTATAAAGATGTCATGATGGAGAATTACGGGAATGTGGCCTCATTCGGTAAGGAACTTGACTTGACGTTCTGTAAGAACATGAAGGGTAGGTATCGCCTCTCCATCACTGGACAAATAAGGAGTCTGTATTAATTTAGATTTCTTCAGTAATTCCTCCCCCCTCTTCCTAACTTATTAAACCTAGGTGAGTTGCATGATATACTTAAAAAGGTAAAGGGACCCCTGACAGTTAAGTCCAGTCGCAAACGACTCTGGGGTTGTGGCGCTCATCTTGCTTTATTGGCCGAGGGAGCTGGCGTTTGTCTGCAGGCAGCTTCCGGGTCATGTGGCCAGCATGACTAAGCCGCTTTTGGTGAACCAGAGCAGCGCACGGAAACGCCGTTTACCTTCCCACTGGAGCGGTACCTATTTATCTACTTGCACTTTGACGTGCTTTTGAACTGCTAGGTTGGCAGGAGCAGGAACCGAGCAATGGGAGCTCACCCCATCGTGGGGATTCGAACCGCCGACCTCGGCAAGTCCTAGGCTCTGTGGTTTAACCCACAGCGCCACTTTCACTATAATCTATGGCAGGCTAGGCTGATGGAAGACCTAGGTGGGTATCAGGAATGTTGTCCTAACCATAATTCTGACAATAAATCATGGCATCGATGGGTTCCTTCTCAAGAGGATTATTATGACTACTAATCTCATTCTATTTATTATAATTTATCACCTGCTCTTCCCCTTAGGGTGGGTTAACATTAAAACGCAATATGATCTTACACCTTAATAACTTGATTATACAGTGGAACCTCTACTCACGACCACAATCCATTCTGAAGGCCTGTCCTTATGGTGAAACGGGTCGCTGGGAGAGGCGCCATTGTGCGCAGGCTTGGGCGGTGATTGCCCACTTCTGTGCATGCGCGAACGGTGGCAAACCCACCGGTTATTTCCAGGTTTGCTGTGGACGCAACTTGGAACGTCCGCGAGTAGAGGCGGTTGTAAGTAGAGTTTCTACTGTGTACTATTGCTGTACAGTGGTACCTTGGGTTAAGAACTAAATTCGTTCTGGAGGTCTGTTCTTAACCTGAAACTGTTCTTAACCTGAAGCACCACTTTAGCTAATGGGGCCTCCCGCTGCGCTCCTGGAGCACAATTTCTGTTCTCATCCTGAAGCAAAGTTCTTAACCCGAGGTTCTATTTCTGGGTTTGCGGCGTCTGTAACCTGAAGCATCTGTAACCCGAGGTACCACTGTACTGTGTATTTTGGGTCTATGGACCGCAATAAAGCTGTGTGTGTGTGTGCGTGTGTGTGTGTGCACGCATTCAATATGAAAACAGTTTAAAACAACTTAGGATCACAGAAATAAAGATGGTTGTACAAATACGCACCTCATGTGTCAAAAACCAGGGTAAAGAGGTTCAGCGTTTGTTGGAAATTGCATAATGAAAGTCCCTTTTAGTGGCCACAGGGTAAGTCTGATCACATTCTATGTTCTCTTCTTTTCTGGGAAGGGTTTCCGTTTGCCAAGCCTGATCTCATCTGCCTGCTAGAAGGAGGGGAAGAGCCGTGGATTCGGGATGAACATGGCTTGGACGAAATTGAGAATTCCGCAGCCAACTCAGGTGAGGGGCCCTGGCAAACCAGCTCATGAAATACCCTTTCCTGATTTCTTCTGACTCTGATCCTTCCCCTTTTAAAATCTTGGGAATATCCTCTATGCATCAGTCAGTTCCTTCTGGAGGAAGAGTTGCCTTTCTGGGATTAAACCCACCACAACCCCACTGCTTTATTCGCTCTTGTATACCTGGCTCCCCCCCCCCTTTTTTTAAGTGACCGAAATCGTTAAATGGTTTAGTTAAGCTGTCTTGAAGAGAAACTGCTGGGGGGGGAGGGAGAGCAAGTCCATAGTTGCTGTGATTGGAGTAATCAAACTACGTTACAGATAACACAGTGCTATTTTTCTAGAAAAAGGTGCCAGAACTCACCATGTCTTATAATGGCAATGGCACCCGCCTGAGAGGTGCTGGAACTGAGTTCTGGTATTTATATATACAGTTGTATCTTGGAAGTCGAATGGAATCTGTTCCGGAAGTCCGTTCAACTTCCAAAACGTTAAGAAACCAAAGGTGTAACCAAAGCTCCTGCAGCCAATCAGAAGCCGCGCCGGACGTTCATCTTCCAAAAATGGTTAGAAAACTGGAACACTCACTTCTGGGTTTCAATCGTTTGGGAGCTGATTTGTTCAGGAGTCAAGGCGTTTGAGATCCAAGATATGACTCTGTGTCTCTCTCTCTCTCTCTGTGTATACAGTCATACCTTGTGTTGCATCCGCTTCATGTTGTGTCTTTTCGCAATACGTCCCGCGGCAACCTGGAAGTACCGGAACGGGTTACTTTCAGGTTTTGCGCTCGCACATGCGCAGAAGCACTAAATCGCACTTCATGCATGTGCAGAAGTGCCAAATCGCGCCGTGCACCTGCGCAGACACACCACTTTAGAGTTGTGGGCATTTCACATTTCCCCCTTCAACCTTCTTCTCAGGTTTCCGTCTCTCCAGTCCTCTAAAGTACATCTTTTTAATTTCTCATTTGCCCTTTATCCCTGCAGGTGAGTGTTGGAAACTGGTCCTGTCTGACGTGCAAGGGACACACCTTACTCAGAAATCGAACCTTGATGAGCACGAATGGTTCCATGCCCGTGAAAGAGCTTACACGTGCTTGCAATGCGGGGAATGTTTTGCTTGGAAATCAAAGCTTGCGAGGCACCAAACAGTCCATACAGGGGATAAGCCTTATAGATGCTTGGAATGCGGAAGGCTTTGTGGAATGCGGAAGGCGTTGTGGCCAGAAATCCCATTTCCCGAACCACCAGAAAGTCCTTACTGGGGGGAAGGCTCACAAATGCTTGGATTGTGGGAAAGGCTTTGTTCAGAAATCGCATCTTGAGAACCACCGGCGAGCACAAAAAGGAGAGAAACTGTTTACATGCTTGGTGTGTGGAAAGGGTTTCGCTCGGAAATCAAATCTCATGACGCACCTGAGAGTCCATACAGGAGAGAAACTGTACGAATGTTTGGAGTGCGGGAAGGGTTTCTCTGCAAAATCTAGTTTCGTAGACCACCAGAGAGTCCACACAGGGCAGAAACCGTACGCCTGCACCAAGTGTGGAAAACGCTTTGCCTACAGATCACTACTTGCGACGCACCAGAGGGTCCACACAGGAGAGAAACCCTATCAGTGTACGGAGTGTGGGAAACGTTTTTCCGATTCTTCCTCCTTTGCGAGGCACCGGCAAGTCCACAAAAGGAGCGAAACCCCATAAATGCGCAGAGTGTGGGAAATGTTTCGCTCGGAAATCGAAGCTTGTGGAGCACGCGAGAGTCCACACGGGAGAGAAACAGTATAAATGCTTGGAGTGTGAGAAGGCTTTTTCTTTGAAATCCACTCTCGCGGACCATCAAAAAGTCCACACGGGGGAGAAACCGTACGAATGTTTGGAGTGTGGGAAATGTTTCACCGCTTCCACGACCTTCGTGAGACATCGTAGAATCCATATGGGACAGAAACCGTACGATTGCTTGGAGTGCGGAATGCGCTTCGCTCGGAACTCCAATCTCACGATACACCAGAATGTCCACACAGGAAACAAACCATACGAATGTTTGGCTTGTGGGAAATGTTTTGCTCAGAAATCGCATCTTGCGAGGCATGAGAGAGTCCACACGGGAGAGAAGCCCTATAAATGCTCAGCGTGTGGGAAGTGCTATGCTCAGAAATCTCATCTCGTGGTACACCAGCGAGTCCATGCAGTAGAGGTTCCTTACAAATGTCTGGATTGTGGGCAGTGTTTTGCCAACCCTGAAGGCTTTGCAAAACACCAGAGGGAGCACACACTGGCCTCAGGAAAAGTTGGGACAAGCTGGTACATCGCTGTTCAAATTGAGTAAGGCATTCTGCCAGTCAGTGCAGTGATGTTGAGGTCATGGCCGCCATTCAGTCTGTTCTACTCAGATATTCAATATCAGTGGGGAGTTATTTTGGAGGGGGCAGCAAGGAAATATCTGTATGAACAAAGAGAGGGGCATGGCAGCATTGAGAAAGCATCTCAAAGCACGCGATCTGCTTATTACAAATTGTGTCATTTTCAGAAACGAGAAACGGGAGCTCAATTCCACAGTACTGGTCAGAATTCCTAGATCTGTGTGAGATCTGGCTGGATATTCCACAGCAGAGATGAAGGACCTGTAACCCTCCAGATGTTGAATCCCAGCTCCCATCAGCCTCAACCAGGTTGACCAACGATCAGGCATGATGGGAATTGTAGTCTCAGATAACATCTGAACGGCAGAGGTTCTTCATCCCTCCTCTGCAGTAATTTTACCAATATTTTGCCACTGGCCTGAGAGGAAGGTTATGGAATTGGTTTGGGGAGAGGGAGGGTAGTCAAGATGAGAAAAGAGACTTTCTCCTAACTGTATAACAATAAATTCCTTCATTTACGGTTGTGGGACAGGAATTAATCGAGGTGTAGTGCGATCTGGTAGATTTGAGGGACGGAAGTCAAAATAATCTCCTTGTAACCGTATAACAATAAAGCCTTAAATGCCATTAATTTGTTTTAAAAAAAGTTCTCTGAGGGGTTCTTTTTTTTAAAAAAAGTGTACATTATTTTCTGAATATTAAGTGGTAACATAACTCCTCTCTACAAAAAGTGTTTCTGAGGTATTTTCTCAGACTGGTGTGACATCTTTTTTTGCGTCTGTGGGACTGAACTGAGATGGAGACTCTCTGGCCCACAAGCAAGGCGGGACACACCAGACACCCCTATTTTGCCCTTACTTTCTTTTAACCCCAAGTGCTCAGGAAAATCTGTCAAAATCCTCAGTCATTTGAAAACTAGGAAGTTATTTTTTTTAAGTACAGTCAAAGGCGACTATGGGGTTGTGGCGCTCATCTCGCTTTCCAGGCCGGGGGAGCCAGCATTTGTCCACAGACAGATTTCCGGGTCATGTGGCCAGCAGGACTAAACTGCTTCTGGTGCAATGGAGCACTGTGACAGAAACCAGAGCGCACGGAAACACCATTTGCCTTCCCACCACAGAGGTACCTATTTATCTCCTTGCACTGGCGTGCTTTCAACCTGCTAGGAGCTGGGACAGAGCAACGGGAGCTCACCCTGTCGCGGGGATTCGAACCACCAACCTTCCGATCGGCAAGCCCAGGAGTCTGAGTGGTTTAGACCACAGCATCCCTAGTTATTGCATTCACAAGCCCCACAAATAACTCAGAGGTGCATTTTAAATAAAAGCACACATTCTACTCATGTAAAAACAAGCTGATTCCCAGACCGTCTGCGGGCCGGATTTAGAAGGCGATTGGACCGGATCTGGCCCCCGGGCCTTAGTTTACCTACCCATGGACTGGGGCGACCAAGGTTTGAATCCCACCCCCCTATCTCAGCCATGCAGTTTCAGTGAGTGAACTTGAGCCAGGCGCACTCTTTAACCGCCTCACCTCGCAGGGTTTTTGTTTTCCCACAGATGGGCGCAGACAAACGATATACGCAGCCTCAAGCTCTTTGGAGGAAAGGCCCAGATATAAATGTAATAAATAAATGAGGAAAAGAGTGCTTGTTGCCGCAGACAAGGTTGCCAACTAACATGATAATAGATGTTGAAACATCTCTTACCAGTAATAACTAAACGGAACTTACATGTATTATTATTGATCATAGTCGGGGGAGTGGTGCAGGAAAAACAACTTACCCCTTAACTTAAAGAAAACAAAAGAGATTTTTGTGGACTTTAGGAAATGTAAATTGAATATTCAGCCACTTATTATTGAGGGGAAGTGCGTGGAACAGGTCTCAGTGTTTCAATTTCTGGGAATGAAGTTGAGAGATGACCTAACCTGGGGAGAAAACAGCAAAGACCTGATGAAGAGAGCACAGCAGAGGTTATATTTTCTGAGAATCCTCCGGAAAAACAATCTCTCAAAGGACCTGTTGATGACATTTTACCACTGTACTGTGGAGAGTGTATTAACTTATGGTCTCTGTGTGTGGTTTGGGAGCTGCACGGCCAGGGAAAAAACAACGCTGTCCAGGGTTGTAAAGACTGCGGAGAGAATAATTGGGTGCACTCTTCCCACCTTGAATCAAATCTACGCTTCCAGGTGCCATAAGAAAGCTGCAGAGATAGTGCAGGATAGTGCGCACCCTGGAAATGATCTCTTTCAGCTTCTGCCTTCTGGAAGAAGGTACAGGGTTATTAAGATTAGGACTAGCCGTCTGAGAAACAGTTTCTATCCAAATGCAATTTTGATTTTAAACGCTGTGTAAGGAGTCTCTATGGGAGTATGTTGTATTTAAAAATGGGGTATCAGAGTTTTTAGGGGGCTAAACAGGCTGGGATAGCTGGGATAGCAGGCTTGTTGGTTTTTTAATGTCTTATGTAGAATTTTTTCAATTTTGTTGTTCTGTATGGGACAATGACAATAAAGAGTATTGTATTGTATTGTATCATATCGTATCGTAATATACAGAAGAAGCCGGTGTGTTATAGAGGTTAAGAGCCCTGCACAAGGCCCTGGGAGACCTGGGTTCAAATCCCCAACCAGCCCTGACCAGTCTCTCAGAAGCCTAACCTGACTTCGCAGGGCTGTTGTGAAGATCAAATGGGGAAGGGGAGAACCACGCATGCTGCACTGAGCTCCTTGGTAGAGGAGTGGCTTGAGAATGCAGTAACTAGGGATGCGGGTGGCGCTGTGGTCTAAACCACTCAGACTCTTGGGCTTGCCGATCGGAAGGTTGGTGGTTCGAATCCCCGCGATGGGGTGAGCTCCCTTGCTCTGTCTCAGCTCCTGCCAACCTAGCAGTTTGAAAGCACGCCAGTGCAAGGAGATAAATAGGTACCTCTATGGTAGGAAGGTAAACGGCGCTTCTGCGCTCTGGTTTCTGTCACTGCTCTGTTGCGCCAGAAGCAGTTTAGTCCTGCTGGTCACATGACCCAGAAAGCTGTCTGTGGACAAATGCCGGCTCCCTCAGCTTGAAAGTCCAGTCACCTTTGACTGGACTTAACCGTCCAGGGGTCCTTTACCTTTTTCTTTTTTTACCTAAATGCAATAATTATATATTTACACATACACCCCCCCCCATTATTGGAGTAACTAGACATGAGAAGGGGTTAATGTGCAAGTGCAAATCACTCCACGTATGAGCTCACTGCACGTGCAAGGTCAACCAGTTGCTATGGCAATGGCCCAGCGCTTTGCCTATATCTGTGATGAATATAGCTCAGCTTAGTTTGTGCGCCGTCATCCTTATGTAGAGTGCGCTGGTCTTGAATTGCTGGAGTTCATTTGGAACAACCGGGATCCGTTGCCAACCCGACAAGCTGTAGCTTTATCTACGCACTGTTTTGCTGAGCCTTCTCTTCTGCAGCAACAGCTGAGTGGGACGGGGAGCAACTTTCCCCTGCGTGGAAATGCATGTCTCCTATCAGATCCCACCGATCACCCCCAAGGTCAGAGCAGTGCGTGCGATGATGCCATAAGTCTCGCCCGCGCGCTCTCCGAGATCAGGGTCTATTTGCGCGACTCTCTTTCCTCCGTCCGGCGACGCCTGGAGCACCTCGGAGAGGGGCAAGAGAGGCGGGTCCCAGCCTCCCATCCGATCCCTTCGCGCTCCTCCAAGGTCCGCTCTCCTCCAGCTTGCGCGAGTGCGCAGGGAGGGCGCGCAAGGCTACCTTTGCCTGGGGTCGTCTCCGCCAGCTTTGGGTGAGTAGGGTTTACCTTTAGAATTATACATGTTGCATTAAAAAAAAACACCTTTATTTTTATTTCTTCCTAATCTGAGTGTATCCGTCAAATTATAAAAAAACCCATAAACATAAAAATCTCGCGCGCGCCCCCAAAAAGCGAGCAAGCTTGCGAGTTACTCAGAGCTCTTCTTCCAGCTGTTAAACAAAGCGGGGAGTGGCGAGTTGGTCTAATGGGGAGGGGGGCAAAATGGCGTCTGCAGGATTTACTTTAAAGATGCGATGTGGGAGGCGATTTTGGTCTTTGATAGATCAGGCTGTGCCCGGGGAAAGCGCCACCGCTTGGATAAAAAAACACACCGCGGTTCTTCCCGCCTGCGATTGCGCGCAGGTCCGAGAAAGAGAGAGGGACGGAGTTTGCATTCTCAGAAACCTTAGTCCGAGAAATAGACACACGGCAGAGTTTAGATTAGCAAAGATGGAAATAAATTTTAGGTTTAAAAAGAGAGAGAAAGGGGGGAAATTGGATTGTATATGCTGAAAATGTTGAAACTTAGTAAAAATATAATTGAAAGAGAGAGAGAGAGAGAGAGAGAGAAAGAAAGAAAGAGGCTCCATGTTAGCCAGTTGTTAGTCTTACCTAGTATAGAGAATGAAGTCTTTCCTAGAAAAGGGAAGAAAAGAGTTCTTGAGAAGCTGAAAGCTTGCTCACTATTTTTGTGATGTTGCACCTTGTCCTAATAAAAATAAAGTAGTTCCTGGCTGAGGGTTTTCAATTCCTTTTCAATGGACCAGTTCTTTGGCTTTTGTGCATCTTGCAGAATGGCAGAATCAGCTGTCCAGAAGTGGGTTTCTATCCCCAAGGGGCTTTCTACCACCTGGGCATGGGCCTTCTCAGTAATTTGGGTGGCAAATTGCTGTTTACAGTGACTGTAAAGTGTGACATCGCTTTTGGTCTGGGATGTAAGGAACAGATCTGGTAATCTTCCATCTTTCAGCCACAGAGAGATGGCCACTCCATGAGTTATCCTGTCCCAACTGGTAAACCTGTCTTACCTGGGAGCTCAAGGGTAGAACAGATAGTTTTTTGGCAGAAGGTACCAGGTGTAATCTTAGGTTTGCTCCAACAGGAAGGCAAGGACCTTGTAGCCATTCCCAGCTTGATCAGGAGGGGCCAAGGGCGTGACTCAGAGTAAGGAAGCTTCCTAGTGCATCAGTGTTGGAGCAACTGGACCTGAGAAGGGGTTCATTTCCTTCCTGAGCATAAATCACCCCATGGATGGGCTAATCAAATGTGCAAGGTCAGCCAAGCCAGTTGCTATGATAACAGCCCAGTGCACCAGGTATATCTGTGATTAATGAATTTCAGCTCAGTTAGTGTTGGTCAGCGCGAGTCGGAGTCTCTTGCTTGTCCAGTGCTGTCTTGAATTGCAGGAGTTTATTTGGAGCTACAGAGATACTTTGTACTTGTATCTGTATCTATATCCACAAAAGCTTATAAGCTGTATGTCCTGGAACTGTTACACTGAGCCTTATCTTCTGCAGCTATTTGGACTTTAAACTGCTTCCATGTGGTGACTGGGACTTGGAGCAACTTCCACTGTCCGAGCAATCAGTGCTGAAGCCATTGAGAATTTCGCCCCTTCCTTTCTTCTCACCATGTGAAGTTAGCTAATGGCATGTCTGTTTTGGGGATGCGATGTCGCATTGAACGTTTATGCTTCTGAAAATGTCCCCTCTCTCTTTGCTTCACCCTCCTTAGCCCCGCAGAGTGAAAAAATGATATCCAAGTCTCAAATGAGATTGCCCCCACCTTCCAGGACAAGGCAAGATGTTGCACAACAGCCAAACCAGGTAGGAGATCCTCTGTAAGCTGATTGGTGGGTGGGAGGAGATGGGAGGGGGAAAGCAGGACCTAATGCAAGGAGAGTCAACCAGGCAGGGAACAACCCAATGCACGACTTGTTTCCTTCCTTCCTTTCTTCCATCCCTCTCTCCTTGTGAATGTAAAAAGGCCTCTTCTGGATTGGATGAAAAGATCCATCTAGTCTAGTAAGTGGGACAATTTACGGCAGAAATAACTTTTGGAAGAACATTCCTACTAGATCCACAGACTAGTTTACCCAGGACAACGGATGGAGATTTGCGTTTCTCATTCACAGAGCAAGAAGTATGGGCATGTTTACAACCCACACTTTACAATCTCCATTAATACAAATCTTTCTTCTGTGTGTGGATCTCCCTTTCTGGCGTGGGGCATCTGGGGCAAGTCTATGCAGGAAGCAGATCACGTGGGGTGTGTGCGTGTGGAAAACTGAGCTTGCACCAGGACAGCCGCATTTTGAATGTCCTCCCCCGGCACAAAATGTCCTGCACATCATACTGCATGGACATCTCACAGACTAGAACACGCCGGATGACTATGCTAATTTTCTCTGCATAGGGAGGGTATTGTTACTGGTTTTGTTTTGTTTTGTTTTGTTTTCTGTATGGAGGAGTATTCTGATCACCCACTGCAATCTAATTGGCACATTCCAGAAACCTTTTTTTTTTTTTTAATCACGCAACCTGGGGTTTTGCATTTGGGGTTTGGGGCAGAAAAAAATATTGGCCTGTGTTGCTAGGGCTTTGGAGAGCAATGCACAAGTAGATGTGGCTTCAAGTGGTTTCTGTAAGTTGAGCTGAGTAAGATACCCTCTGGGGTGGCTACTTTCTGTTCTGTGTCTGTGGCTGAGACTTTTGAAAGGGATTCTAGAGTTGCAGAGTTCTATCCTTTTGAAACACGGGTGGCACTGTGGCCTAAACCACTAAATCCTAAAATGTTAGGATTTCCTCCTAATTTAATTATTGTACACCACCTAGCCCTTAAGCTGCATTATATTTATATTTTGAGAGGAGTCAGTGTTTGATATAGGGATGCGAGTGGCGCTGTAGTCTAAACCACAGAGCCTAGGGCTTGCTGATCAGAAGGTCGGCGGTTCGAATCCCTGCGATGAGGTGAGCTCCCGTTGCTCGGTCCCTGCTCCTGCCAACCTAGCAGTTCGAAAGCACGTCAAAGTGCAAGTAGATAAATAGGTACCACTCCAGCAGGAAGGTAAACAGCGTTTCTGTGCGCTGCTCTGGTTTCGCCAGAAGCGGCTTAGTCATGCTGGCCACATAACCTAGAAAAGCTGTCTGCAGACAAATATCGGCCCCCTCGGCCAGTAAGCGAGATGAGCACTGCAACCCCAGAGTCGTTTGCGACTGGACTTAACTGTCAGGGGTCCTTTACATTTACCTTATCCTTTTGAAACCATATGTGGGAAATGAGATGAGGGTCTCTCTGTCTTCGCAGGGGCCGGTGGTGACCTTTGAAGATGTGGCTGTATATTTCACGGAGAGCCAGGGGGTTCTGCTGGATCCTGACCAAAGGGCCTTGTACAGGGATGTCATGTTGGAGAATTATGGGAACGTGGCCTCGTTGGGTAAGGAGCATCTGTCTTCATTACGAAACAGCTGAATGTCTTCAGGGCAAATAACGACTTTATGTATTTATTAATGTCCTAATTTCTTAAGGTTTTTTAAGGTCAGATTGCATGATATACTTACCTTCTTGCAATGTCACGGCAGGCTATTCTGAGGGAAGACCAAGACATTACATTGTTCATGCATCTGCCCCATTCTTTAGCATCCTTTAGATCATTTAAGGCCGTACGCATGGGGTCAGGGATTTACAGGGCTTACTGACCACTGTATATTGAAATGGGTTAGAAATCCCGAGTAACACCGGTGCAAAATGGCAGAGATGGGCATGGGATTTTGGAGGAGCTCAGTTTTAAGGCAAACCACGTAGTGCAGGGGTCAGCAAACTTTTTCAGCAGGGGGCCGGTCCACTGTCCCTCAGACCTTGTGGGGGGCTGAACTATATTTTTTTTGGGGGGAATGAATGAATTCCTATGCCCCACAAATAACCCAGAGATGCATTTTAAATAAAAGCACACATTCTACTCATGTAAAAACACTCTGATTCCCAGGCCGTCCACAGGCCAGATTTGGAAGGTGATTGGGCTGGATCCGGCCCCCGGACCTTAGTTTGCCTACCCATGACATAGTGGGTAAACAAATACAGTCATACCTCAGGTTACAGACGCTTCAGGTTGCGTGTTTTCGGGTTGCGTACCGAGCCAAACCTGGAAGTACCAGAATGGTTTACTTCCAAGTTTTGGTGCTCAAGCATGCACAGAAGCGCCGAATCGCAACCCACGTGTGTGCAGACGCGGTGCTGCGGGTTGTGAACATGCCTCCTGCACGGATCACGTTCGCAACCCGAGCGTCCACTGTACAATAGCCAGCGTGCTGCCTAGGAAAAAGTCTTCTGACCTTTAAGTTACTGTAACAATGCACAATGCACAAACCATAGTTAAAGCTATGGTTTTCCCAGCAGTGATGTGTGGAAGTGAGAGCTGGACCATCAAGAAGGCTGATCGGCAAAGAATTGATGCTTTTGAATTATGGTACTGGAGGAGACTCTTGAGAGTCCCATGGACTGCAAGAAGATCAAAGATATCCATTCTTAAGGAAATCAGCCCTGAGTGCTCACTGGAAGGACAGATCCTGAAGCTGAGGCTCCAATACTTTGGCCACCTCATGAGAAGAGAAGACTCCCTGGAAAAGACTCTGATGTTGGGAAAGATGGAGGGCACAAGGAGAAGGGGACGACAGAGGACGAGATGGCTGGACAGTGTTCTCGAAGCTACCAGCACAAGTTTGACCAAACTGCGGGAAGCAGTGGAAGACAGGAGTGCCTGGCGTGGTCTGGTCCATGGGGTCACAAAGAGGCAGACACGACTAAACGACTAAACAACAACAACAGTGCACAGTGCAACCCGGAAAGGAAAGAAGAGGCGTTCAGGGATATTTGTTAAAAAATAATTTGCTGTTATTTTTATAGATTCAGGAAATTCAGCTATGTATTTGATGGTGAGTTGTGTTATGAAAGGTAGTTTTGGGGCTTGTTTTCCGGAGTCACTTTGTGGGGCTCCTAGGATGAGTTTGCGGGGCTTGACCACATCCTTAGACATTTTCTGTTTTTCTTTCCTGGGAAGGATCTCCATTCGCCAAACCTGAACTTATTTGCCAGCTGGAAAAGGGGGGAGAGCTCTGGGTGCCAGATTCTCAGGACTTGGATGAAACAGAGAGTTCCAGCTCCAACTCAGGTGAGGGGTTTTGGGAAACCAGGAGACCAAGACTCTTTCCACATTTCTGGGAAATCTGGCCATTATCCTTTTAAAATGTTAGGATTTCCTCCTAATTTAATTATTGTACAACACCTAGCCCTTAAGCTGCATTATATTTATATTTTGATAGGAGTTAGTGTTTGATATAGTGACGCGGGTGGCGCTGTGGTCTAAACCACTGAGCCTAGGGCTTGCTGATCAGAAAGTCAGTGGTTCAAATCCCCACGACAGGGTGAGCTCCCGTTGCTCGGTCCCTGCTCCTGCCAACCTAGCAGTTTGAAAGCACATCAAAGTGCAAGTAGATAAATAGGTACCGCTCCAGCGGGAAGGTAAATGGTGTTTCCGTGCGCTGCTCTGGTTCGCCAGAAGCGGCTTAGTCATGCTGGCCACATGACCCGGAAGCTGTACGCCGGCTCCCTCGGCCAATAAAGCGAGATGAGCGCCGCAACCTTAGAGTCGTCCACAACTGGACCTAGCAGTCAGGAGTCCCTTTACCTTTACTAGTGTTTGATATACAGTGGAACCTCGGAAGCCAAACACTTTTGAACTCGAATGTTTTGGCTCCTGAATTATTGAAAACTGAAGTGATTGTTCCAGGTTTCAAACGTTTTTCGGAAGCCAAACATCCGGTGTGGCTTCCACAGCTTCTGATTGGCTGCAGGACACTCCTGCAGCCAATCGGAAGCTGTGCCTTGGTTTTCGAACTGTTCTGGGAGTTGAACGGACTCCCAGAATGGACTAAATTGGAAAACCAAGGTACAGTCATACCTCGGGTTGAATGTGCTTTGGGTTGAGCGCGTTCGAGTTGCGCTAGGTGGCAACCCAGAAGTAACGGAGCGCGTTACTTCCGGGTTTCTCCGCTTGCACATGCGCAGACGCTCAAAATGACATCACGCGCATGCGCGGAAGCGGGGAAAAGCGGCGCGTGCATGCGCAGACGTGCCGTCGCTAGTTACGTTTGCTTCTAGATACGAACAGGGCTCCTGAACGGATCCCGTTCATATCCAGAGGTACCACTGTACAACTGTACTGGCATTGTGGGGAGAAGGAAGATGTGGGCGTTGATGGGCCTCTTCTTGACTTTATGTTAGTAGCTGAATTTCCACCTTCTAACTCTTAACATGTTTCAATCTTCTTTATCCTCCAAAATAAATATTTTTCTTACTATTTCCCCCATATCTCAGCAGGTCTGTGCAATCAAAAGAATTTATATTTCACGTGGGGGTTGCAGTTAACGCAGATATCTGCCCTTGCCAATCGCCAGCAAAAGATGGAAGGAGAGAAACTGAACAAATGCATGGACTGTGGAAAGCGCTTTGCTCGGAAATCAAAGCTCGTGGAGCACCAGAGAGTCCACACAGGAGAAAAACCGTACCAATGCTTCGAGTGTGGGAAACGTTTCGCTTGGAAATGGCCGCTTGTGATACACCAGAGAGTCCACACGGGAGAGAAACCTCACCAATGCTTGGAGTGTGGGATGCGCTTTGCTGAAAAGCCAAAACTCAACAGGCACCAGAGTATCCACACTGGAGAGAAGCCGTATAAGTGCTCCGAATGTGGCAAAACGTTTGCTCAGAAATCGTACCTCATGATGCACCAGCGAATCCACACGGGAGAGAAGCCATTTCAGTGCTTGGATTGCGGCAAAGGCTTTGCCCACAAATCGAAACTTGTGAGCCACCAGAGGGTTCACACCGGAGAGAAAGCGCACAAGTGCTTGGAATGCGGCAGATGTTTTGCTCACAAATCGTACCTCGTGATGCACCGCCGAACCCACACTGGAGAGAAACCTTTCGAATGCGTGGACTGCGAGAAGTCCTTTGCCCAGAAATCACACCTCACGATCCACCGCCGAACCCACACGGGAGAGAAACCTTTCAAATGCCTGACGTGTGGGAAATGCTTTGCCGATTCCTCTGCCTTTACGGGACACCAGAGGGTCCACACCGGCGAGAAAACCTACAAATGCGCACAGTGTGGGAAGTGTTTTGCTTGGAAATCAAACCTCACTCTGCACCAGAGAAGCCACGCGACCGAGGAAGCGTGCAAATGCTCCGAGTGCGGGAAATGTTTTGCTCGGAAATCGCACCTCCGCAGCCACGAGAGAGTCCACAGAGGAGAGAAACTGTACAAATGTTTGGAGTGTGGGAAATGCTTCTCCTGGAAGTTGCATCTCGCGAACCACCAGAGAGTCCACGGGGGAAAGAAGCCACATAAGTGTTTGGAGTGTGGGAAGTGCTTTGGTCAGAAATCGCACCTCACAATCCACAAAAGCGTTCACACGGGAGAGAAGCCCTTTAAATGTTTGGAGTGCGGGAAATGTTTTAATCTCAAGTCCCGTCTTGTGGAACATCAAAGAATCCACACGGGAGAGAAACCCTACACATGCAAAGCGTGCGGGAAGGCTTTTGCTAACAAATCAAATCTCCAGACACACCTGAGAGTCCATACAGGGGAAAAGCCGTTCAAATGCCTGGAGTGTGGGAAGTGTTTCACTGTGAAATCTAGTCTCGTGAAGCACCACAGGACCCACACAGGAGAGAAACCTTATAAATGTGTGGAGTGTGGGAAATGTTTTGCTTGCAAATCGCAGTACGTGATGCACCAGAGGATCCACACGGGAGAGAAACCCTTTAAATGCACAGAGTGCGGGAAATGTTTTGCTCGGACGTCGTACCTCAAAAACCACCAGAGACTTCACACTGGGAAGAAGCCGTATAAGTGCTTAAAGTGTAGGGAATGTTTTTCTTTGAAATCAGCCCTTCTCAGACACCAGGCAGCTCACACAGATGACGGACCTCATGAATATTCATCCCAGTAGAGATTCTTCACACCTGAGAACACCAGGTAAGACATTGTTACATTTATTTCCACATGTTATAATTTTGACTGGCCTAATTATGTCTATGGGGCAGAGATTCTCCACTGCTGAGCAGATCAATACGACCTGCCTTAAATGATCATTCTTCTTTAATTTATTGATTAATTGATTGATTAGTTTCATTTCTATACCATTCTTCATCCGAAGATCACAGGATGGTTTGCAATATAAAAACACAAAAGGACATAACATAGTAACAAAGTCAAACAATACCCTTCCCCCCCCCCACAAAAAGTAGTTTAAAAGGCCATTGTTGTTGTTTAGTCATTTAGTCGTGTCCGACTCTTCATGACCCCATGGACCAGAGCACACCAGGCACTCCTGTCTTCCACTGCCTCCCACAGTTTGGTCAAACTCATGCTGGTAGCTTCGAGAACACTGTCCAACCATCTCGTCCTCTGTCGTCCCCTTCTCCTTGTGCCCTCCATCTTTCCCAACATCAGGGTCTTTTCCAGGGAGTCTTCTCTTCTCATGAGGTGGCTAAAGTACTGGAGCCTCAGCTTCAGGATCTGTCCTTCCAGTGAGCACTCAGGGCTGATTTCCTTCAGAATGGAGAGGTTTGATCTTCTTGCAGTCCATGGGACTCTCAAGAGTCTCCTCCAGCACCATAATTCAAAAGCATCAATTCTTCGGTGATCAGCCTTCTTTATGGTCCAGCTCCCACTTCCATACATCACTACTGGGAAAACTTTAACTATACAGACCTTTGTTGGCAAGGTGATGTCTCTGCTTTTAAAAGGTCACAGATTGTTTAATTAGTCAAAGGCCAAAATTAACCCGATGAGCTAGTTTACTTCATGAAGAGAAGGTTTTTTCTTTCTTTCTTCTTTTTTTACATGGGGAAATATTTTTGGCTGACTCTCCTCCCATGTCCTCAGTCTGAAGCAGTACAGTCTAGGATTCTAATCTTCATTCTGTAGAATGGGAAGATCAGGTTTAGCTTGAAATGTTTACCTATTATTTATTTATTTATTAAATTTCTACACCGTCCCTCATCTGAAGTTGATAGGGCGGTTTGCAATATAAAAACACAGCCATTTATAGTGTAATAAAAATCAAAAACAGTTCCTACCCCCACCCCCCAATTTAAAAGGCCATAGATTATTTAATTAGCCAAAGGCCTGGGAGGAAAATAATGTTTTTGCCTCAACCTAAAAGATATGTAACGAGGGTGCCAGGCAAGCCTCTCTGGGGAGAGCATTCCACAAGTGGGGAGCCACTGGAAAAAAGGCCCCGTTCTCGTGTTGCCACCCTCTGGACCTCTCGCAGAGGAGGCACACAAAGAAGGGCCTCAGATGATGAACACAGGGTCTGGGGAGAGTCAGACCTTGAGGTACTGTAGCTCTGAGTCATTCAAGGCTTTATGAGTCAAAACCAGCACTTTGAATCGGGCCCGGAAACTAATTGGCAACCAATGTAGTTGGGCCAGGATTGGCATTATATATATACATAAATTAGATTATGTTTTTTATTATTTTTCAATTACAATAATCTAATAGTAGCCTCATTATAACAATGCCAAATTATAATACAATTACTAATACCAATCATTCAGATACCAAATTATATAATTTAGGTGCCCCCCGGCATGCTAGAATTAATGGTTTGATAATTTACTTTATTTCTGCATTCCAAAATCTTATTAATTTCAATTACACCCCAGTCCAAATAACAATCCCTTATACAACAACCGCAATGTTAACGACTTCCGTTCGTATTAAATGATTTATAAAGCTACAGGGGAAGCGTTCAAGCTATATCCTTGTTCTTCCTGTGTGTGGCAATTATTCTGTCCGTGTTGTTTCTTGTAAAATATTATGTCTGTCTTTTCAGAGGCAGACCTTTGTATAACGTGTTGCAGTAATCTAATTCTCTTTCTATTTCTTCACCCCAGCATCTTATCCTAGAGAAATGCTCTTCTGCAAAGTCCATGGGAGCACTGAGTTTTGGGAGAAGATAGAGAAGTCACTTGAGAAAGAATATTGTCTGAGGAAACAGGCTTTGCCAAAAAGATGGTTGATAATGTATGCCACAACAGCAGCAAGAATACTTATTGCAAAGTATTGGAAGACACAAGATCTACCCACTCTGGAAGAATGGCAGATGAAGGTGATGGACTACATGGAACTGGCGGAAATGACTGGCAGGATCCGAGACCAGGGAGAAGAGTCGGTGGAAGAAGATTGGAAGAAATTTAAAGACTATTTACAGAAATATTGCAAAATTAATGAATGTTAGAATGATGTCAGAATGAAGTTAAGTGGTTTTAGCAGCAATGTCATAAAGGTGTATGTAAAATGGATTGTTAATAGGTGAGAATCTAAAGCTATAATATATTAAGTTAAAGGACTAAGACAAAAACAAAGAGGGAAAGGAATTGCTGAATTAACCAATTGAACTGGAATACAAAAAAGGGAGGTGAGAGGAGGTCAGGGAAGCAAGGAAATGAAATGTAATATACGGAAAGATTAATTTGTTTTTAAGTGTGTTTTGTTTTTGTTTTTCTGTACCTTGTATTTTGTATGTTTTTTCTCTTTTTTATTTTTTCCCTTTAACTTTTTTCTCTCCTTAACTATGTAATTTTTTTCTTTCTGAAATTTTAATAAATATCATTAAAAAAAATAAAAAGATGGTTGATAATGAACATATTTCTGCAAAGTGAAGGCATTATAAGTGTTTGACACATGCCTGAAAGTACATTTAACCTGGGAGTGTGTATGTGTGTGTTTATAGACTGATGCTTTTATTGCTATCTACCGGTACTTCAGACAAGATTTCTGGGATCTGGGTAGGATGCAGTTAATCACTAAAAGCATATCATTATTAAAGTGACAAAAAAGAAGAAGTTCTAAATTATTATAGCAAATTGTCTGCTGTTAGGACTTGCCAATCAGAAGGTCGGCGGTTCGAATCCCTGCAACGGGGTGAGCTCCCGTTGTTCGGTCCCTGCTCCTGCCAACCTAGCAGTTCGAAAGCACGTCAAAGTGCCAAGTAGATAAATAGGTACCACTCTGGCAGGAAGGTAAACGGCGTTTCCGTGCGCTGCTCTGGTTCACCAGAAGTGGCTTAGTCACGCTGGCCAGATGACCCAGAAGCTGTACGCCGGCTCCCTCGGCCAATAAAGCGAGATGAGCGCCGCAACCTTAGAGTCGTCCACGACTGGACCTAATGGTGAGGGGTCCCTTTAGCTTTACCTTGGGTTAAGAACTTAATTTGTTCTGGAGGTCCGTTCTTAACCTGAAACTGTTCTTAACCTGAAGCACCACTTTAGCTAATGGAGCCTCCTGCTGCCACTGTGCCACCGCCGCACAATTTCTGTTCTCATCCTGAAGCAAAGTTATTAACCCGAGGTACTATTTCTGGGTTAGCGGAGTCTGTAACCTGAAGCATCTGTAACCTGAGGTACCACTGTAGTTGACCTTAAGTCAGAGTTGGGTTTGTAGCCTGGATAAGAGGAGACTGAGAGGAGAAAGGATAACAATCTTCAAATATCTCAAGGGCTGTCCTATGGAAGATGGAGCAAGCTGGTTTTCTCCTGTTCCGGAGGGACATGAACCAGTGGCTTCAAGTTACAAGAAAGGAGATTATGACCAAACATCAGGAAGAACTTTCAGGCCGTAAGAATGGGCTCCCTTGGAAGGGGGTTTTTAAGCAGAGGCTAGATGGCCATCCTGACAGGGAAGCTTTAGTGGAGAGTTTTGCATCGCAAGGGTTTGGACTTGATGACCCCCAGGGTCCCTTCCAACCCTACAATTTTTTGCCTCTATGTCATTGAATGAGAAAGGGGGGGAGGGATATCCTATCTTTAGGAAAGATAGGGAAGTTTTTAATGACTGGTGTTTTAATGTATTTTTAATCTTTTGTTGGAAGCCGCCCAGAGTGGCTGGGGAAACCCAGCCAGATGGGCGGGGTATAAATAAATAAATAAATATAATAATAATAATAATAATAACGAATGAATGACTTTTATTATTTCAGTCACAGACCAGTTCCAGCCCACATAGAATATCAAGGAAGTCATTATTAAGTAGTGGGTTGACAAAGCCGACGACACAGAGATTTCTCCAGGTGGTTCTTTATAGTAAGCCGGAACTGAACTGAGCAGCAAACAGCTCAGCCGGCCTGCTTTTATAGGCAGCCGGCGGTCAACATTGTAACAGCAACACCCCAGGGTTTCCCGCCTAAATTAACTGACGTGGACCTGAGTGAAAACTATATACACGATACCCCTGGTGGCCAGGGTGAGAACTTCAATACATAACAGTCATAAAACACGATAGGGATACATTTGAGTTTGCAATTAGGTATAACAGGGACAATACCGATATAGCAACAGTTAAGAAATATATAAATTAAAACTTAAGCGCTAACATATAACCTAAAATTATCATCTGATTTGATTGTTTTTAATTATGTAAAAAGTGTCGCTGCTTTCATTACTATTCAGTCAATTAAAAATAAAGTTTGGGTGGACAGGCCTGCAACTGATTTTAAATATATTGCCAGTTAAGCTTTCATTCATCTATCTATATCTATCTATCTATCTATCTATCTATCTATCTATCTATCTATCTATCTATCATCTTTTATCCATCCATTTCTCTGTGGAGGCGATACAACCATGTGCAAGTTAACAGCTCTTGGAAATTCCTGCAAAGGCTGGGAACTTGTAAATTAGCAATGCTCTATCCATTATCCTCTATTTTGTATCTTGGATCCAGAATTGGGAAGCTATGTCTCTTCAGATGTTGCTGGACCTCACCTGATTGCTGACTGCTGGTGGCCCTTGCCAGGGCTAATAGAAGTCCAAAACACGTTGGTTCCCTACCCCATAGTAATTTAGACACCCCAAACATATTACACATTTCTTAAAATCAAACACAAATGCTACATTATGAACATTTATTTTATATATATACACCTTAATTTTTTTATTTCAAGGGAAAGGGGTGTGGTTACCTGTTTTATTGCAAGCATAAACTGCATTTCACGCAATTTGTAAAACTACTCCACACTGAACTTGTTTTCATTTGTTCCAAAATTTCCATTTTTTCCGGAATTCCCCCCCCAAAAAAATTTCCATTTTTTCCGGAAAAAAATCCTGGAAATTTTACATCTCTAGCCGTGGCCAGAAGCGTTTCAAGAACCAAGGAGCTCTTTCAGGCGACCGCATATCTCGACGCGTTCCTGAAACGGCTCTCCCACATGGCTTGCCCAAAGCACTCCCTTTCCGATCTCTAAATACAAGAAGCACCCAGTTTCCTTGACGGAGGCCCAGCTGAAAGTTGTCTCCCAAGCCAAGGTGGGTTGGCAAATCATTTACTTGGCTGGAGAGGCGAGAATGACTTTTCCAGCATGTGACCCAGGGAGGGCGTCCTTCGCTTGCTGAATTTGCCAAACCGGTTCAAACTCCACCTTCAGACCAGGAAATGCTGAGCTGGACGAGTCTCCGGTTCCTTCGCCCCCAACTGCTGCACAGAATTTCCTCCTTACCTGTCCAGGTACTTTCTGACTCCCCACCGTCCTGACCTTTCAGTTGTGGGGGCAGTTATTCCTATGATGGGAAGTCTGAACATGGACTCTTAGAATACAGTGGTACCTCGGGTTAAGAAGTTAATTCGTTCCGGAGGTCCGTTCTTAACCTGAAACTGCTGTGGGGTGCCTCAGGGTTCTGTCCTGTCCCCCATGCTTTTCAACATCTACATGCAGCTGCTGGGAGAGATCATCAGGGGGTTTGGGCTGGGTGTCCATCAATATGCGGATGATACCCAGCTCTACCTCTCTATCAAATCGGAACCAGTGAAGGCGGTGAAGGTCCTGTGTGAGTGTCTGGAGGCGGTTAGAGGATGCATGGCAGCTAACAGATTGAGGTTGAATCCTGACAAGCCAGAAGTACTGTTTTTGGGGGACAGGAGGTGGGCAGGTGTGGAAGATTCCCTGGTCCTGAATGGAGTAACTGTGCCCCTGAAGGACCAGGTGCGCAGCTTGGGAGTCATTTTGGACTCACAGCTGTCCATGGAGGCACAGGTCAAATTTGTGTCCAGGGCAGCTGTTTACCAGCTCCATCTGGTACGCAGGCTGAGACCCTACCTGCCCGCGGACTGTCTTGCCAGAGTGGTAGCATGCTCTGGTTATCTCCCGCTTGGACTACTGCAATGCACTGTATGTGGGGCTACCTTTTAAGGTGACCTGGAAACTACAACTAATTCAGAACGCGGCAGCCAGACTGGTGACTGGGAGTGGCTGCCGAGACCATATAACACAGGTCTTGAAAGACCTACGTTGGCTCTCAGTACGTTTCCGAGCACAATTCAAAGTGTTGGTGCTGACCTTTAAAGCCCTAAACGGCCTCAGTCCAGTATATCTGAAGGAGCGTCTCCACCCCCGTCATTCTGCCCAGACAATGAGGTCCAGTGCCGAGGGCCTTCTGGCGGTTCCCTCACTGCGAGAAGCCAAGTTACAGGGAACCAGGCAGAGGGCCTTCTCGGTAGTGGCGCCCGCCCTGTGGAACGCCCTCCCACCAGATGTCAAAGAGAACAACAACTACCAGACTTTTAGAAGACATCTGAAGGCAGCCCTGTTTAGGGAAGCTTTTAATATTTGATGTATTACAGTATTTTAATATTTTTTTGGAAGCCGCCCAGAGTGGCTGGGGAAGCCCAACCAGATGGGCAGGGTATAAATAATAAATTATTATTATTATTATGAAACTGTTCTTAACCTGAAGCACCACTCTAGCTAATGGAGCCTCCTGATGCCGCTGCACGATTTCTGTTCTCATCCTGAAGAAAAGTTCTTAACCTGAGGTACTATTTCTGGGTTAGCAGAGTCTGTAACCTGAAGCGTCTGTAACCCGAGGTACCACTGTAATCGTAATAATTTTATTATTTATACCCTGTCCATCTGGCTGGGTTTCCCCAGGGGGAAGGGTTGCATTGGCAGCTTTTGACTGGAGCAACATGAAAGCCCAGCAAATGCTGTTCTCCATTGAAACAGAAAGCCAAAAATGCAGCAAGCAAATGTGTGTGCAAGGGGAGGCGGTGTCCTTGCCCCCGAGCCCGGGACCTTGCAATGCCAGATTTAGGGTGTTACAAGTGGTTCTGCTGCACAGGGCAGCAGGGTGGATTTGATTTAGATCAAATCGATTTATATCACGATTTAAATCACTAGTTAGTAAGACTTGATTTAAATCCCTTTTTTACAGAAAGGTTCAACCTTGCTGGCATCCTCTTCATGTTGGCGAGCAGAGGAAGGTTTCCTTTTTGGAAGAATAAAATCCTTTTTTTACAGAAAGGTTCAACCTTTATTTTGTTATTCCAAAAAAGGAAACTTTCCCCCGCTTGTCAATATTAAAAGAATGCCAGGAAGGTTGAACCTTTCAGTATTATTCCAAAAAGGAAATCTTCCTCTGTTTGTCAATACAGTGGTACCTCAGGTTACAGACGCTTCAGGTTACATATGCTTTAGGTTACAGACTCCGCTAACTCAGAAATAGTACCTCGGGTTAAGAACTTTGCTTCAGGATGAGAACAGAAATTGCACGGCGGCAGCAGGAGGCCCCATTAGCTAAAGTGGTGCTTCAGGTTAAGAACGGACCTCCGGAACGAATTAAGTACTTAACCCGAGGTACCACTGTATTAAGACGATGCCAGCAAGGCTGAACCTTTCTGTAAAAAGGGATTTTATTATTCCAAATAGGAAACCTTCCTCCGCTTGTCAATATTAGGAGGATGCCAGCAAGACTGAGTCTTTCTGTAAAAAATGGTTTAAATCAAGTCTTACTGATAAATCTCCTGCGCTGGGTCATTGCAATTCTCCTTGTGCTTTGCAGGTTCCTCGGGAGATGTCCTGGGAGCAAAGCAGCAAGGCGGCCCCGCTGGGCCTGATCCACCGGCTGGACCACCTGGTGATGACGGTGAGGAGCATTGAGGACACAGCCGCCTTCTACTCCCGGGTCCTTGGCATGGAAGTCGTCTCCTTCAAGGTGCTGGGAACAGCGACCCCTTTATCACCTCCAAGACGGTGTTATTTATTTTACAGTATGGTCCATTGAGGACCGCTTTCGTTTTAGGGATCAACAGTCACGTTAGAGAGTAAAACTCATGCTCAAATTGCAGTTTTTAAAAAGTCTGGGATGAATTAATCCGTTTTGCTTTTTTTTATTTTTTTCAAAAATTTTATTGCTTTTCACAATATTATAAACAAACAAACAAACACACAAGACAAACAAACATAAACCATAGCCTTATTGAAAATTACACTTATTAACTTTGTTAAGTGACTTCCTCGCTTCCCCTTGGTTGAATTTCATTGCATGTCCTTTTAACGGTTTCCCAAATCCCAGTTCTTATGAAATTTAACGTAAACATTAGCATCCTTAAATCTTCACCTAATGGAATTGAACATATTAATTCATCACTTAACATAAATAAAATCCTAAGCCAATTAAGTATCTGCAAGCTATTTTCAATTAACTTAACAAATTTTACTAGATAATCATTAAATTGATTCCACTCTTCCTGATACTCCTCCTTTCTGGTCACGGACATTTTGCTTTTTTAAAAAAAATGGGAATGCGTGCCTCAGTTTTGGAACAGACTTCCGGAACGGGTATATCTCTACCATGATCAAATGCGGTATTTGCCAGTCCCTTTTGTCTCCTTCCTCGTCATTCCAGGCTACGTTTTGCCTTCACAGGGAAACCGTCAAGCTCTCCATTTTGGCCAGCAGAAGTTCAACCTCCACGAGGTGGGGAAGGAATTTGAACCCAAAGCCCACCGGTCGACCCCTGGCTCTTTGGACCTCTGCCTCGTCACAGAGATGCCTCTGGAACAGCTGGTGGAACACCTGAAGGTTAGGCAGGGGCTGCAACCAGGGTGGATAAAAAATTATTTAAAAAATAAATAAATCCTATTTTTAAATTTAAAATCTGCTTTTCTTTATTTAAATGGTTTTTTTAATTCAAGTCAGATTTTTAAAATTTAAATCATTTTTTTAAAAATTAAAATCAATTTTTTTAAAATTTAAATTGTTTTTTTAAAATAAAATGCTTTTGGAGGAAAAATCTTTCCAAAGATAGTTTTCTATTTCAGTTACATTATAATCCAAAGGCTATTCATCAGGAAATAAGGATTTGTTTAAAGTTTTTCATGTGTGCTAAAACTCAGTCTAAGTAGTTTTTGTGTGTGGAAAAAAATGGTTTAACCACATCAGTTAACAAACATGGATACGTATGCTATCATGTTATTGTTTAAGTTACATTAATTGTTTCGCTGTTAAAGTAATGATTATGTTTCTCCTTCCAATAAAGTACAGCAGAAAAATAATAATATTTTTAAAATTGTTATTTTATTTTTAACAATGAGTGGCCAGATGGGCGGGGTAAAATTATTATTATTATTATTATTAGTTGAATCTTACTTTTAGGTTCTGGTGTTTCTCATGTGTGTTTTTTTACATTTTTAGGTGTTATTTTATTTTTAACAATGAACGGAATAGTTGTAACACTCAATTTAAAAAGGGGGGTGGGAATTGGCATTGCAGGAGCAATGTAACGTTGCAAAATGCTTTTGATGGAATTTTAGATTTTTTCATTCATTTCATTTCATTCATTTTCATTTCCTTCATTTCCTCCCCTGTTGCTTTTTTTAGGTATGTGGGGTCAGCATTGAAGAAGGCCCAGTGGCCAGAACTGGGGCGCTTGGCCCAATAAAATCCATTTATTTCCGAGACCCGGACCATAATCTGCTGGAAGTCTGCAACTACGGTGGGAGTGACTTGTGAAATTTCCAATTTCCAGAGAGAAATAATGGAAAGTGACACTAAATGACTGTTTGTTGTTGTTTAGTCGTTTAGTCGTGTCTGACTCTTCGTGACCCCATGGACCAGAACACGCCAGGCACTCCTGTCTTCCACTGCCTCCCGCGGTTTGGTCAAACTCATGCTGGTAGCTTCGAGAACACTGTCCAACCATCTCGTCCTCTGTCGTTCCCTTCTCCTTGTGCCCTCCATCTTTCCCAACATCAGGGTCTTTTCCAGGGAGTCTTCTCTTCTCATGAGGTGGCCAAAGTATTGGAGCCTCAGCTTCAGGATCTGTCCTTCCAGTGAGCACTCAGGGCTGATTTCCTTCAGAATGGAGAGGTTTGATCTTCTTGCAGTCCATGGGACTCTCAAGAGTCTCCTCCAGCACCATCATTCAAAAGCATCAATTCTTCAGCGATCAGCCTTCTTTATGGTCCAGCTCTCACTTCCATACATCACTACTGGGAAAACCATAGCTTTAACTATACTGACCTTTGTTGGCATGGTGATGTCTCTGCTTTTGAAGATGCTGTCTAGGTTTGTCATTGCTTTTCTCCCAAGAAGCAGGCGTCTTTTAATTTCGTGACTGCTGTCACCATCTGCAGTGATCATGGAGCCCAAGAAAGTAAAATCTCTCACTGCCTCCATTTCTTCCCCTTCTATTTGCCAGGAGGTGATGGGCCCAGTGGCCATGATCTTAGTTTTTTTTAATGTTGAGCTTCAGACCATATTTTGCGCTGTCCTCTTTCACCCTCCTTAAGAGATTCTTTAATTCCTCCTCACTTTCTGCCATCAAGGTTATGTCATCTGCATGTCTTGCTGTGGTGAAGGGGCTTGAATAACTCAGAGAAGCTATGATCTATGCCGTGCAGGGCCACCCAAGATGGACAGGTCATAGTGGAGAGTTTTGACCAAACATGATCCACATGGAGCAGGAACCGGCAAGCCACTCCAGTATCCCTGCCAAGAAAACTCCATGGACAAATGACTGTTTAGGGAAGCTTTTAGTATTTGATGAATGATTGTATTTTAATCTTTTGTTGGAAGCCGCCCAGATGGGTAGGGTATAAATAAATTATTATCATTATTATTGAAAATGTATAACTTGTTAGAATGGGAAACAACAGATGAAGAGGTGCAGTGTGTTATGATAAAGTGGGCAAAAGATGTGGAACATAATATTCAAATGACAGACTGGGAAAGTTTATGGAAAAACGATCTAAAATTGATGGCCTGGACCTGACTTAAAGAGAATTGAAAAAAATTGAGGGAAATTGGGGGATTTTGGAAATCCCACATTTGGGAGCTGGACTGTGATATTTTTTATTTTCTGTTATTGCAGAAATTAATTTAAAATAGTTTAAAGGAAGAATTAAAAGCACAATAGAAATTCAAATTCATGGCCTGGATCTGACTTAAAGAGAACTATATGAAAACAATGGCTATGTGGTATTGAAAACTGGTTAAATTGGCAAAAAATATGTATAAAACAAGGGAAAATCGGTGTTGGAAATGTAAAGAGGTAGAAGGGACTTCCATCATATGTGGTGGCAACGCAAAATTATGGGGGGAGGATGGGAAAATGGTATATAACGGATTGGAAAAAATGTTTTTTCATAAGCTTGCATTGCCACCACATCTGATAAACTTACTTTCTACAAATTCTTATATTCTTTCGGGAGATCCGTTCCAAAACAAGGTGCGCTTTCCCATAGAAAGTAATGCAAAACGGATTAATCTGTACTAGACTTTTAAAAACGACCCCAAAAACAGTAATTTAGCATGAATTTTACTATCTAACGAGACCATTGATCCATAAAATGAAAGCAATAATCAATGTACTGTACTATTAAATAAATACAGACAGTATTGTAGATGATAAAAATTAAAATTATTTTTTTCTTACCTGTACTGATGATAGTCATTGTTTGGATGGGGGGCTTTTATCCATTTCCGGTGTCACACAATCAGTCAATCAATCAATCAATCGCTGAACTGGGTTCCACACAGTCACAAGAACAAATTAACGGAAAAAGCCTCAAAATAGCAAAATAAATAGCAAAAACAAAAGGGCCAAACTTAATCCGTTCTGGAAGTCAGGTTGACTTCCGAAATGTTCAAAAACCAAGATGCAGCTTCTGATTGGTTCAGGCGCCCCGGAAACAATAGCCGACAGCCGCATCGGACAATCGGCTTCCAAAAAACGTTTGAAAACCGGAACACTTACATCCGGGTTTCTGGTCTTTGGGAACCAAGGCATTTGAGAAACAAGGTACCACTGTAGATCGCGATCTACTGGTTGGACATGCCTGCTATATGGTAATTTATGGACAAAATATGTATTTTATCAAAGTAATTGTCGAACTGAAATACAATTAAGAAGAAGTATATTAATAGTGAAATAATTATGAAGCTCTAACTTAAAATGAGGATGCGGCTGGCGCTGCGGGTTAAACCACAGAGCCTAGGACTTGCTGATCAGAAGGTCGGCGGTTCGAATCCCCGCGATGGGGTGAGCTCCCGTTGCTCGCTCCCTGCTCCTGCCAACCTAGCAGTTTGAAAGCACGTCAAAGTGCAAGTAGATCAATAGGTACCGCTCTGGCGGGAAGGTAAACGGCATTTCCGTGTGCTGCTCTGGTTCGCCAGAAGCTGCTTAGTTATGCTGGCCACATGACCCGGAAGCTGTACGCCGGCTCCCTCAGCCAATAAAACAAGATGAGTGCTGCAACCCCCAGAGTCGTTCGCGACTGGACTTAACTGTCAGGGGTCCTTTACCTTTTCTCTTTTTTTGTTTTAACTTAAAATGATTTTCTATTCATAATAAATGTAATAATGCAAACACATGGGAATTGGGCAATGACAAAAGTTCCTTTAGAAACACAATTTCATAATCTGGTCTCTAGAAACTTCCTATAACATGAAATAAATAAGAATAATAAAAAAAATTTATGTATAACCCGCCCTCCCCAGCCAAAGCCAGGCTCAGAGCGGCTAACAACAGTAAAATAATACAGCATTCTAAAATCAATTCATTATAAAATCAGTTCAAATCAAATTGATGGCAACTATTGGGCTAGAGTTCTGTGAAGAATTACCAAAGGATAGGTATATTTAATACATGTCAATATATGATGCACTCTACTAATAATTATAAATAGCAGAATGTAGGCACCCTATATATGGAAATGAGCAAACCAGTGATATTTTAGGGAGCAGGCTAGCAGCAAGGTCCATGAATTACACCATAGGAGCCTACACAACACAAAACCACTGTTTCTGTATGTAGGTTTTATTTTATTTGTGTTTTATCTTATATTCTGGAAATGTACATCCAATTTTTTTCCCTTTGAATTTTTTTGGGGGCCCCCAAGACCTTAAGCCACAGCTTGTTTGCAGCAAGGCCAGCAACAAAATATTGCAGCGCAGAGCGATCTGGTCCCCGTCTGCAAACACCCTCAAGTCCCTGCGAATATGTGGCCCTGGAGGAAGAAGAAAAAGACTACATTTCCCAGCAGCCATTGGGAATGCGGCCTGCCCATTGGCTTGAGAGGGTGGCGAAGGTGCCGAGTGATTGGCTGAGATGGGGACAGGGGGCGGGAGACGTCAGAGCGCAACATTCCACCCAGGGTAGCAGAGCCAGGTGAGCATTCTCTGAGTTCGCAAGAGCAAGAAACTGCAGGAAAGAAAAACATCTTTATCTCCCGGGTGCTAAATGGAGGTAAGCGTGGAAAATGCATCACTTGGAAGGAGTGTGCGAGGAGCTGTTTTATATTTGCATAGCGTGGGGAATTAGGGCTGACTCCTTCCTTTGTTTGGTGGGTCCCCAGTATTGATTTTATTGTTTGTATTTTGCTTTTCGATGCAGAAGGGAATAGGAAGCGGCTGCACTTTGCATCCCTTTATGTACTTGGGAAGAGAGGGAAATGGTAAGAAAAGACCAAATGTGACCTCTAAAAATGGCGGAGGAGGGGGGAGGTGGTGTGGATAGAGAAAAGAAAAAAAGAGATAAACGTTCAGACCGCTTTAATTCCTGGAGGAGCTTTCTTTTTCTTCTTCTTCTTCGTTTGTTTTGAAAAAAACCAGCCCTTAAAGGTGCCTTGCATGCATGTGATCTCAGCGCACTTCTGTTTGTTGTTAAAGGAACGGGACAGTTCCAAGTAGTGGGGGGTTAATTTTGCAATTTGTTTGTATTATTGTTGTATTATTTTATTGTTGTTAGCTGCCCTGAGCCCGGCTTCGGCTGGGGAGGGCAGGATATAAATAAAAATTTATTATTATTATTTATTATTGTTTAGATATCACAAATGGGGCTTTTTTAAAAAAAGCAACAACAACGAGTTATTGGATTTTATTAGGAAACGGCAAATCTGGATTAAATGGGAGGTGGGTGGGAGAGAAATATAAAATAGTGCTTTTAATATGAGCAGTGCCACATAGATACTGTGGGGAATTTGCATGTGGAAGAGGTAGAGCATCGATCTCACAACACACACCTGGCCGGAAAGCCACCCTGATGTTCTGAACCTGGACAGAACCTCGTATATTCAAGTGCTGATGCCCTAAATCTACTCTCTTAACACAGCTGGTGGCTGTGTTTGCTCATAATTGCAATGCTTTCAAGCTGGGCAAGGGGGACCTTTTCTCTCTAGGGGGTGAGATAAAGATCTTCCTCAGGGGCAACCTTTGACAGATGGGCGGGGCAACCCACCTGTCAATCACATGACATGTCCTGCTCACCTGTCAAAAGCCACCTGCGGGCCTTGCAGAAGTGACCCTAGTGTTGTAGTCTATTCTACCACTGGCATTGTGCTGTGTGGAAAGACTGCTCCACCTGCAGCCTGAAGTGGCACATTCCAGACGCAACTTTTTTTTAATCAAGGGCCGGGACAGGAGGGGAGTCGTGGATGTGGGAAGATGGGGAGAGTCTGGGCTGAGTCAGTGAGGCAAGGTGCCTTCTGGGCCAGCTGCTTCCTGTTCCAGGTCTGCGCCCTGTTGTTGTTTACTCATTTAGTCGTGTCCAACTCTTCTTGACCCCATGGACCAGAGCATGCCAGGCACTCCTGTCTTCCACTGCCTCCCGCAGTTTGGTCAAACTCATGCTGGTAGCTTCGAGAACACTGTCCCACCATCTCGTCCTCTAGTCCCCTTCTCCTTGTGCCCTCCATCTTTCCCAACATCACGGTCTTTTCCAGGGAGTCTTCTCTTCTCACGAGGTGGCCAAAGTATTGGAGCCTCAGCTTCAGGATCTGTCCTTCCAGTGAGCACTCAGGGCTGATTTCCTTAAGAATGGATAGGTTTGATCTTCTTGCAGTCCATGGGACTCTCAAGAGTCTCCTCCAGCACCATAATTCAAAAGCATCAATTCTTTGGTGATCAGCCTTCTTTATGGTCCAGCTCTCACTTCCATACATCACTACTGGGAAAACAATAGCTTTTACTATACGGAACTTTGTTGGCAAGGTGATGTCTCTACTCTTGAAAACATTTGTGGGAAATGAGATGAGGGTCTCTCTATCTTCGCAGGGGCCGGTGGTGACCTTTGAAGATGTGGCTGTATATTTCACGGAGAGCCAGGGGGTTCTGCTGGATCCCGACCAAAGGGCCCTCTACAGGGATGTCATGATGGAGAATTATGGGAATGTGGCCTCGCTGGGTAAGGATTCTGGTGCATCATTCCCCAAGAAGCCTCGAAATCCACCTGCCCATCTCTGCATGTTTGAAATGATGCGTATCTATGGCACACTTGGTTTCTTCACTGGGCCTTTTCTCTAAAAAAATTCAGGGTGAGTTGCTCGATAGACTTCCCTGTTCATAACAGGCTGAGGCAGACCAGGCTGAGAGAAGACCTAGGCATACTAGAACCATCATTCATGCAACTGCCTCATGCATGCATTCATTCATTCATTGAATCTCTCTCTCTCTCTCTCTCTCTCTCTCTCTCTCTCTCTCTCTCACACACACACACACACACACACTCTCACACAGTGGTACCTTAGGTTAAGAACTTAATTCGTTCTGGAGGTCCGTTCTTAACCTGAAACTGTTCTTAACCTGAGGTACCACTTTAGCTAATGGGGCCTCCCGCTGCTGCCGCAAGATTTCTGTTCTCATCCTGAAGCAAAGTTATTAACCCGAGGTACTATTTCTGGGTTAGCGGAGTCTGCAATTTGAAGCATCTGTAACCCGAGGTATCACTCTGTGTGTGTGTGTGTGTGTGTGTGTGTATATATACACACACACACACACACACACACACACACACACACACACACACACACACACACACACAGTCGTACCTTGGAAGCCCAACGGAATCCGTTTCAGAAGTCCGTTCAACTTCCAAAGCGTTTGACTTCCAAAGCGCGGCTTCTGATTGGCTGCAGGAACAATCACTGGAACAATCAAAAACTGGAACAATCACTTCCGAGTTTCAATCGAGCTGAAACGTTCAGGTTCAAGGTCAAAGGCGTTTGGCTTCCAAGGTTCCACTGTATTATATAACTCCAACATTAAAGGAAGAAATTAACAAACAATTGGAAGCTTTCTTTAAGCTCCCAATTGTTCTTTTGCAGCTGCAGTTTTAACTAACATTGTGTCTCATTGGTGTGGTCTGGGGGCAATGGCCACAGGGTCCAATTTAAGACTCTTGCCAGACCTAGTGGACAAGGAGGTTCTCCCCCAATTGTAAAGATATCAGGATATGTGTGATAGTTGTGTGGTTCCCTCTTTGGGGGTTTGGATGTGTTTCACCACATCTCCTGTGACTTTCTCTGCTGTTTTCTTCCCTGGGTAGGATTTCCATTCACCAAACCTGAGCTCATCTCCCACCTGGAACGAGGGGAAGAACCGTGGGTGCCAAATTGTCGGGGTTTGAATGAAGTTGAGAACTCCAACGCCAGCTCAGGTGAGGGGTCAGGGGAAGCCAACCATCCCCAAACTCTTTCGTGATTTCTTGGGACTCTTCTCAGTAAAAATTTCCTGGGATACCTCAAGTCATGGTTCTAGAATAGGCAAATGGGCAGTTGTTGTTTAGTTGTTTAGTTGTTTAGTCATGTCCGACTCCTCGTGACCCCATGGACCAGAGCACGCCAGGCACTCCTGTCTTCCACTGCCTCCCGCAGTTTGGTCAAACTCATGCTGGTAGCTTCGAGAACACTGTCCAACCATCTCGTCCTCTGCCGTCCCCTTCTCCTTGTGCCCTCCATCTTTCCCAACATCAGGGTCTTTTCCAGGGAGTCTTCTCTTCTCATGAGGTGGCCAAAGTATTGGAGCCTCAGCTTCACGATCTGTCCTTCCAGGGAGCACTCAGGGCTGATTTCCTTCAGAATAGAGAGGTTTGATCTTCTTGCAGTCCGTGGGACTCTCAAGAGTCTCTCAAGACTGCCTTGCCATGGCGAAGGGGCTTGAATAACTCAGAGAAGCTATGAGTTATGCCGTGCAGGGCCACCCAAGATGGACAGGTCATAGAGGAGAGTTTTGACCAAACGTGATCCACCTGGAGCAGGAACCGGCAAGCCACTCCAGTATCCCTGCCAAGAAAACTCCATGGACAAATGGGCAGTTAAGATGCATTAAACCGGTGTTTCCCAAACTTGGTTCTCCTGCTGTTTTTGTACTACAAATCCCATCATCCCTGACCACTGGTCTTGCTCGCTAGGTGATGATGGGAGTTGTAGTCCAAAAACAGCTGGAGACCCAAGTTTGGGAAACACTGTATTAAACCAACGGCTGCTGAAGACCTTAGCTCCCAAATTCATGTGACAATAAAATTTTTCTTTGTTTTTCTATTTTCCCGGCTTGCCCCTGGCAGAGCTACAGCTCCCAGCACCCTTATACTAGAGCTCCCAGGATTCTTTGGTGGACGCCATGCTGTGTAAATGTGTGATGGGGATGACGGGATGAAAGAGGGAGGTGTTTTCATGCCGCTTCGTTACTTGATATTTCAGTAGCACCACATTCTTAATGGTTCAGTTTCCCCTTTCAACCTTTTTCCCAGGTTTCCAGCTTTTCCTTCCTCCAGAATAAATCCTATTTCTTTTTATATATATATATAATTTTTGTTGATTTTAACATATAAATTATAAAGTGTACCACAAAACTTTTCACTTATACAATCTTTTTAGACTTCCATCAGCACCTCTGATGATCCACCATTTTAACCACTTCTTATGCATTTCTTAACTTTATATTGCCTTTACATCTCTTAACAAATCATCCTTCCCCTTCTCCATTTTTGCAATACTTCCAATAATACTCCTCACAAAACTTCTTGCAAACCTACAAACGTCGTCTGATCTTCACAAGTACTTTTCAAATAGTCCGTAAATTTACTCCAGTCTTCCATGAATTTCTGGTCCCGCCGGTTTCGAATCCTTCCTGTTAGTTTATCTAGTTCTGCATAGTCCATTAGTTTCATCCTCCATTCTTCAATCGTCGGTAATTCTTCTTGCTTCCATTTTTGGGCCAATAATATTCTTGCTGCTGTTATTGCATATAAAAAGAGCTTACATTCCTTTCTATTTATATCCCTCCCAACAATGCCCAGTAAAAATGCTTCTGGTTTCTTTATAAATGTATATTTCAACATTTTTTTCATCTCATTATATATCATCTCCCAGAAGCTTTTCACCTTTTTACATTCCCACCACATGTGATAAAATGTTCCCTCTTTTTCTTTACATTTCCAACATTTATTACTAACTTTATACATTTTCGCTAACTTTACAGGTGTAATATACCATCTATACATCATTTTCATCACATTTTCTTTTAGGGCATTGCATGCAGTAAATTTTAAACCTTCTTTCCATAATTTTACCCAGTCACTCAGCTGTATATTATACCCAAAATCCTTGGCCCAATGAATCATGACCGATTTAACCTCCTAGAATAAATCCTATTTCTATCTGCCTTTTGCCCCAGCAGATGAGCGCAGGGGAAATCACCCACATGCCACTCTGGAGGGATATCTTGTTCAGAATTCAAGCGTTGCCAGATGTCAGGATTTCCGTACAGGAAAGAAAGCCCATGAATGTTTGGAGTGTGGGAAGTGCTTTGCTGAGAAATCAAAGTTCACGATCCACCAGAGAGTCCACACGGGAGAGAAGCCCTACAAGTGCTCCGAGTGCGGGAAGCGCTGTGCCACCAAATCAAACCTCACCAGCCACCGGAAAATCCACACGGGAGAGAAGCCCTATGGCTGCGCGGAGTGCGGGAAGCGTTTTTCTCACAAATCCTATTTCGTGATCCACCAGACAGCCCACACAGGCAGGTACCCGTATAAGTGTGCCGTGTGCGGGAGGTGCTTTGTCCAGAAATCAAAACTCGCCGATCACCAGCGGGTCCACACGGGAGAGAAACCCTATAAATGTTTAGATTGCGGGAAGTGTTTCGCTTGGAAATCTCAGGTCGGGGAGCACCGGAGGAGTCACACCGGAGAGAAGCCCTTCGTGTGCGCCGAATGCGGGAAGCGCTTTTCTCACAAGTCAGTGCTGGTCACCCACCAAAAGGTGCACACGAGAGAGTACCCCTACAAGTGCTTGGAGTGCGGGAAATGCTTTGCTTATTCCACAGCCTTTGTGACGCACAGGAGAATCCACCCAGGGGAGAAGCCTCACAAATGCGCGGAGTGCGGGAAATGTTTTACGTGGAAGTCGCAGCTCGGGAACCACCAGCGAGTTCACACTGGGGAGAAACCTTTTCAGTGTTTAGGTTGCGGGAAGCTTTTCGCTCGCAAGTCGGAACTGGCGAACCACCAGAGGGTGCACACGAAGGAGAAACCCTTCCGGTGCGCGGAGTGCGAGAAATGCTTCGCTTATTCCTCTGCGCTCGCCACGCACCGCAGAGTCCACACGGGAGAAAAACCCTTCGCGTGCGCAGAGTGCGGGAAACGTTTTGCCCGCAGATCGATCTTTGCGAGGCATCAGAGATCCCACACGAGGGAGAAGCCCTTTACGTGTTCAGACTGCGGGAAAAGTTTTGCCGATTCTTCCACGTTTGCTACTCACCGCAGAGTCCACACGGGAGAGAAACCCTACAAGTGCGCGGATTGCGGGAAGTCTTTCGCTCACAACTCCACGTTCGCGACGCACAGGAGAATCCACACAAAGGAGAAGCCCTACGTTTGTTTGGAGTGCGGGAAGTGCTTTGCCGACTCCTCGACGTTTGCGAAACACCGGCGAGTTCACACGGGAGAGACGACCCACAAACGCTTGGACTATCGGTGCTCGGAGTGCGGGAAAGGCTTCGCTTCCAAACCGCAGTTCGAGAGACACCAGCGAGTCCACACGGGAGAAAAGCCCTTCAAATGTCTGGAGTGTGGGAAGTGTTTTGCTGATCCCTCCACCCTGGCAAAACACCAGAGAGTTCACCCGGGCGAGAGGACCCACAAATGCTTGAAATGCCATAAATGCTTTGTTCAAAGTTCAGACCTTATGAGGCACCAGAGGACCTGTGCGGCCGACAAACCTTATACGTGTTTGATGTGTGGCGAATGTTTCCCGTCGACGTCAGCCCTCATCTGCCACGAGAGAGCCCACGTGGATGAGAATTATTATGACTCTTCCAAGCCTTTTCCCATACAATAGAGCTGCGGCTCTCAAGCTTTTTTCTCTAGGCCACACTTTCAGAATAAAAAATTGCTGTGGGGCGCACCCGTTTTTTTATTGGAAAAAGGAAAAGAGACAACTTGATTTACAACATAAAGGTAAAGGGACCCCTGACTGTTAGGTCCAGTCGTGGCCGACTCTGGGGTTGCGGCGCTCATCTCGCTTTATTGGCCAAGGGAGCCGGCGTACAGCTTCCGGGTCATGTGGCCAGCATGACTAAGCCGCTTCTGGTGAACCAGAGCAGCGCACGGAAATGTTGTTTACCTTCCCGCCGGAGCAGTACCTATTTATCTACTTGCACTTTGACGTGCTTTCAAACTGCTAGGTTGGCAGGAGCAGGGACCGAGCAACGGGAGCTCATCCCGTTGCGGGGATTCGAACTGCCGACCTTCTGATCAGCAAGTCCTAGGCTCTGTGGTTTAACCCACAGTGCCACCCGCGTCCCACAGCTATTTTATAATGTGACTGTGGAACACTGGCAAGTATAATAATAATAATAATAATAATAATTATTATTATTATTATTATTTATATCCCGTCCTCCCTGGCCAGAGCCGGGCTCAGGGCGGCCAACACCAATAAAATCACAGTAAAAACAAAATAGGGGAAAAGGGGGGGGGCAATTTAAAATACAGGTTAAAATGCAATTTAAAGTGCAGCCTCATTTTAAAATAGCCGATAAATCAAGACCATAAGGGGAGGGAAACATAAGGGTCAGACTGAGTCCAAACCAAAGGCCAGGCAGAACAGCTCTGTCTTGCAGGCCCTGCAGAAAGTTGTTAAGTCCTGCAGGGGCCTAGTCTCTTGTGAAAGAGCGTTCCACCAAGTAGGCGCCAGTACTGAAAAGGCCCTGGCCCTAGTTGAGACCAATCTAACCACCTTGTGACCTGGGACCTCCAAAATGTTGTCGTTTGTGGACCTTAAGGTCCTCTGTGGGGCATACCAGGAGCTACATAAGAACATGAAGCATTCCCAAAATTTAATTATGAATGAGCCTCTTACATATGCACCTTAAGTAGGTATGCAAACTCAGTGAGAGGTGTGAGCTTGCTTTTTCTGGATAATCTCATTTGTAGTAGGTCTGATTTGAGACAAACTCTTATCTCCTTCCTTTTTTCTCATCTTTCATATTTGTCAGAGTTGAGAACTCTGTTCACAACAATATGTCGTGGAAGAACAGCCAATGTTCTTGAAGAGAGTCATGGTTACTGTTTCTGGTTGTATACCTACACTGAAATGTTTAAATGTTACTTTGGTTGTCCTTGAATCTTCCTACCACACTTGCCATCCTTTCTTGCCACACAGTTTGAGAACCTCTGCCATAGAGAACGGACGTCAAAGGACGTGAGGTGAGAGATGCAAACAACACTCAGAATTGCATATTTATTCATTGGTGTGCTCTAAACCCTATACTGGGGACACGGGTGGTGCTGTGGTCTAAACCACAGAGCTGAGGGCTTGCCAATCAGAAGGTCGGCAGTTCGAATCCCCGTGACGGGGTGAGCTCCTGTTGCTTGGTCCCTACTCCTGCCAACCTAGCAGTTCAAAAGCACATCAGAGTGCAAGTAGATAAATAGGTACCACTCTGGCGGAAAGGTAAACGGCGTTTCCGTGCGCTGCTCTGGTTTTGCCAGGAGCGGCTTAGTCATGCTGGCCACATGACCTAGAAAAACTATCTGTGGACAAACGTCGGCTCCCTCGTCCAGTAAAGCGAGATGAGCGCCGCAACCCCAGAGTCGTTCACAACTGGACTTAATTGCCAGGTGTCCTTTACCTTTACACCCTATATTATCACTGAAACAGGTGTTGGGAAAACTTGTAGTTCAGTGGTGACAAGATTTGGAAACAAAATCGTATGACTTCATAATGCAGGAATGCAAACACTTCTATATAATAATAATTTTATTATTTATACCCCACCCATCTGACTGGGTTTCCCCAGCCACTTTGGGCAGCTTACAGCATATACAGTGGTACCTCTGGTTACATACGCTTCAGGTTACATACGCTTCAGGTTACACACTCTGCTAACCTAGAAATAGTGCTTCAGGTTAAGAACTTTGCTTCAGGATAAGAACAGAAATCGGGCTCCAGCGGCGTGGCACCATTAGCTAAAGTGGTGCTTCAGGTTAAGTACAGACCTCTGGAACGAATTAAGTACTTAACCCGAGGTACCACTGTATAAAAGCACAATAAAACATCAGACATTAAAAACTTCCCGTCAGGGAGATTCACTTGGATGCTGTTGTACAGGAGGAGTGGCTGAGCCATGGCAACTCCGTTGAGGAAGCCCACCCAGGCCTCTGGCCTGCGTTCCTCCCTGAACTCTGAGGAGTCGTCGCCGGCCCACGGTCCTCCCAGCCGCCGTCGATCGGATGCTGGTTCCACCAGGGGCCCCCAGCTTCGCAAACAGGCCTCGGCCTCATCCCTCCGCTCTGAGGGACAAGCTTGGGGCCGCCGCTCAGAATCCGTCCCCGAACCAGACCCAATCCTGCTCTCTCTGGTGCAGGCCTTGGCCCACACAGGCATCCCGCTTTCTGAGGCAGGCTTCTTTGAGGCTCTCATCACGCGTCCGCTGGGCGTGAGGCGCTTGCTCCCATCCGTGGCCCAGCTCCACCGCAGCGTTCTCCCGGCCTTACGGCGGCGCCACAAGTCCGGTCTCCGTCAGGTTCTCCACCGCCGCGATACTTTTGTCTTCCTCCATGAGGCGACGACAGGGGACGGGCGGGCCATCCTTGGCATCTCCGTCCTGCCTCTTGACAGGCCTGGGCAGTCTCCTCTGCTCCTGGGTGTGGAGTTCTTGGAGCAGCTGAGCCACCATTCGGTGGCCCGGGCCGTCACGGGTGTTTTGAGCGAAGGGCACGTCTTGTCCCACAGGGTGCTGGCTGTGGTCACTTCTGGGAATGCCCACATGATCCAAGCCTTTGCTGCCAACGGGATTCTGGGCACGGTGTTGCCCACTGCCCTTCACATCCCCTGCCTGGCGCACCAGCTGGAGCTGGTGATGGAGCTGTGGCCAGATAAGTTGGAACGGCTGGTTTCTGTGCTGCACCTCCTGGAGGATACATTCGGGCGGCAGGCTGCCCTGCGCCACCGTTACGAGCTGTTTCTGAGAGAGCGCGGCCTGGCACTCTCCCTGCCCGTTCCCAGTAGGTGGACTGGGCCAGAGGCTTGGCTGGAGAAGGCCGCCGTCATCGCAGAACATCTCCCCATCTTGATGGAGTTCGTGGCAGCTGATGAAGAAGAGGGTGCCACCATGGCCAAACTGCAGGCGCTTCTTGGGTCAGGCAGCGAGGAGTTGGTGGCGGAGGCCACCTTTGCAGCGGAGCACGGGGCAGTCCTCCTGAGCACGGCGCAGTTCCTGCACAAGTTGGGGGAGCCATTAGCGCACCGGGCCTATGGCGAGTTGGAGGCCTTGCGCATTGCCTTCTCCTACCACCTGGACACGGGGTTTGGGCCAAACACCAGGAGGCAGCTGGCCCTGTGCCCGCCTCGTCTGGCATCGCAGTTCCGCGAGGTCCTGGCTTGCAGCCTCACCCGCCTGGAGCACTTGCTCAGCTCTCACTCCTGCGATGCCCACGTTGAAGGCCGTGCGGGCCCTTGATCCCAAGCAGGTGGGCGCTGTGGGCTGGAGCCAGCTGCAGCAGGAGCAGGCCGTCCCTGGGCTGGCAGAGGTGGCAGAGGTGGAGTGGTTCCGCTACCAGCAGCTGGCGCAGGCGGCTCCTGCAAATGTCTCCCTGTCTCAGTGGTGGGAGGCGCAATCTGAGCAGCTCCCCACCCTGAGCGCCCTGGCCCAACGGTACCTCTGGCTGCCACTGTGCATGCCCAAGTCCCCTTTCCTCCCAGGAGACGTACTGAGTGGAGCAGGTGTCGAGGAGGGTTTCACAGACGAGAGTGTTTGCCTGTGGCGCATGCTCAGGTATAACCGCAACCTCTGTTAGCTGGCGACTTCCACCTGTGTCTAATTCTTGCCACTGACCTTGAGTCCCTTTTTGAGCAGCATTGAGAACCCAATTCACAGCTACCCAATTTCACTGGTAGAGTCACAGCCTCTCTTTTTTTTTCCTCTTTCATCCATGGAGCACTTGGCTTATCAACTAGAACAGAAGCCACAATCTTGTACGGCAATAAAGCATTTAAGACAAAAACTTCCCAATACAGGGCTGCCTTCAGATGTCTTCTAAAAAGTTGTGTACAGTGGTACCTCGGGTTACATACGCTTCAGGTTACATACGCATCAGGTTACAGACTCCGCTAACCCAGAAATAGTGCTTCAGGTTAAGAACTTTGCTTCAGGATAAGAACAGAAATTGTGCTCCGGCGGCGCAGCAGCAGCAGCAGGAGGCCCCCTTATCTAAAGTGGTGTTTCAGGTTAAGCACAGTTTCAGGTTAAATACAGACCTCTGGAACGAATTAAGTACTTAACCTGAGGTACCACTGTAGTTCCACTGACTCCCCCCGGGCCCACACAACATCCGCTAGGTTCATTCCTAGAGATCAGATGGCCTCTGGTCTTGAATATCAGCCACCTTCAGACTGCAGACTTGCCACCCACTCAGCAAACACCAGTGAACTTGTGTTTTTCATCTGCTCCACAGCACTCGACTGACAGATGACCACCTCTGTCCATCGGCCAGTTTCCCTCCTCCATGTGGTGGCATCCCTGTAGTTGGACTGGGAGGGAAAAGGTGGGACAGTTATTTTTGTACAGCTCAAGAGAAGCTAATCTAATAATTTGGAGGCAGTGGGGCCGCTCTAGCTCTCTGCTGTGGATGGTGAACAGCATGCCCATGGAGAAGGGGTTCCCACCCCCCACAAGGACTTAGAATCATAGAATAGAATCATAGAATCATAGAGTTGGAAGAGACCACAAGGGCCATCGAGTCCAACCCCCTGCCAAGCAGGAAACGCCATCAGAGCACTCCTGACATATGGTTGTCAAGCCTCTGCTTAAAGACCTCCAAAGAAGGAGACTCCACCACACTCCTTGGCAGCAAATTCCACTGTCAAACAGCTCTTACTGTCAGGAAGTTCTTCCTAATGTTTATTTTTTTTTATTTTTTTTTAAGAATATTTATTCCAATTTTAAAATTACAGAAAAAGAAGTTCTTCCTAATGTTTAGGTGGAATCTTCTTTCTTGTAGTTTGGATCCATTGCTCCGTGTCCGCTTCTCTGGAGCAGCAGAAAACAACCTTTCTCCCTCCTCTATGTGACATCCTTTTATATATTTGAACATGGCTATCATATCACCCCTTAACCTCCTCTTCTCCAGGCTAAACATGCCCATCTCCCTTAGCCTTTCCTCATAAGGCATCGTTTCCAGGCCTTTGACCATTTTGGTTGCCCTCCTCTGGACACGTTCCAGTTTGTCAGTGTCCTTCTTGAACTGTGGTGCCCAGAACTGGACACAGTACTCCAGGTGAGGTCTGACCAGAGCAGAATACAGTGGCACTATTACTTCCCTTGATCTAGATGCTATACTCCTATTGATGCAGCCCAGAATTGCATTGGCTTTTTTAGCTGCCGCGTCACACTGTTGGCTCATGTCAAGTTTGTGGACTTGGACATTTTCAGCTTGGAAGAAGACCAAGTTGTACTGAATGTCACAGCTGTTGTCCGCTGTGTTCCCTTGAAGATTGCCTGTGTTACTGGAGGAGGGGCAGGCGTGCACACAGAGGCAACTTACCTGGTGGTCATGGGGTGTAGTGGTTAGAGTACCTCTCTTGGTTGCTGCTCAAGCTCCTAACCCTTGTCTATTTTAAAAATGTACTTATACGCAGAAGGTAAATAAAAAGTTGTTGGGGTGAGCTTGTTTGCTTTCTGGGGGCGGTGGGATTGCCTGCTTTTTCTTGTATGCGTTTTATTTTGTATTGAGCGCCAGCAGCAAAATGGGCATTTCATGGATTTGTTTTCATTGTTAAATCTTTTCTGTTTTGTTGCTGTAGCTTGTTTTAAAAATAGAAATCCTTATTAAAAACGTCTTTAAAAAATAAAGACATCTGGAAGCAGCCTGAGAAAAAAGGGCATCAGCATATTTTTGTGTGTGGAGGGAACACTTCATTCTATCTAAATAAAACCTAAGGGCTGAATTCCACCCCCCAAAAAAGCCAGTGATTTTGCACCAAAACACAAATGCACAGGCTGTTCCTGTTTTGGATTTTGTTTTCGTCTGCTGCAGTTTTAAATTGTTAAGGTCATCTTCATTACCTTTGCAGCAGCATCTTTATATTTTATATTATTTTATATTCTATTCGTTTCCAACCCTACAGAGTGCTTTGCCGGCCGAAAAACGGCTTAAAAACTAGAAAGCAACAACCCAAGTCTCACAAGCGCAGGGTAAAGGAAGGCGCTGGGGACCAGCTGGAGGGGGGAGAACAAGGACTACGATTCCCAGCAGCCAGTGGGCTCTTAGCCCCGCCTCCATTCCCCTCCACGGTACGGAATCTTCAATATCCCGACAGTGGATTGGCCGCGATGGGTGCGAAGAAGCCGAGGGATTGGCTGAGCTGGAAAAGGGGCGTGGGGAAGCGCGTGAGCGCAGCATCCCCAGGACAGAAGGGGGGGGGGCGTCAGTGAGTTGAGTTGCAAGAGCCGGAAACTGTCCGGAGGAGCGCCTGAAACCCACCTTTTGCAAATGCAGGTAAAAGGGGGGGGGGGGAGTGCATTAACTGAGAGCGGGGGGGGGGGGCGAGGGGCGTGTTGGGGGGGGGTATGTTTCTTGCAACTTGGGGGGAAAGGGGGGGTGTCTCCTTTGTCTGCTTGAGTTCCCTCCCCACCCTTTTTCATAGACCCAGAGGGGGAAAGGAAGGGGCTGAGCTTTGCATCTCCTTGTGCACTTGGAAAGGGGGGGGGGCGTGCCTGGGTGTGGGGAGAAGGAGGGGCAGAAAAGCAAATTGGGGGGTGGGGGAGAGAAAGAGACCAAATATAACCTCTTAAAATGGCGGGGAAAAGATAAACCTTGTAGATCCTGAAAGTGCTTCTGTCTTAGTTTGGAAAAAGCAGCAGGAAAACTAGAAAAACAGAAGCAGCTGTGTGTGTCTAGTTATATATGTCTTTCTGCTGTCATTGCATGGTTTCATTTGTTTATCTTTTAAGCCACGGATCCAGCGCTTTGATGAGACTCGGATCCTCGCGATTTTGCATGCTGAAGTCTCAGATCCACCTCTGAAATACACGCACAAACAGAGAGAGAGAGAGCGAGCTGTTGCGTCCTTGGCTGTTTGCGGCATCATAATTTTTTTGGTGTGTGAGAGTGTGACTGATGTGGTCCCTGCTGGCGCTGCAGTGCTATAAAAGCCATGCTTGGAGGCATGTCCCCCTCACGATGTGTGCGTGCAAGTTCCCCAACGCTGCCCTCCGATCGTAACTCAGGCAGACTCTCGTAGGCGCCTTAAAGACTTAAGGCGTAACCATGAGCTTTTGTGGGTTAGAGCACACTTTGTCCAGCGTCTCGTATCATTGCCTGCTGATGACAACATCGTAAAAAAAAGGAAAAATCTCTGCAACATCGTAAATATCTCTGCCGCAGTGGTGTGAAAACAAAACAGGCATGGATCTTTTTTTTCTAAGCAGGAGACACAAATCTAACGTCTTGTCTCGAACACTTCTCCTTGCTGACAGAATTATAAAAAGAATGCATCGTGTGTCACTTTCGTTGCTCATCTGCATCTCTTGTTATCTGTGTGCCTCCCATTCCTTGTATCTCTGTCCAGGTTTAGATTGTATGGCTCTGGGGGCAGGGACCTCTCTACTGTAGCAATGCACGTGTTGGACAGCAACTCCCAGCCTTCTCGAGCCAGCATAGCCAATTGTTGGGGATGATGGGAGTTGTAGTCCAACAGTACAGGTTCTACAGGTTCTCTAGTCCTGCTGTAAAGTGCCAAGGCCCTTTGAAAGTGTGTTATACCTGCAGAGCAATCTGGAAAAGGTTTACTTGGATTTAAGGCCCTCTTTAGTTGTTGGGACTGGAGCCCGAGTCAGTTTGCAACCTTAAAGAAGTCAGGTCAACCTTTTTGACACCACGCTCATGGGACCAGTTCTTGAGACTATGTTGTATGTTTTGTGCAGCAAAATGAGGTGGCATGGTGGAGTTTATACTGCAGCTCTGATTGTGCTTTGCAGCTTCTGAATGCTTCCTGCAAAGAGAAAACTAGTGTAGCACTGAGAAAGGTTCTGACTTAGCCTTCTGCCTGTGTTGTGCTGGTTTTTTCTTTGCAGAGAGCAGCATTTAAAATTCCCACCATGCTGAGAAGTGATGCTGTGCTGGAGTAATGGCAGGATTCAAAATGATGGCTTCCATAGACCAAGTTGGGTGTGCCTTGTTGTGGAGCACGGGGCAGCGGTGGGGAAGGAAAGAAGAGGCCCAGGGCACTGTCAGCTGCCCAATAATTCTGGGTGTTGGTCCTGAGACTTGATAGTTGATATCTGCTAGTTTACATCTCTTTTAAAAATTTGAAAAATTCATGGAAGATTCAATAACTAGCCATGATTGCTAAGAGGAGAACGTCCATGTTTAGAAGTAGTATACTTTCAATTGCCTGCTACCCAGGAATGCACACAATGGGGGTTTTATTTAACACTTCTATAGAGTATGTATGTACAGTCGTACCTTGAACGGACTTCCAAGACATTAGAAAACCAAAGTGCAGCTTCTGATTGGCTGCAGGAAGCTCCTGTAGCCAATTGGAAGCCCCTCCGGATGTTCGGCTTCCAAAAATAGTTTGCAAACCAGAACACTCACTTCCAGGTTTGCGGCGTTCGGGAGCCAACGTGTTTGAGAACTAAGCTGTTCGAAAACCAAGGTACGACTGTACTGTGTTGTTGTTGTTTAGTCGTTTAGTCGTGTCCGACTCTTCCTGACCCCATGGGCCAGAGCACGCCAGGCACTCCTGTCTTCCACTGCCTCCCGCAGTTTGGTCAAACTCATGCTGGTAGCTTCAAGAACACTGTCCAACCATCTCGTCCTCTGTCGTCCCCTTCTCCTTGGGCCCTCAATCTTTCCCAACATCAGGGTCTTTTCCAGGGAGTCTTCTCTTCTCAGGAGGTGGCCAAAGTATTGGAGCCTGAGCTTCAGGATCTGTCCTTCCAGTGAGCACTCAGGGCTGATTTCCTTCAGATGGATAGGTTTGATCTTCTTGCAGTCCATGGGACTCTCAAGAGTCTCCTCCAGCACCATAATTCAAAAGCATCTTTTCTTCGGTGATCAGCCTTCTTTATGGTCCAGCTATATGAACAGGTAAGACCATCCCTGCATTGCAGGCTCACAATAAAGTAGGCATGGCACAAAAGAATGAAGGATGTGGATGGAAGAGGAAAGCAAAGCCTTGGAGCAACTGTTCTACCCACTGGCCCATCAGTCTCCCTTTTGGTATGACGCTCTTGCCAGGTGGCAGGAGGTGAAGCCTGCCAGCGACATTTGATTCCCTGGCTGATGGCCAAGACCCGAGCGTGCCGCCTCTGCATTCCCAAGCAACTTTGGGAAGAAGGAAAGGATATATATTTAATGAGTTAAAAGAGAGAGAGAGAGAGAGAGAGCTAGCAGTTAAGAGCAGAGCATTCTTTCCTGCAGGAAGCGGGGAGACAAAATCCCTGAAATTGCGTATTTAGGGAATGGTCCATGGGAGCTCCCGTTGCTCGGTCCCTGCTCCTGCCAACCTAGCAGTTCAAAAGCACGTCAAAGTGCAAGTAGATAAATAGGTACCACTCCGGCGGGAAGGTAAATGGCATTTCTGTGTGCTGCTCTGGTTCACCGGAAGCGGCTTAGTCATGCTGGCCACATGACCCAAAAGCTGTACGCCAGCTACCTTGGCCAGTAAAGCGAGATGAGCACCGCAACCCCAGAGTTGGTCACGACTGGACCTAATGGTCAGGGGTCCCTTTACCTTTTACTATGGGACTCAGTGTTAGAACATCGGTTTTGCATGTGTAGAAGGTTGCAGGCTTAATCCCCCAAATCTGGGAAAGACTGCCTCCCTGAAACCCTCCTGCCAATCATGGAACGTAAATCTGAGTTTGATCCGGCGAGCCAATTCTTGTGTTACCCTAATTACTCATTGATTTCAAATTCTACTTTCAATAAAAATGATTTGCCGGAGTCCTCTAGGTTTTGACAGCTTAGCAGGAAGATATTATCTGCAAAGTGGGAGCCTAATTACGATGTGATTGCTGTAAGAAAGGGGCTTGCCAAATATCACAAGCCCTTCCTGCCTCGGTCATCAGCTAATGCTTTAACATGTGTGATTTGCTGAATTTTGATTAAGAGCTGGAGGGCCAGTTCTGTTGACTCTCCTGGTTTGCTGACTTTAACCGCTGTCTCGTTATGAATGGAGGTGGAAGTCTTGTTAGTTTTGTTGCTGTTGCTTGTAAAATAAAAGAACGTAATATTAAACCATAAAAAAAAAAATCTGGCTTCAGTGTGCTGTGTATCTAGCTTTCATCTAGCAGAATGGAGATTCCTTCTTCAAGAATGTATATATATATATATATGCCATTGATGTTATGAAAGTTTGGGGAAAGTCTTTAAATGTTGATTTAGCCCATAGGTAGGCAAACTAAGGCCCGGGGGCCAGATCCGGCCCAATCGCCTTCTCAATCCGGTCCGCGGACGGTCCGGGAATCAGCGTGTTTTTACATGAGTGGAATGTGTCCTTTTATTTAAAATGCATCTCTGGGTTATTTGTGGGGCATAGGAATTCGTTCTCCCCCCAAAAAAACATAGTCCGGCCCCCCACAAGGTCTGAGGGACAGTGGACCGGCCCCCTGCTGAAAAAGTTTGCTGACCCCTGACTTAGCCTGTGATAGACCAAGACCTTCAGCTTCTGTGTCCTATACCAAGAAATACAGAAACTGCAAACACACATTTGCGTTTTACACGCGATAAAGCCTCGTTGAAATCAATGGGAGCTACTTGTGAGTAAACATGCGTAAGGTTGTGTTGTAAAAGCCCAATTATTTGTCCTTTGTCTTCTTTGTAACACTTCCTTTTATATTCAGAAAATAGGCAGGTGCCAGTGACAGCTTTAGTACACTTTGCTGAAAAGCAGGCAAATTAATAGGCGCTAAGCTCAGAATCCCAGGGACTGACAGTAAACGACACTTTCTGGGAAGTAAGCAGACATCTGTGCACAATATATAATTTCCAATAAGGAAATGAGGAACTTTTGTTAAGAGTTGAATGAGTCACAAGCCGGAAGAAAACCTTACTCTGCCAGCCGTCTCCTGGAACCTTGCACAGCTTCTGCCCCAAAGCCGTCCATTAGTATTCAACAATCAGCGTGGTGGGTGGATATATTTTCATTTATATACATTCATTCGAAATAAAAAGGGGTATGTACTCTTTTTCATTACTGTTTGTATTCTAGTTTATAATTTTTGTAAAGTGATATGGCAGGCAGGTCATCGGATGTATAATTTATTTTATTTTCATTTTATGAAGCATTCTATATCCACCCACCACGCTGATGACGAATTCTACGAAACAGTAGTCAATATCCGGAATTACTGTTCAGTGTTGGACATCATTGTTGAGTACACAAAGCTTCACAGCTTGTCTTCCGCCGTACAAAGTTTAGTACCTCGCTTCATTTAAAGATTTTCAGAGACTGTGAGACTAAAGATTTCATTCTGAACTTTTTATGATTTGAAGGGATTCTATAAAGATGGTCTATTACGTATATATATGGTCATCGTGTTGCCTAGACATTATTATACAGCAGGGCTGGGGAATCCGTGGTCCTCTAGTTGTTGGTGCTACGTCAGCCCTGACAATTGGAAATGTTGGCTGGCGGTGATGGGAGTCCCAAAAAGCATTTTTTGGGGGGGAGGGATCCCCACCTCTGTTTCAGATCCAGCGAGAAAGTATTTCTGCCAGGCGCAGGAGACTGAGCAACGATCCTTTGTGTGTGGTGTAGTGGTTAAGAGAGGTGGACTCGTAATCTGGTGAACCGGGTTCGATTCCCCGCTCCTCCACATGCAGCTGCTGGGTGACCTTGGGCCAGTCACACTTCTATGAAGTCTCTCAGCCCCACAGAGTGTTTGTTGTGGGGGAGGAAGGGAAAGGAGAATGTTAGCTGCTTTGAGACTCCTTAGGGTAGTGATAAAGCGGGATATCAAATCCAAACTCTTCTTCTTCTTCTTCTTCTTGCAGAGCCTGGTGACGTTTGAGGATGTGGCCGTGTATTTCACGAAGGAGCAGTGGAATCTCCTGGATCCCAACCAACGAGCTTTGTACAAGGAAGTCATGATAGAGAATTACGGGAATGTGGCCTCCTTGGGTAAGGAACTCCCTTCTTCCTTGGGGCAGGTGTGCGAAGGCTGTGTCTGTCGGTCGGGGCTGATGGGAGTTGGGATCCAAAACACTGGAGGGGTAGCAGGTTGGCAAAGGTGGCTTCAAAATATAAGATTTATGTCAGTTCCTTCCTCCGTCTCCCCAGTCCTTTCTGCGTTAGGGAAGTTGCTTCCTTCCTTCAGATTTAGTTATGTCGGGTGGGGAACGTCCGGCTCAGGGGCCAGATGCGGCCCTCCAGTTGTCTCTGTGTGGCCCTCAGAACTCTTCTAAGGCCACACCGCATGATATCCCTGCTTTTACTTTTATTTTATTAAATTTACCGGTGTATCCCACCCTATACCGTTAGGTCTCAGGGCGGTTCACAACATAAAATCACAAAGAGTGTGTTGCACTCTTGAGTCTCTTTTCCTGGCTGGAACGCATCTATTAATTAATTAACAAATTAATTAATTAATTAACATTTGTAACAATAATCCTTGAACTCTGAGAGAGACCCTTGCTTCCTTTTTAAAAACATTTTTTATTTTTATTTTTTTCAAATTTAAACATTTCATTAGTTTTACAATCAATTTAACCTTTTGAAATTTGACTCCCTTCCCCCTCCTTCAGCGGTTCCATAAATTTGTTTTTTTAATACCTTCTGCATATCGCAAGCTCATTTAACTTGCTCATTTATTTATCTGCTGTAAATATATACTCTTATAAAACTGCAAGTTAATCTGAAGGCAGCCCTGTTTAGGGAAGCTTTTAATGTTTAATAGGTTATTGTATTTTAATATTCTGTTGGAAGCCGCCCAGAGTGAGTGGGGTATGAATAATAAATAAATTATTATTATTATTATTATTATTATTATTATGTTTTTATTTTTGCTTAACTGGATGGAGGGATGTGTTTGTGTGTGTGTGTGTTTGTGTATGGAGAGAGAGAGAGAGAGAGAGAGAGAGAGACTACCGTGTAAGAGTACCATTAGTTCCCAATACAAATATAAAATGTATTGATAACATTTTTTTTAATATAAAATGTAGATGCATTGCTCCGCCCACTTTTGCCCTGGCTCCGCCCACCACTGGAATCTCCTTCCTTAAAGGTTTTTAATCAGAGGCTGGATGGCCACCTGTCATGGCTTCCCCCTAAGAATCCTGGGAAATGTGGGTGCGTTAAGGGTGCAGAGAGTCGTGAGGAGACCCCTGTTCCCCTCGAGGAGCTACAATTCCCAGAGTTCCCTGGGAAAGAGGGGTGAAGTGTTAAACCACTCTCAGGACGGCAGCTTTCTGAGGCGAATAGGGGACTCCTAACAACTCCCAGCATCCAAAACACAGGAAAACCATCCTCATCGTTCCTCTTCTCTTCCTGAGAAGGATACCCAGCTCCTAAGCCTGGCCTCATCTGCCGCCTGGAACAAGGGGAGGAGCCCTGTGTGCCCGATTCTCCAGATGGAAGGAAGCTCTTTGACACCTGCTCAGGTGAGGCACTGGTTTGAGCCCGGCCAAGGGTGTTGGCAGCCCTGTGTTGGCTGTGCATACTCTTAGAATTTGGTGATGTCTCTAATCTCGCTCTGAGAAATGGTACAGCTGCCTTTTTCCTCATTGTTACATTAAGAAGAAGGAAAAGGAAAAGAAAGGGGAAAATGAGAGAGAGAGAGAAAAAAAAAGAAAGAAAATGAACAAAGTAAAAAAGACTTCTGTCCTACAGCTAAATACAGTGGTACCTTGGGTTACAGATGCTTCAGGTTACATACGCTTCAGGTTACAGACTCCGCTAACCCAGAAATATTACCTCGGGTTAAGAACTTTGCTTCAGGATGAGAACAGAAGTTGTGCTCTGGCGGCGCGGCGGCAGCAGGAGGCCCCATTAGCTAAAGTGGTGTTTCAGGTTAAGAACAGTTTCAGGTTAAGAACGGACCTCCGGAACGAATTAAGTACGTAACCAGAGGTACCACTATATAGTAATCACTCATTAACATCCAACTTTTCTTTTTTCTTTTATTTATTTGATTTTTAAAAAATATAAACTTACAACAAAAAAACCATTCAAAATCCAAATACAGTCATTCCTCAGGTTATGGACACTTCGGGTTGCGCGATTTCAGGTTGCGCACTGAGCCGAACCCGGACGTACCGGAATGGGTTACTTCCGGGTTTCTGCGCATGCGCAGAAGCGCCGACTCGCAACCAGCGTGTGCGCAGATGCGGCGCTGCGGGTTGCAAATGTGCTTCCTGTACGGATCATGTTCGCAACCCGAGCGTCCACTGTACTGTATCAAGATTACTCTGAATCTCCTGACTTCTCCCCATCCCTTCCACGGGTCCTAATAAGATTTACAACTGCATATCAATACTTATCCAAATTTATATCCTTCTGAATGATCTATACTTTCCATTACTTTGCAAGTGTGGTTAAAATCCTGCTAATGTTTTAACCTGCTTACAGTGGTCTTGTAGATAAATTATAAACTTTCCCCATTCATTTTTAAAGTTCTTGCCTTCTTGAAACATCCAACTTTTCTATTTCCTATGAGCCAATATTTTTCCTATCTTCAGCAAATCCAGAAGTTACAAGTTCATTTTCTCTTTCACACAAAAAATCCAAAAGAAATTTCCAGTCCTTAATAAATGTCAATACAGTGGTACCTTGGTTTGCAACCGCTTTGGATTGCAACCGTTTTGGATTACAACCACGTCAAACCCAGAAGTATGCGTCCCTTTTTTTGGATTACAACCCATTTTTTATGGATTACAACCCATTTTTTGGGAGGAGGCCCCATTGGCGAAAGTGCGTCTTGGGTTACAACCTGTTTTGGTTTACAACCGGACCTCCGGAACAGATTACGGTTGTAAACCAAGGTACCACTGTAGCGATTTTTCTCTAATTAATGAATTGGACTCCTTGGCAGGTTTTGAATAAACACTCACAAACTTTTTATTGGTAACATATAGATGGAGAAATTAAGGATCTTTACAATTTTATAACATGCAGCGAATAACATGTGCTGAAAAACCAGAGAGAGGAGCTGAGGGAAGTCTGGGTGGGGGGTGGGTTTTTCTTTCTTGGGGAGGGAAAAATGGGGAGAAAAAATGAGGATGATCTGATTTTGATGAATTGTTATTTTAAAACTCCTAATAAAAAATATTTTTTTAAAAAAGATTTTTCTCCAATTAAGCCCATTACCTTGGCCACCTCAGCCAAGTCCAATAATTTTATCAACCATTAATGCATAGCAGGTAGCGCCGTATCTTTCCATCTTTGTGTATACAGTGGTACCTCAGGTTACATACGCTTCAGGTTACATACGCTTCAGGTTACAGACTCCGCTAACCCAGAAATAGTGCTTCAGGTTAAGAACTTTGCTTCAGGATGAGAACAGAAATCGTGCTCCAGTGGCGCAGCAGCAGCAGGAGGCCCCATTAGCTAAAGTGGCGCTTCAGGTTAAGAACAGTTTCAGGTTAAGAACAGACCTCCGGAACGAATTAAGTACTTAACCTGAGGTCCCACTGTACAACAATCTCACCTCTGTCCATATGCTTTCTGAGGCTCCTTCTCAGGTGATTTCTCTCTCTCTCTCTTTCTCTGCAGATAACCCTCGGAAAAAGCACTTGTGCACTGTGTGCGGCAAACGCTTCACTCAGAAACCGAACCTCACGCGGCACCTGAGAATCCACACGGGGGAGAAGCCCTACAAGTGTTTGGAATGTGGCAAATGTTTCGGCTGCCACTCGCACCTGATGAGCCACCAGATTGTCCACACCGGGGAGAAGCCCTACAAGTGCTTGGTCTGCGACAAATACTTCGGCCGCAAGGCGCACCTGGCCCGGCACCAGGGCATCTACGCGGGGGAGACCCCTTACAAGTGCCTGGAGTGCGGGAAGCATTTTGCCTGCCAGTCCCAGCTTGTCATCCACCGGCGGTACCACACGGGAGAGAAACCCTACAAATGCCTGGAGTGCGCCAAGTGCTTTGCCGACCCATCGGCCCTGGTGAGCCACAAGCGGATCCACGCCGTGGAGCGATCCCACAAGTGCCTGGAGTGTGGAAAGAGCTTCGTCCAGCAGTCCCACCTCCTGAAGCACCGTAGAGTCCACACGGGAGAGAAACCCTACAAGTGCCCCGAGTGCGGGAAATGCTTTGCCGACCGCTCCGTCTTCGCCAAACACCAGAGGGTCCACACGGGGGAGCGCCCCTACAAGTGCGCCGAGTGCGGGAAAACCTTCGCCCGCCAGGAACACCTCGGGAGCCACCGGAGGGTGCACACGGGCGAGAAACCCTACAAGTGCTTGGTGTGCGGCAAGTCGTTCGCCCGCCAGTCGCACGTGGTGAGCCACCAGAGGGTCCACACGGGGGAAAAGCCCTGCAAGTGCGCCGAGTGCGGGAAGTGCTTTTCGGAGCGCTCGACGTTCGTCAGGCACCAGAGGACCCACACGGGGGAGAAACCCTACCGGTGCCTAGACTGCGGGAAATGTTTCGGCTCCCCGTCCCACCTGACCCGCCACCACCGGCGCCACACGGGCGAGAAGCCACACGGGTGCCCGGACTGCGGGAAAGCCTTCGCCGACCGCTCGGCCTTCGTCAAACACCAGCGCGTCCACACGGGCGAGAAGCCCTACAAGTGCGCTGAGTGCGGGCGGTGCTTTGCCAACCGCACCCACCTCGTGACCCACCAGCGCGTCCACACGGGCGAGAAGCCCTACGCTTGCTTGGAGTGCGGGAAACGGTTTAGCGCCAATCGGAGCCTCATTCACCATCAGAGGCAACATATAGGTGAGCTGCTCCTTTTTATCACAAAGGGCAGGTTTGGGTTTTTGTTGGTTTGTTTTAAATCATTTTTATTTGATTTTAAGTAAAGGTAAAGGGACCCCTGACCATTAGGTCGTGACCGACTCTGGGGTTGTGGAGCTCATCTCACTTTATTGGCCGAGGGAACCGGCGTACAGCTTCCGGGTCATGTGGCCAGCATGACTAAACAGCTTCTGGTGAACCAGAGCAGCGCACGGAAACGCCATTTACCTTCCCGCTGGAGCGGTACCTATTTATCTACTTGCACTTTGATGTGCTTTCAAACTGCTAGGTTGGCAGGAGCAGGGACCGAGCAACGGGAGCTCACCCCGTCACAGGGATTCGAACCGCCAACCTTCTGATCAGCAAGTCCTAGGCTCTGTGGTTTAACCCACAGCGCCACCCGCGTCCCATTATTTGATTTTACAGCTATAGAATTTCAGGGCGTGGCGATCACACAGGGTCCCCGGACGTTTAACCGTCTATTGATCCCTGTGCCACCACTGTGTTCACTTTCCCGCTGCCATCAACCCGTTGCTCTCGGGTAAAACACTGAATCCAGACAGTTGTTAAAAGTGAACCAAATAAACAAGATTATTTTACAAACATTAACAAGTTTATGGTTTCTCAGATAATATTCCTGTCAGTATTTTAACTTTAGTTTCTTTACCTGCCTATAGCTTCCTACAGGGAACCAGACAGAGGGCCTTCTCGGTAGTGGCACCCTCCCTGTGGAACGCCCTCCCTTCAGATGTGAAGGAAATAAGCAGCTATCTTCTCTTTAAAAGACATCTGAAGGCAGCCCTGTTTAGGGAAGTTTTTAATATTTAATTCTGTATTGTTTTTAACACTTGATTGGAAGCAGCCCAGAGTGGCTGGGGAAACTCAGCCAGATGGGCAGGGTATAAATAATAAATTATTATTATTATTATTATTATTATTATTATTATTATTAATTAATTATTACCTTCTGACTGATTATCTCAACTGTTTGACTGACTCCTCTTAACACATTCTCTCAGTCTCTCACACTAGACTAACCCAACCGACAGACTTATCTTCTCTGTCTCTTCTAACTCCAGTCTGTCTTCTCAGCCACCTTAACTCTAACTCAAAAAACTCTGTGCTTAAACATTATACACAGTTAACTCTGCCCCTTGGGTTCCCGTTAGTTAGTCATTTTACAATTAGTTAACCCTTTCCTTATGAACCCAGTAAGATGTCACACACCTAAGAGGGCAAACGCCACATAGGGGTACCTTGTTTTGAGTCCAGGATCCGTTCTGGAGCAACCAAAGGGATGCTCGACAAAGCGCACTCTGCACACATGCGCTGAGCAGTTTGCGCTTCTGCGCATGCATGAAGTGCGATTTAGCGCTTTTGCGCATGCGTGAGCAGCGAACCCGGAAGTAACCCATTCCGGTACTTCCGGGTTTGCCACGGACATTCGCCGAAATCGACGCTCGGCGGGGTGGACGTTCACGGAGGTTTTCCTTACCAATTACGTAGCCATATTTAGAGATTTTTCTGTATCTCTCGACTTCCCAGCATCCCCTCCATGGGTCCTATTGCTATCCTTTTCAACTGCATATTATTTCACAGTCCATATTTTATGTCTCTCCATTTTGTCCGTAGTCTTTGCTACCTTACGAGTGCTATTGCAATCCTGCTAATGTTTTCATCTGCTTACAGTGGTTTCTTAAATAAATTATAAATTTTCCCAATTCTTTATTGAAGTTTTGTTCTTTTTGGTACCTGGTGATGTTTCTGCGCTCTGTACAGCTCTATGTAGAGAGTGCCAACATTAGCCTCGTTTTGGATGTAACCAGAGTTACAGCGTCTTGTAAAAAGCAATCCTAGCTGCTGAGATCACCTCTTCTTCCATAGACAAGCACTGTTTCCAGGAGGAGAACTGAGGTTTCCCCCAAGAAAATATAGTAACCACAACCTTATTTTTGTGCGGACCTGTTTTCCATCCAAACTGACTGGCACTCAACCACCCGAGTTCACTGTTAGAGAGAGAAGTTGGGGGTAAATTATGAGAGTATGAAGGTAAGGTCAGAGTTCTGTGGTCCTTCTGTCATTCAGTTTAGTTCATTGCTCTTGTGGGTGACTGTAGTTTTATAATTCCGCATTGTTCCTCGTGTGATCTCAGCCTGCACTTATTCTCATTCCAGGCTATCCTCTGGCAAAGTGTGTGGAGAACATTTTGTTGACGAACCAAGCCTTGGGGTGTGATGCTGGGGAATCGGTGCAGGAAAACAAACTGTATGAATGGCTCGCATCTGGGAAGTGGCTCAGCCTGCAAGGGTCTCTGGGTCAGAGTGAAGGTGTTCACACAGAAGAAGATGCCTTGACCCAGGATGGCAAAGCGTATGTCGGAAGAAAGCACTGACCTATGGCAGTCAGTTCTCTTTGATGACAGACTGAGGTGACATCACAGTCCAAAAGTGGTCAGAGAAAATGACACTAAAGCTGAAACAAGCTTTTTCCAACAGATTTTGAAAATCGACCACAAAATATGGGTGCTTTAGACTTTCATTAGACAGTCTCTCTGATTGTTTCATTTTTTTATAAGGTGTCAAATATAAAATGCCATAAGCTAGCAACTTTAAAATAGTCATAAACTAAATACCATTGCATGTCAGCTATAAAATACTGGTAGGTAGGTAAATGCATGACTATTATCAAACACTACATACCATTCCATTCCATCTTATCAGATTATGGTAAACACTATTGCATGTCGGTGATTAAATACAAATGTTTTGAATGCCAATTACTTAAATGTGCTTAAACACTAAATGCCATTGCATGCCATCTGTCAAATTTAGTGAAATCATAAAAAAAAACTTTGCATGTTAGCTAGCAAATATAGTCAAATACGAATGCTATTGCATGCCGGCTTTCAAATACTAATACTTCTGCATGTCGTCTTTGAAATGCTTTCAAGTAACAACTTTCAGATACTACCGGGCATCAAATATTGACATTGAATATTTATTACTTGGCATCAAATGTCAGAGAGAGCTTAATTTGTGAGGCAAATGTGTCTCAGCTCTGAACGGTACACTTGCAATCTCCCCCAAAGGTTTGGGTACGGTATACAGTGCAATGTGCAATTCTGGTCACATCTCAAAAAGGGTGGAGAGACTGAAGAGAAGAAATACAGTGGTACCTCAGGTTAAGTACTTAATTCGTTCCGGAGGTCCGTACTTACCCTGAAACTGTTCTTAACCTGAAGCACCACTTTAGCTAATGGGGCCTCCTGCTGCCGCCGCACCGCCGGAGCATGATTTCTGTTCTCATCCTGAAGCAAAGTTCTTAACCTGAAGCACTATTTCTGGGTTAGCGGAGCCTGTAACCTGAAGCATATGTAACCTGAAGCGTCTGTAACCCGAGGTACCACTGTAATCGGAAGGTGATAGCATCTGCCCTACAAGGGAAGCCCATAGCTGCTGCACTTCTTTTTTTTAGTTTGCAAAAAATTTGATTCAGGGGAGTCATGGATCGAGAGTTATAAAATTATGCATGGTACAGAAAAAGTGGGGGAAGTCTTCCACCCCATAATTCTAGAACAGATGTCGCCCAATGAAGCAGAATGGTGGAATATTCAGGACAAACAAGGCCAGATTCGTGGAGGAAAAAGCTACCAGTGGCTGCTAGTCATGATGGCTGTATATTAACTTTGAGGACAGAGGCTAGGGACCACAAGTGAGATAATAATAATAAATTTTCATTTATACCCCGCCCTCCCCAGCCAGAGCCGGGCTCAGGGTGGCTAACACCAGTAAAATTACAATAAAAACATAAGGGGGAGGGGACCAATTTAAAAGGTTAAAATTATCTCATTTTAACAGCCTCATTTTAACAGTAGCCCATAGCTCGAAACCGTAAGGGGAGGGAAACATAAGGGTCAGCACCCTACTTGTGTTCTTAAGTATTTATGCACAGAAAAGCATAGCTAAATGATGGACAAGACAAATATGTGAAGGCCCTGCATGGGTATGTAGCCTTTTCAGCCTACGGCAAGAGACGCCTATTGCCTTATTGACCTGCTTGTGGGCTATCTAGAGGCAGGAGACATCTGGTTGGCCACTGGGGGGTGTTGGATGCTAGAATGACTATTGATGTGGTCCAGGAGGGAGCTTCTTAACGTGGGGAGGTGTTTGGATAACGGGGGATCAGCAGAACGTATTGTGATCGTTTGGAGCTCCAAAGAACCCCGCCTCTTCGATGGCAATTTGAAATTTGTGGAAAGTTACCGTATTTTTCGCTCCATAAGACGCACCTGACCATAAGTTTTTAGAGGAGGAAAGGGGGAAAGCCCCGTTTTTGGGGGGATCAGTTCACAGTTGTGCAGCTTCTTTTGCAAAGGGGAAAAATCCCGTTTTTATGGGGTTCAACTCACAGTTCCGCAGCTTCTTTAGGAAAGGAAAGGGAGCCGTTTCTACAGTTTCCAGACAGATAATCTAATCAGCCAGTCACATGTCGCTGGGGTAACAAACAGCCTCCATCTGCCGAACATTCAACAATGGAGGCCTGGGCAAGGGGGCGGGGCCAGAAAGGGAGCCAGCGATTGACCACAGATTCGCTCCATAAGACGCACAGACATTTCCCCTTTTTAGGAGGAAAAAAGTGCGTCTTACGGAGTGAAAAATACGGTACCTGTGTAAAACTGGAAAAGCTCAGATGGGTAAAGTGTGAGATTGTTAATCTTGCGGTCATGGGTTCGAGCCCCACAGTGGACAAAAGATTTCTGCATTGCTGGGGGTTGGACTGGATGACCCTTGGGGTCCCTTCCAACTCTGTGATTCTACAAAATAAAATGTGGACAGCTGAAGCTGCCTCATACTGAGCCAGCTTGTTGGTCTACCTAACCCATTGTTGTCTGCCCAGTTGCTGTCAGTTGTCACCTGGTGCTGCTTTTGACTGGCAGTGCTGAGTGCGGATTGAACCTGGCAGCTTCATCCTGCAAAGCAGGTCTAGTTCTACCAAAGGCAGAGAGCGGGGAAGGGGGCACTCCTCATCTGAAAAAGCCATGCAACGAAAACAAGCCCTGTGCAAATCGATTGACTCATTGTTAATAAAGAACCCACGCAAGGGCTGTGGTTGTGTTGATGGAAAACCAGTGGGAACGTATGTTATTTGCAGCGTTCTGCTAGAAGCAATATACTCGGAAGATTAATCCGTCGGCAGTGGCCCATTTTCAGTCTGCCAGGGCCTATTTTAGCTGCCTGCTTTCTCATGGGGAAATGTACGCCCGCAGGGATCATTTAGGGACATAGGAAGCTGCCTTATATCAAAGTCAGAACGTTGGTCCATCTATCTCAGTAATGCCTACATGGATTGGCAGCCAACCCCCAGGGTTTCTGACACAGAATATTCCCCTGTCCTACCTGGGGGGGATTGAATTGAGGGTCTTTAACATGCAACGTGGGACGCGGGTGGCGCTGTGGGTTAAACCACAGAGCCTAGGACTTGCCGATCAGAAGGTCGGCGGTTCGAATCCCCACGACGGGGTGAGCTCCCGTTGTTCGGTCCCTGCTCCTGCCAAGCTAGCAGTTCAAAAGCACGTCAAAGTACAAGTAGATAAATAGGTACCACTCTGGCAGGAAGGTAAACGGCATTTCCGTGCACTGCTCTGGTTCGCCAGAAGCGGCTTAGTCATGCTGGCTATGTGACCCGGAAGCTGTACGCTGGCTCCCTTGGCCAATAAAGCGAGATGAGCGCCGCAACCCCAGAGTCGGCCACGACTGGACCTAATGGTCAGGGGTCCCTTTACCTTTAACATGCAACACAGGTGTTCTACTATGGAGCGTATATTGTTTTGGGCTCCATGGAGGGAAGTGTGACTGAAGAAATTCCCCAATGTTTCCTTCTCTCTGGCAGAAGGGGAGCTGGACTGAACTGGGGTTCGGGGAGGCAGCCTGATAAGGCACTTTGCGGTCAGGACCTTTGGTGGGCTGATGGTCACTCAGCTGGGAAAGTCTTCCATGGTTGCCTTTATGTCAGGGTTGGGCAACCTGTTGGCCTTGGGATGTTGGTACAGTACAAAGCCCATCACCCCCCATCAATGACTATGCTGGTGGGGGCTGATGGGTGAGAGTCCAATGAAGGGCCTTGAGTTTCCCACCACATCTTTATGCTGAATGAGAGACCTGGGCCTCAGGGGTCAGTCACGCTGCTAGGTAGCTTCTGCATCCTAGAAAACACTTTTGACTTTTGCTTCAATGTGTAACTGTATACCATTTGCTTTGTATTATTACATTTATCCAATCCACCCGCTTTCCCTGCCTTTAATAAATATATTCCTTGGTTTACTAAAACTAGGATCCTGGTGTGTTCTTTTTTTAAAGTGCCTTTTTTCCAAGATTCTATACGATTCTTCGACATCAACTCTACATTCATCTAGGGCAGGCACGTCCAACAGGTAGAGCTTGTTGTTGTTGTTGTTGTTGTGGAACTGGCGAAATTGACATAGAAATTGCGAGACAAGGACAACTGTGGCTTTAAAGAAGAATGCGAACTTTTTATAAATTACCGTATTTTTCGCTCTATAAGACGCACCAGACCACAAGACGCACCTAGTTTTTGGAGGAGGAAAACAAGAAAAAAAATACTCTGAATCTCAGAAGCCAGAACAGCAAGAGGGATTGCTGCGCAGTGAAAGCAGCAATCCCTCTTGCTGTTCTGGCTTCTGGGATAGCTGCGCAGCCTGCATTTGCTCCATAAGACGCACACACATTTCCCCTTACTCTTTAGGAGGAAAAAAGTGAGTCTTCTAGAGCAAAAAATATGGTACTTCAAAAAACAACAAAATGAATTGGACTCCTTGGCAGGTTTTGAATAAACATACACAAATTTATTATTAACATAATAGATAGATAATTTAAGTATCTTTACAATTTTGTAATATGCAGAGAATATGTGTTGAAAAATTAGAGAGAGGAGCTGAGGGAAGTCTGGGGGTGAGTGGGTTTTTCTTGGGGAGGGAAAAAAGGGGGGGAATGAAGATGATATGTTTTTGATAATTTGTTATGTTGAAATTCTTAATAAAAACTATTTTTTAAAAAAGGAAGAAGTGGTCTCTAATTTATAGGTAAGCAGGAAAAAAATAGAAAAACCTAAAATTGAACAAAGCCTTAACGGGATGCCAGCTACAGACCTCGTTTCACTGAACTATTCAGTTTCCTCAGAAGGAAATAGAAAATTCATAAACCTTAAATGACCAAAAATCCAAAAAAGGGGGTAGAACTCCCCAAAATTCTGAAGGATTATAATTCTAGCTTGACCAAAGGGAAGCAAAGTGCAGTAATAAAGGATTGAGGACTCAAAGGTACAGTTTCTACAGGTTTTTCTAATTTTTTCCTTAAACTTTTTGATTCTTATTATTTAGTTTATTTCCATAAGATAATATTTCTAGTTGATTACTTCTCGTTTCAGGGATTTTCATGGTATTTCATTTGTTTTATGCAATACTTTTAAGCACAGCCAATGCACACTCAAAGCACATAACTTTACTCAAATAATCCTAGGAACTGTAGTTTGTTAGGAGGAACCTACAGGTGGATTTTCATAAATCTCAGACTCTCAGAGAGATATAAAAAAATACTGAGAAGTGGTACAGGGAATTCCTTCTGCTGAGGTTCGGGTGGAGGAACAGCAAGAAGAGACTTTGGGCTAATTTGATTCCTGTCTCCACTCTCGGCAACTTGATCTATAGCTGCTTTAAGGTGGATCTGGACATGCAGGGACGGGATAGTCTGTACTGGTTGAAATTCTGCCTGCCATACCACCTTTAAAGGTACAGTGGTACCTCGGGTTAAGAATTTAATGCGTTCCGGAGGTCCGTACTTAACCTGAAACTGTTCTTAACCTGAAGCACCACTTTAGCTAATGGGGCCTCCCGCTGCCGCTGCGCTCCTGGAGCACAATTTCTGTTCTCATCCCGAAGCAAAGTTCTTAACCTGAGGTAATATTTCTGGGTTAGCGGAGTCTGTAACCTGAAGCGTATGTAACCCGAGGTACCACTGTAAATGAGCTCAAGCGAACCCCCCCCCCCAAAAAACCACACCAACACCTGTTATTTGTAGCTTCTTTTACCATTTTTGCATGCAGACGTAAATATTTCAAAAACCTGCCACAAAAGGGAGCCACCCAACTTCCTGTGGTATTTTTTTATTATTTGTACATGGGTGCTTTAGTTGAGATTTCTGCATTGCAGGGGGGCTGGACTAGATGACACTTGGGGTCCCTTCCAACTATGATTCTACGATTTGATTCCATTTATAGCCACTCTTCCTGCTCTGAGATCAGGAGGTCCTATTCAAAAACCACTGAGGCTGAAAAATGGCTTGGGAACCTTTCATGGAGCTATGAAGGAAAATTGCTGGAATGCTTCCTTCTTTCTGGGAAGTGATAAGAAACAAGGGGAAGGATCGCCTTCCTGCGATTCAGCACCTCAGCTGGGATCTGTACCCTACCCAGAAGTAGGGCCGGATCTTCTGCCCAGAGAAGGAGGCTCCCGTAAAAGCAAAGATCAGCTCTGCTCTGTCCATATCAAAGAATTCCACAAGTCCCTCCTCATAGTCGAGGGTCACGCGGATATTCCTGGGGTCTTGCCCCAAGGCCAAAGGGGTCTGTTTGGGGGAAGTAAATGCTACGAGTTCGCCCATTATTGCCCCCACAGCCCAGATTCCCTCGCTGGGAATCAGCCTGAAGCTGCCCTTTCCTTTCCTCCTGACGGACTCTCGTGCTACCCCCACCGCCCACATCGCCCCGCTGCCTTCGTTGTCCACCTCCACTTCCCACAAATGTCTTCCGGAAGTGAATCGCTCGCGGCCCAACACACAGGGACCAACATCAAATCTTCCAGGTTTATCAGGCAAGGCCTGCTCTTCCTCTGCCTTCCTTACAGTTTTTAGGTCCTCAGAGAGAACGAGGCGGCAATGTGCCGTGTCTGGATCCAGAGTCACCGTCACTGCAGGAGAAAGAAGAGGAAGAAGAAGACTTTGGATTTGATATCCCACCTTATCACTACCCTAAGGAGTCTCAAAGCGGCTAACATTCTCCTTTCCCTTCCTCCCCCACAACAAACACTCTGTGAGGTGAGTGGGGCTGAGAGACTTCAGAGAAGCGTGACTGGCCCAAGGTCACCCAGCAGCTGCATGTGGAGGAGCGGGGAAGCGAACCCGGTTCACCAGATTACGAGTCTACTGCTCTTAACCACTACACCAACACAGATAAGGAAGGAAGGAAGAAGAGAAGAAAGAAGAAATGAGTGATGTCACAGAAAGAATTCACTTCTGTTTCTGGAGACATTTTAAAAAACCAAAAAAATAAACAACCCTCCTTCTTCCAGACTTTTGCCTTAATCTGTTTCAGGAGGCAAAGAGCAGAGAAATCGCTGGCTGATGAAATCACCGGCTTTGCGACACGTCCAAAATAGACCTGTCCAGGTGTTGAGATCTGCAGGGAAGGAGCCCTGTCCTTGTATAAATTTCGACACCAGGCCTCTGGGGATGGAAGGCAAAATCAGAATGTCTTTTCCATTTAATGTTTATGTACTATATGGTCTAATTGGATGGAGCTGTTTTTAAACCTCCCTAGAACTGAACGGTGAAGCCACGTGGGTACTGTGAGCTGTTTTCGCACGCAACTCTCGTGGCTCGTCCACACCCCGCTTCTCCCGTGTCTAGAAAACATGGATCCAATGGGTATTCTGCTTGGCCCGTGGTTTCTAGGCATGGGTGCAAGCGGTTTTCCATTCACCCTGCCACTTTCCCCGGGAAAAACCCGCTCTTTACCGCTGAGTCAGAGCAAACATCACTCCATGGAAAACCCAATTGACGTTTGCTCTGATTCGGTGATAAAGAATGCCCCCCCCCCCCAGAGGGAAGACCACAAGACAAGCAGAAGTGTGGATGAGCCATAAGTCAAACCATAGTTTAGTGCAAACGGCTTTACAAGAAGGTTCCCTAGAGAGGAGACTACTACTAATTTATTTATACCCTGCCTTTCCGGCTGGGTTTCCCCAGCCACTCTGGGTGGCGCCCAACAGAATGTTAAAAACACAATAAAACATCAAACATTAAAAACTTCCCTAAACAGAGGTGCCTTCAAATGTCGTCTAAAAGTCAGATAGTTGTTTATTTCCTTGACATCTGATGGGAGGGTGTTCCGCAGGGCAGACGCCACTACCGAGAAGGCCCTCTGCCTGGTTCCCTATAGCTTCACTTCTCGCAGTGAGGGAACCACCAGAAGACCCTGAGAGCTGGACCTCAGTGTCCGGGCAGAACGATGGGGGTGGAGATGCTCCTTCAGGTATCCTGGGCCAAGAGCTTTAAAGGTCAGCACCAACACTTTTAATTGTGCTCGGAAAGGTACTGGGAGCCCATCTAGGTCTTTCAGGACTGGTTTAATATGGTCTCCGCGGCCATTCCCAGTCACCAGTCTAGCTGCCGCAGACTGAGGCCACTGCTCTCCTTAGACTTCCTGTTATGCTGCTATGTGCTAAACCATGGTTTGGCGTGTTGTACAAACCCAGACTCGTCTCCTCCAGACAAACCATGAACCGTAAACCAAATAACATACCTTGGTTAGAGCTCACGGCTGATTCCCTAGCATCAGGGTGTTGGACTGTAACTCTTATTCCCCTGATGTTGTCCCTGCTTCACCCCCCCCCCCAATGCCTTGTGCAATTTACATGGTTCTCATTAAAGCAAATGGTAACATCTAATTTGGCCCTCTTCCAGAGCTAGCCCCCTTGAAACCATCTCAAGCACCACCTCCCATCCCATCTGACCAAGAAAATTACCTTTGTACAGCGCCGGCTCCAGGAATTCCAAGGACTCTGTTATGTAGAGGAAAGAGTTATCCATTTATTCAGATACATTTGGCACTGTCACATTACATGTAAATCAAGCATCTGATAAAAGACTCCCATGGACACTGTCGTTACATCCCTCCCCTCCCTCTCTCTCACCAACATCAGCTGTGGAGCACCCACAGAAACCTGTATCCATCGACCTTCCAGAGTTGTTCCCAGTAAGGTAAAAAAAGGTAAAGGACCCCTGGATGGTTAAGTCCAGTCAAAGGTGACTCTGGGGTTGCGACGCTCATCTCTACGTTCAGGCTAAGGGAACAGGCGTTTTTCCACAGACAGCTTTCTAGGTCATGTGGTCAGCATGACTAAACTGCTTCTGGTGCAACAGAACGCCATGCCAGAGCGCATGGAAACACCATTTACCTTCCTGCCGCAGTGGTACCTATTTATCCACTTGTACTGGTGTGCTTTCAAACTACTAGGTTGGCAGGAGCTGGGACAGAGCAACGGGAGCTCACTCTGTCACGGGGATTCAAACCGCTGACCTTGTTCCCAGTACCTTTAAATGTCTCCACAGCAATTCCTAAAGCAGAGCTGTTCTCTGAGTAAACTCCAACCGCCTCTTCCAATCCAGGAGAAAGCTCAATTGCATCCCTTACTTGTTCCTTTTCATATCTGGAAGGGAAGATGGTTAACATTTAAGGGATGGCTAGGAACTACTGCTCCCCGGCCCACCCGCAGTGCTGAAGCCTGACATGTAGTTGAGAGTAGATCTTACTCGTGAGTTGATGCCTCAGCCTGTCATTTGAACATGGCATTACTTTACAAGAAAATGCTGCTCTAGTTGATTTCATGGTTAAATGGAGGAACGAGATAACCTTCCTCCTGGTTGGGTTTGTAGTTAAGTACGAACCCCGTGTCTGATGTATCAATTGCTCAGTTTGTGGGGTGCTGCAAAACATGGGGGTTTCACTGCAAAACAACTGCAATAGTTTGGCACCGGTTAGGAAGGGATCCCAAATTTTGCAGGGTTTTCGCTAAAAACAACAACAACCCTGCAAAACTTTGGCACAGGTTTGGAGACAATCCGAATTTTGGGAGTTCATAGTTACCGTATTTTTCGCTCTATAAGACACACCAGACCACAAGACGCACCTAGTTTTTGGAGGAGGAAAACAAGAAAAAAAATATTCTGAATCTCAGAAGCCAGAACAGCAAGAGGGATCGCTGCCGAGCGAAAGCAGCAATCCCTCTTGCTGTTCTGGCTTCTGGGATAGCTGCGCAGCCTGCATTCACTCCATAAGACGCACACACATTTCCCCTTACTTTTTAGGAGGGAAAAAGTGAGTCTTATAGAGCAAAAAATACGGTAATTTTCCTCGCAGGGTCTGGAAACCAAACCTTATGAGGAACAGTTGAGGGAATTGGGTACGTTTAGCCTGAAGAAGAGAAGACTGATTTTGGGAGGGCTGTCAAAATGGAAGATGGAGCAAACTTGTTTTCTGCTGCTCCTGAGAGTAGGACCCAAACCAATGGATTCAAATTCAGGGATGAATGAGTTTAGGAATACAGTTGACTGCAGTGTAAGCTTTTGGGTCGTGTGGAAGGTGTCCTGCCTTTCAGTATCAAGTGATAGGCATCTTCAGAGGGTTGTCATTTGCCCCATTTGTGTTCCTCAGCAACGCTGAGGTAGAAATCTAGCACTTGGCAGTGCTCCACAGAAATGTGCTTTTAAAATGGAATCCCACCAGAGATGAAATGCAAAAGATGGTAGGAGAAAGCCACATACCTGTTCAAGTCACTTCTGATGTCCTGAAACAGAGAAATAGGTCTCAGTTACACAGCCAGCACACACACTGGCCTGATCTTTGTTGTTGTGGAGAGTCCTTTCCCCCTTCCTTCAATGGAAGAACTAGGGCCTGAGGTGAAGGACAAAATGGAAGTCTGTCCCCATTCCACATCCTGGTGAAGGGTGGCTTAAAAATCTAATACAGTGGTACCTCAGGTTTACATACGCTTCAGCTTACATACGCTTCAGGTTACAGACTCCGCTATCCCAGAAATAGTACCTCAGGTTAAGAACTTTGCTTCAGGATGAGAACAGAAATCGGGCTCCGGCGGCGTGGCGGCAGCGGGAGGCCCCATTAGCTAAAGTGGTGCTTCAGGTTAAGAACAGTTTCAGGTTAAGAACGGACCTCCGGAACAAATTAAGTACAGTGGTACCTCGGGTTACATACGCTTCAGGTTACATACGCTTCAGGTTACAGACTCTGCTAACCCAGAAATATTACCTCGGGTTAAGAACTTTGCTTCAGGATGAGAACAGAAATCGCGCGGCGGCAGCAGGAGGCCCCATGAGCTAAAGTGGTGCTTCAGGTTATGAACAGTTTCAGGTTAAGTACAGACCTCCGGAACGAATTAAGTACTTAACCCGAGGTACCACTGTACTTAACCCGAGGTACCACTGTAAATACTAAGAAGTAATAACGAGCAATCACATTTGTTTCATGACAAGATGTTGATGGAGAGAAAGCCCAGCTGTAATCCTTAATGTCCAATGGCAGTTTATATTTTCCTAAATAGGGCTGGTAGGCAGCAGGCCTACATTTCTCATGTAGGAACTGCTGGGAGATGTCTTGGTCTCATGTCTCACCTGCAGGAATCCACAGACCGGCTGCTGGCACTTCTCCTCCATCTCAGCGATCATATCGTTGAGGTGGGAGATCTCCTCGGAGAGCCTGCTGACGTTTTCTTGCTGCCTCTTATTGATCTCTTTCTTCAGATCTTCCATCTGGGTCAGCTTGAGGTGCACCATTCTTTCCAGCAATCTGCACATCCGATGAAAGGAAGACTTGACTTTCTTTGTCTCGGCTTCTAACTTTGCCTAGGAGGCAAACATGCAAAGAGTGAAATGCGGAGAGGAAAACCTGATGGAAGATGAGGATCATTCATGGAGAATGCATGAGTAATAATAATAATAATAGTAATTTATTTATACCCCGCCCATCTGGCTGAGTTTCCCCAGCCACTCTGGGTGGCTCCCTATCAAGTGTTAAAAACAATACAGGATTAAATATTAAAAACTTCCCTAAACAGGGCTGCCTTCCAATTTCTTTTAAAAATAAGATAGCTGCTTATTTCCTTGACATCTGATGGGAGGGCGTTCCACAGGGCAGGCACCACCACCGAGAAGGCCCTCTGTCTGATTCCCTGTAACCTCACTTCTCGCAATGAGGGAACCGCCAGAAGGCCCTCGGTGCTGGACCTCATTGTCCGGGGACAACGATGGGGGTGGAGACGCTCCTTCAGGTATACTGGGCTGAGGCCATTTAGGGCTTTAAAGGTCAGCACCAACACTTTGAATTGTGCTCGGAAACGTACTGGGAGCCAATGCAGATCTCTCAGGACCGGTGTTATGTGGTCCCGGTGGCCACTCCCAGTCACCAGTCTAGCTGCCGCACATTAAAAACATGACAAAACATCAGAACTTTAAAACTTCCCGAAACAGGGCTACCTTCAGAAGTGCTCACTTTGGATCTGCCTGTGATTCAGCAACATTTGACCAGCCTTGCCTCCCACCCACTGCTTTCTCCATGGGACATTGTGGATTTTTGAGGGGATTTCTGAGACCCTTCACAGCTGCCACAGAAGTTTAGGGTGGGCATGCTGCCTCCCTAAAGCTCTGCAATGCTGACCCCCAGGTGTATACCATAATAACCACAAACCCGTACCAGACATTCTTGGCTTCCCAGCTCTTCGGCCAACACACGGTCCTCAAGATTCTTTCTCATGAGCTCCACAGACTTCCGGTGGCTCTCAATTTCTTCCTAAACAAACAGAAAATGCACAACATCATGTAGCCAAGTGAGCAAACTCCTCTTCCCCACTGCCCAAATGCCATTGTTTCCAGGGAGGGACAAGAGATGCCCACTAAACTCTTTTTTATTTTATTTTATTTATACTTTTCAGATATATACATTTCACTGATCTTACAATCATTTTGACGTCTTAAAACTTGACTTCCTTCCACCTTTTTCTGTGGTTCCTTAAATTTATTTTTAATATCTTCGGCATATCCAAATTAACTTAATTTGCTCATTTATTTATCTTCTTTATAAATATACTCTTATGTAGCTGCAGGTTCTTACAATAATCCTGCCAGTGTTTTTATCTGAAAATATTCAATAAACCATTTCCATTCTTTTATAAAATGTTTATCTTGATTTCTTATTCTTCAGGTAATTTTTGCCATTTCTGCATATTCCAAAAGTTTTTGTATCCCTTCTTCCTTTGCTAGGACTTCTGCTTCTTTCCATTTTGGGGCAAGTAACATTATGAGGACAAGATGGTTGGACAGTGTTCTCGAAGCTACAAACATGAGTTTGACCAAACTGTGGGCGGCAGTGGAAGACAGGAGTGCCTGGCGTGCTCTGGTCCAGGGGGTCACAAAGAGTCGGACACAACTAAACGACTAAACAACAACAAGCATTCTTGCTGCTGTAGTGGCATACATAAATAAATTTCTATATAATTTAGGTAGTTCTATCTCTATAATTCTCAAGAGAAAGGCTTGTATTTTAATATTTGGTTGGAAGCCGCCCAGAGTGGCTGGGGAAGCCCAGCCAGATGGGCAGGGTATAAATAATTAATTATTATTATTATTATTATTATTATTATTATTATTATTATTGCTTTTTTAAAACAAATGTTATTTTAAACCTCCTTTTCATTTCATTGTATATCATTTCCCAGTAAGCCTCAACCTTACTGCAAGAGCACCACATATGATAAAAAGAGCTTTCTTTCTCTTTACATTTCCAAAACTTAAATTTTTTATACATTTTTGCCAGTTTACTCGGTGTTAGATAGCATCAATATATCATTTTCAAATAATTTTCTCTTAAACCATAGCATGCTGTAAATTTTGTATCCCTATTCCACAATCATTCCCGTGCTTCCATATCTATATTATAACCGATATCTATTGCCCAATGTATCATTGAGGATTTTACTTGCTCATCCTTTGTCACCTATTCCAACAATATTTTATACATTTTAGACAGCACTTTTACATTACATTCCACGCCCACTGAACTCCTGAGCCCTTCTCTTTTTTTAAAAAAATGATATTTATTGAAGTTTCAAAAAAGGTTACAAAAATAGAAAAAAGGGGAAAAAAAGAAAAAATACAAAATACAGAAAAGTAAAAACACTTCTTTCATTAACTTGTTTCCCTGACCTCCTCACACCTCCCTTTTTTGTACTCCAGTTCAATTAACTAATTCAGCAAATCCTTTCCCTCTTTGTTTTTATCCTAATCCTTTAACTTAATATGTTGTAACTTTAAGTTCTCACCTGTTAACAATCCATTTTTACATACTCCTTTGTAACATTGCTGCTAAAACCACTTAACTTCATTCTGACATCATTCTAACATTCATTAATTTTACAGTATTTCTGTAAATAGTCTTTAAATTTCTTCCAATCTTCTTCCACCAACTCTTCTCCCTGGTCTCGGATTCTGCCACTCATTTCCGCCAGTTCCATATAGTCCATCACCTTCATCTGCCATTCTTCCAGGGTGGGTAAATCTTGTGTCTTCCAATACTTTGCAATAAGTATTCTTGCTGGCTGCTGTTGTAGCATACATAAAGAAAGTTCTATCCTTCTTTGGCACCAATTGGCCAACCATGCCCAGGAGAAAGGCCTCTGGTTTCTTCAGAAAGGTATATTTAAATACCTTTTTCATTTCATTATAGATCATCTCCCAGAAAGCCTTAATCCTTGGGCACGTCCACCAAAGGTGAAAGAATGTACCTTCAGTTTCTTTACATTTCCAACATTTATTATCGGCTAATGATAGATTTTTGCAAGCTTGACTGGTGTCATGCACCACCTGTATATCATTTTCATAATATTCTCTCTTAAGGCATTACATGCCGTAAACTTCATACCTGTGGTCCATAACTGTTCCCAGTCAGCCATCATTATGTTATGTCCAACATCTTGTGCCCATTTAATCATAGCAGATTTCACCATTTCATCCTGAGTATTCCATTTCAACAGCAAGTTATACATCTTTGACAAAATCTTGGTTTTGGGTTCTAACAGTTCTGTTTCCAATTTAGATTTTTCCACCTGGAAGCCAATTTTCTTGTCCAAATTATATGCCTCCATTATCTGATAATAATGAAGCCAATCTCGCACTTTATTTTTTAGTTTTTCAAAACTCTGCAATTTCAATCTGTCTCCCTCTTGTTCCAAAATTTCCCAATATTTCGCCATTTGGCCTCCATATTGAGCTTTTTCTGAGCCTTCGCTTCCATCGGTGACAACCACCTTGGGGTTTTATTTTCAAGTAGGTCCTTGTATCTTATCCAGACATTAAACAATGCTTTCCTGACAATATGGTTTTTAAATGCTTTATGTGCTTTGACCTTATCATACCATAAATATGCATGCCATCCAAATACATTATTAAAGCCTTCTAAATCCAAAATGTCTGTGTTTTCAAGAAGCAGCCATTCTTTCAGCCAGCAAAAAGCTGCTGATTCATAATAAAGTTTAAGGTCTGGCAGGGCAAATCCGCCTCTTTCCTTTGCATCCGTTAGTATTTTAAATTTTATTCTAGGCTTCTTGCCCTGCCAGACAAATCTAGAAATATCTCTCTGCCACTTCTTGAAGCAATCCATTTTATCCACTCCTGAGCCCTTCTCTGCCAAACTGCAATTTCAGGTGTGTAGGGAAAGGGAAATAAACAGATGTTAAGGCAGAGCTATTTGTAAAATGAAGGGTTTAAGTGGCGGAGCTGATTTCTAAAGAAGAGATACGGACAACAGAGAAGGAAAGTGTTAAAGGATAGATGGAGAACTTGTGACTTTTCAGATACAGTTTCCATCATCCCTGACCATTGGCCATGCTGGCCTGGGATTGATAGCCTCAGCCCAGTATACTTGAAGGAGCATCTTCACCCCCATCGTTCAGCCCGGACAATGAGGTCCAGCTCTGAGGGCCTTCTGGTGGTTCCCTTCCTGCGAGAAGTGAGGTTACAGGGAACCAGGCAGAGGGCCTTCTTGGTGGTGATGCCTGCCCTGTGGAACGTCCTTCTATCAGATGTCAAAGAAATAAACAACTATCTGACTTTTAGAAGACATCTGAAGGCAGCCCTGTTTAGGGAAGCTTTTAATGTTTGATGTTTTATTGTGCTTTTAATTCTGTTGGGAGCCGCCCAGAGTGGCTGGGGAAACCCAGCCAGATGGGTGGGGTATAAGTAATATATTACTATTATTATTATTATTATTGTTATTATTATTATTATTATTACTGCTGGAATCCAACAACCTCAAATCCAGTCTCCATATCCTTATAATAAAGATTTATAGGCCAGCCAGTCATCTGGTCTATTATTATTTGTCTATCATTACTTTGTTATCATTACTTGTTAAATGTTATAGCTGATTTCATTTACTTGCTTGCTTACTTACAAAATTTATCTACCCCCTTGACTGTAAAAAAACAAAACAAAAACCCACCTCTAGGTACTTTACAACAATAGAAAACTTTTAAAATTGCCAATTAATGGATAAAAATGGGTATTAAACTATTCAAAAGTTGATTAAAATCAACAGTGGTTACAAATATTTAATCTTGTCAGCCTTTGTGTATCTGGATTTTTGTGTACCTGCATATCTTGTGCAAGCACACAATTGGGTTTTCCGGTCTGCAACCTCAAACAGCAGTCAGGAAGAAATAAAGGCTCACAAGCAAATGTTTGGCAGGATGTGTTATATATAGGATTCTGTGAACATGAATAGATTAAGTTCTCAACACTGCGAATGGTGCCACCGGGGCAAAAGTCCAGAGACCCCACCCAGCAGAACGAACAAGGAGGCCCCCAGATGCAGCAGAGATTGAAAATGAGGACCCAAGAGGCTACAATCTGTTTGGAAAGATTAATTTTAAATACACCAGCAGAAGAGCAGCGAGTGCATTTCAGCTGGTGAAAGACATCAGCATTATAATGTCAAAGAGAAATCGACAGCACGTTGTACACAGATGGAACCTGGAGAAAGGAGAGTATAAAGTGGTGATTGCAATAGGCAAGATTAAAATTAGCTGCATCTTATCCATTGCTGAATCCTACACTGGACAGGCTAAACACCACCAATACTCTAGTTAAAAGTTTACTACATTATCCCATTAACTACCTGGCCTTTGGGACGCGGGTGGCGCTGTGGGTTAAACCACAGAGCCTAGGACTTGCCAATCAGAAGGTCGGTGGTTTGAATCCCTGTGACGGGGTGAGCTCCTGTTGCTCGGTCCCTGCTCCTGCCAACCTAGCAGTTCGAAAGCACGTCAAAGTGCAAGTAGATAAATAGGTACCGCTCCGGCGGGAAGGTAAACGGCGTTTCTGTGCGCTGCTCTGGTTTGCCAGAAGTGGCTTAGTCATGCTGGCCACATGACCCGGAAGCTGTCTGCGGACAAACGCCGGCTCCTTCGGCCAATAAAGTGAGATGAGTGCTGCAACCCCAGAGTCGGTCACGACTGGACCTAATGGTCAGGGGTCCCTTTACCTTTACCTGACCTTTTAGTTTAAGAACATAGTGAAATTCCTAGAAACCTGCTTCTATATGATACACAATATCTATATTGTCATCGTCCCATACAGAACAATGAAATTGGAAATTACATAAAACATTCAAAAACCCCAAAAAACTCTGAAACCCAATTAAAAAATATAATATACTATAAAGACGCCTTATGCTGCATTTAGAACCAGAATTGCATTTGCGTAGAAACTGTTTCTCAGGCGGCTAGTCCTGGTCTTTATAACCCTATACCTTCTTCCAGAAGGCAGAAGCTGAAAGAGATCATTTCCGGGGTGCGCACTATCCTGTGCTATCTCTGCAGCTTTCTTATGGCACCTGGAAGCGTAGATTTGATCCAAGGTGGGAAGAGTGCACCCAGTTATTCTCTCCGCAGTCTTTACAACCCTGGACAGCAGTGTTTTTTCTGGGCAGCATTGTTTTTTCTGTGTTGTTAGATATATGTTACTAGAGATCATTCTGGCATCCAGGAAAAAAAACAAAGAGAAAGTTGGTCCAGGTAGAATTAGAAAAAGGGGGGGGGGGAGTGTTTCAAGATAAAATTGTGAACCAGGAACAAAACTCTATATCATCTGTTCAAAGCTGTCCGTAGCCTGAAGCTCAGGGTGGTGGTGGAGGTGGTGGGGGGCGATGACGACAACAACAACAAACATTTCTGTGTCATGATGAGAACTAAAATCTTCCAAAAACTAGTTGGAAGCTGCACAAAATGTATGCAGAAAGCTCAGCACAGACAGCAAATCCTAAACCTGTGAGAAATTTTTATAGGCAGTAGGAATGGAATCTAAAAGCAAAGTTTCTTCTATGTGTGTTGCAGAGAAGAGATATACAGCACAAAAGGACATCGGGGGAAATTGCTGGTGTGTAAAAGAGATAAAGCTAAGAGTTCCCTGGGAAGAGGGATGGTTACTCTGAGAATTGCAGCTCTGTGAGGAGAGTATTGTATTAGAACTGAAGGCGGCCCTGTTTAGGGAAGTTTTTAATGTCTGACGCTGTATTGTTTTTAATATTTGGTTGGAAGCCACCCAGAGTGGCTGGGGAAACCCAGCCAGATGGGAGGGGTATAAATAATAAAATTATTATTATTATTATTATTATTATTATTATTATTATTATTATTGAGGTCCCATATCACTATCAGCACCCTTAACCGCAGTTCCACGATTCTTTGAGGGAAACCATGACTGTTCAAAGTCTTCTGATACAGTGGTACCTCTGGTTACGAACTTAATTCGTTCCGGAGGTCTGTTCTTAAGATGAAACTGTTCTTATCCTGAGGCGCGCTTTCGCTAATGGGGTCTCCTGCTGCGCATGCGCCTCAGGTGCGAGATTTCCGTTCGCCTCCTGGGGCAAAGTTTGCAGCCAGGAGCAGCTACTTCTGGGTTAGTGGAGCTCGTAACCTGAAGCGTTCGTAACCAGAGGTACCACTGTACAGTGGTACCTCAGGTTACAGACGCTTCAGGTTACAGATGCTTCAGGTTACGGACTCTGCTAACCCACAAATAGTACCTCGGGTTAAGAACTTTGGTTCAGGATCAGAACAGAAATTGCGTGGCAGTGGCATGGCGGCAGCGGGAGGCCCCTTTAGCTAAACTGGTACCTCAGGTTAAGAACAGTTTCTGGTTAAGAACGGACCTCCAGAACGAATTAAGTTCTTAACCCAAGGTACCACTGTACTGCTTTATTCATTTTGACTGATTTGTTGCATTTAAACCACCTTTTTCTCCACGTTACTTACGGTGAAGCACACGATTCTTTACCAAAGGCGTTGTGGACTTTGAAGACGCCCGAACTCAGGACAAAAAGGAGAAACGGGCTAAGAGGAAGGAACGCTTGGCAAACCCTCGCCAGGATCAACTCCTGCCCAGAAACCTATGTCCCCACTGTGGACGTACGGATCCAGAATTGGCCTCCACAGTCACTTACGGACTCACTTGGCTACATCCATGGGCTTAGATCTACCAAAATTATTGAAAAGCATTGAAAGTACTCAATTAACAGAGGTCCTGTTCAAATCCCACTGAAGCCGCTCCCCTCCCCTGTAATGTCCTTTCTTTGGGGGCATCCCCCCAAAAGCTGGACAACTACATGTTTTTCTTCCCTGACCTTCTGTCACGGTGAATACCGTTACCTTGTAGTCCGGGGCAGCTTCCTCTGCAGGGACCACGTTGTGTCCTCTGTGCTCCTTGGCTCTGTCGCAGACCAAGCAGATGAGGCATTCGTCGTCTTTGCAGAAGAGCTTCAGGGGCTCACGGTGCTTCTCGCACATTTCCATCTCCTCCATCTCCTCCTCTTCCAAGCCTCTCCCCAAGCCTGTCTCCAAGTGACAACAACAGCAACAGCAATTCTTAACTCAAGCTCCTTTTGATGCAATAAAGGCCTGGCATTTCCCTTTGTGCAACCGACACCGGATGGCGGAGGACTCTGGGAGCAGCAGGAAGCAACTGAAAAAAACAAGTGTTTTTGTTTCGCTTTTAGGTTTCCTGACCAAGAATTATATACCGTAACTAGCAGGGTGTGTGTGTGGTTGTGTGCGCAGACACTTAGGGAATTTCTCTTTTAGGTAAGCAGGGAAAATCCTGCTTACAGTCAGATGCAGTGAGAGATGCTGTTTGATTCTGGGTAGCAAATCTGTTATTTTGTTTTCATTGTATTTTGTACTCCCAGGGAAAGCATTTGTGGTGGGGTTTTTTGTTTTGTTTTTTGCTTCAGGCGTCAAAACAACTTGGTTAATACAAAAGGTTGTATTAAGCTGTCTGTCAGCATAATTTTCAGTATGTTTTTATCATTTATGTTCTGTAATGTGTTTTTAATGTTGCACACTTCCCTGGGAACTTTTGATAAAAGGAGGCATATACAGTGGAACCTCGTTCTGGAGGTCCGTTCTTAACCTGAAACTGTTCTTAACCTGAAGCACCACTTTAGCTAATGGGGCCTCCTGCTGCTGCCGCACGATTTCTGTTCTCATCCTGAGGTAAAGTTCTTAACCTGAGGTACTATTTCTGGGTTAGTGGAGTCTGTAACCTGAAGCATCTGTAACCTGAAGCGTCTGTAACCCGAGGTACCACTGTAAATTGAAATCATCATCATCATCATAAACAGCGAGATGAAGGGTTCCTGTAACTTACCTCCTGCCCCTCATAGAAAGAGAACAAGCCAATTTTTCTGAATGCAGGAAGGACTGAGCCAAAGGCCTTTCCTTTTCCACTTCAGGCACTTCTTGAAAGAAAAGCTGATTTCCTTCACAAAGAAACGTGAACCCACTCAGATGCAATTGGTTCTTAGGAGCTGAGTTACTACTTTGTTATATGCAGAGATATAGTTTGTTTCAGATTTCTTTTGTGCACAACTTGGTCAAATTTGACGTTTGCACCAGCGTCCCGTAGTGTCTGCCAGTCTAAACCTAACAAGTTATTTACTGGCTCCTCTTCCCTATTCCTTTTTAAAGCCACGGTTCGGAGGAATTTCCCTCATGAGACTAATGCAAACCACATCTGAGGATGAAAGACGCATTTTAGCCGTGACAGGACAACACACAATGTTCAGGAGCAGAACCAGCACTAAATCAAACAATGGCTTGCCGAAATGCACAAGCATGTAGCCTCCTGGATAAGAGAAGATCTCGGGCCTTTTGCTCCCTCTTCAGCTTTGCTGCTGCTGAGAGCTAAGCCTCCTCTGCACTCTGCACGCGCCCCCAAGACAGGTAGCCAGGTGGGCCATGTGCAGGAATGGCAGTGATGAGAAAACAGGGCACAGTTTCTACTGGCTGGTGAGGGAGAAGAGACTTGGAACAGGGGTTTTGAGGGAACGGTTTACGTTCTTAAGGAAATGCACTTTGCAGGGGTGACTCCTCCCCCTTGTGAGCCTGCCTTCATTTTGGGCATTTCATTATGGAACTACAGTACAGTGGTACCTCGTGTTACAGACGCTTCAGGTTACAGACTCCGCTAACCCAGAAATAGTACCTCAGGTTAAGAACTGTACCTCAGGATGAGAACAGAAATCGCATGGCGGTGGCAGTGGGAGGCCCCATTAGCTAAAGTGGTACCTCAGGTTAAGAACAGTTTCAGGTTAAGAACGGACCCCCAGAATGAATTAAGTTCTTAACCTGAGGTACCACTGTACAAAAGAAAACAGCAGTTCTCTGAGATTCTTATTTGCAGTTCTTTGCACTTTGAGAAATGTGGTGCTTTATACATTAATTAGCATCCTCATTTCTTCTTCTTCACCTTCTTCTTTGGCGATCACTCGTAGCCGAGTAAGATTGTCTTCCATAAACACGGTTTTAAAAATGAGTCCGTAAGTGGCTGTGGAGGCCAGTTCTGAATCCACACCTGGTGGATAAAAAAAAGCTCAAGAGATCCAGCACTTAGCATCCTATTTCGCGGTGGCTAATTCACGGTGGCTGGCCCTGTTGTTGTTGTTGTTATTGTTTAGTCGTTTAGTCGTGTCCGACTCTTCGTGACCCCATGGACCAGAGCACGCTAGGCACTCCTGTCTTCCAGTGCCTCCCGCAGTTTGGTCAAACTCATGTTGGTAGCTTCGAGAACACTGCCCAACCATCTCCTCCTCTGCCGTCTCCTTCTCCTTGTGCCCTCCATCTTTCCCAACATCAGGGTCTTTTCCAGGGAGTCTTCTCTTCTCATGAGGTGGCCAAAGTATTGGAGCCTCACCTTCAGGATCTGTCCTTCCAGTGAGCACTCAGGGCTGATTTCCTTCAGAATGGATAGGTTGGATCTTCTTGCAGTCCATGGGACTCTCAAGAGTCTCCTCCAACACCCTGTACACATGCCTTATATTCTGTCAGCCTTCCTGCCAACAGATTGTACTTACATTCCCAGCCTCCAAACAACTGAAAATTAGAAGCAAAACTATTGCAGGAAGTACGTAGCTTCCAGTCTCCCCCCCCCCCAATAAGCATAACCAGAGAGCAAAAAAAGCCTAAGATTGTCAGAAGTGTTTGCCAAGCTGATTTTTATTTATGTTATGCTACAGGACTTGGCACTGTAAACAACATGCCAGTGATACGCAGGAGAAAACAGCACAAATAGAAGATGTCTGCAAATTAAGGTCCATCTCAAAGACGGAGGTACCTCTGATTTTAAAGATGGAAATGTCTCCACATTCCCTACGCTATGGAAAAAGCTATGGGAGTAAATTTATTGTATACCGTATTTTTTGCTCTATAAGATGCACCAGACCACAAGACTGGACTAGTTTTTGGAGGAGTGTAGTAAAGTTGCCCCCAGCCGCTCGCTCCTCCCTCACCTGTCTTTGCTCTCCGGCCAGATCAGGTTTCTTGAACAGGGCTGGCAGGCAAGGTTACGTTATACAGAAGCAGGACAAAATCACACCGGTAGAGCTGCCACCACTCCCTCTGTTCCGGGGAACCCAGAGTCACAACCCAGGGAGAAGGCTGTGCCCTGTTATTACTGGTTATCCCCACTCCACAAGTTGAATCCACAAACTTGCAGACAGAAATTCTACGGTAGAGCGTAACTAAGCGTAAGGCTAGGAATTAGCTTTTCCCCCGGAAAGGCACACAAACCCAAACAGTTTCTTATTTAAAAATTTATTTTAAAAGAACATAAGGAAACATGCTAAAATAGCAGGCACTTCTTTAGTAAGTTACAGACAAGAAAATAAAAACATTGTGAAATCTAACTAGCTTGCATACTCACAACTAAAGCACAAAAGGGATAGTTAGAGTCCTTTCAAGATTCCGCAGTTCAAAAGCTTTCGCAGTTCTCCATCACAAAGGATGTAAAGACAGCTACTTAGGTGGAACATCAGCAGCCGGGCAATTTGCGGATTGCAGAGCGCACTTTCTCAGCCATTTCCCAGATCTTTTATCCCTGATTCACACGTGGCGTCGGAACCCCCAAAACCAATCATAACTCTTGATTATTTTTAAATTCTCCAATGACCGGCTTGCGGGCTAATCAATCTAACTTCTGGCAGCTGGGCCAATTAAGAACCCAGAGCCTAAATCAAAGGTTTTCCTCCCTTCCGAGGCGCCTCTGCAAATGCACATTCCCAGGCCATCAAGGCCAGATAACATCGCTAACGGAATGCGCAGAACTTGGACCCAGGTGTCAAGCCTTCCATTAAATCAGGGGTTTCCTTTCCCATAATAAAACTTTCACACCCTGGGTGCCTGTTAGTCTGGGGTTAAAGGGACAGAACTTATTTCCCATGGTTCTTGTGGCTTGTTGGTTACCCACAAGGCCTCACTCTCATTGCTTGACCAAGGAACAGCTTCTAAACGATGCTAACTTTACTACAAGGAGGAAAACAAGAAAAAAAATATTCTGAATCTCAGAAGCCAGAACAGCAAGAGGGATCGCTGCACAGTGAAAGCAGTGATCCCTCTTGCTGTTCTGGCTTCTGTGATAGCTGCGCAGCCTGCATTCGTTCCATAAGATACACACACATTTCCCCTTACTTTTTAGGAGGGAAAAAGTGAGTCTTATAGAGCAAAAAATATGGTACTTAAAGGATAACTGTAAAACTTTAAAGACACTAGCAGGACTGATATAACTCCTACAATGCAGATAAGAAGTAAAAGGTTAAAATACGCGATTGGATTTGATAAGGGATACCGGCTGAAGAGAAGGAGGGAAGTTGCAAGCTCGGCAGAGCAAAAATGTTTATATGTTGATTAATGTATTGTATTGTAAGAATGATTGTGTAAAGAGAATAATAAAAATTTATTGGGGGGGAAAGGAAAAAGCTACCATCACCTAATTGGCTTGATCTCTACGCCTTGTCCTCTTGTCAATGCTCACAAAGAGCTCCTGTCTAACTTGCCATCAGAACAAAAATGGCCTCCAGAAAGCTTAGCACATTACCTGGCCCCAAAGAGATATTATCAAAAAGCTTCACCCACACTCATCACTTCTGGTTTCCAGTTGCAGTTCAGTTCCTAGCAGGGAATAGGGGAACTCAATGTCATTGGACTCCTACAAAGCCTGATTTGCAATACAAGGGCTGATGGGAATCAAGATTCCCCATCTTAGGTTGAGGCAGATGCACCTCCCCTCTCCAGAGGCAGGACCAAGTTTTCCCGCTTTGACTCCTGAATGGCAAGATTCAATCGATGGAGCTGCAGTAACTGAAGGGCACGAGTTGAAGTCAAGCAGCTCTGCACCTGATCTGTGGGCGACTACTACAAATCCCATACAAGCCGCCTTATGGTAGAAAAGTGGAATCATTAATAAACAGAAGTCCACCATAGCTGAACTTTTCCCCCTTTGGTGTGTCTTCTAAAGGCCCTGCCAAAAATATATAGCTGGGGGAAGAAAAGGTTTTAAATAACAGCCAGGACTGAAGCTGTAGGGCAGGATTGGGGAGGTTCTGACCCTCCAGTTGTTGGGACTACAACTCCCATAATCCCTCATCATTCGCCATGCTAATTGGGGTTGAGGGAAGCTGGAGCCCAGCACCCTCTGGAGGGCCACTGGTTCCCCATGCCCAGTGTAGGGATTCTCTAATCCCACCTGTTTCGTTTATGTTTTTACACTGATTCTGTTTTTTCTCATCGCCGATGGAAGTTAAGATCTAGGACTGGGAGACACCATTACTGCTGGGAAGCCGCTAAGACCATAAGCTCCTTGCCTGGGTGCAAATAAAGCGCTAGAACGTCACCTCCTTTCAGGATGGTGGAAGTTATTGTAGCTGAGATGGGGGAAGATTCGCCCTTAGAATTCAGCACTTCAACCTGACCCCTCTCCACACCCGGAAAAAGGGGAGGATCTTCTCCCCAGAGAACGAGGCCAGCTGGAAAGCGAAGATCAGGTCGTCCGAATCGACGTCGAAGAACTCCACACGACCCTCTTCGTAGCTGAGGGACACTCGGACCTTCCTGAGCTTGTTACGCCTCAGGATCAAGGGGGTTGGCTTTGGGGATGTGAAAGCCAGAATTTGGCACGGGGAGGTTAAGTCGTGGCTGTTGTGGAACGACTTCCCCACAGCCCAGAACCCCTCGTCGGGGCTTATGCGGACCTGCCCCTTCCTCCTCACGGACTCTCTCGCAACCCCCACGGCCCACCTCCCCAAATTTTCCTCCACCTCCACCTCCCACCAGTGCCTCCCCGAAGCAAATCTCTCGCGGCCCAGCACGCTCATCATGATGTCGAATCTCTCGGGGTTGTCGGGCACGGATTGGTATCGACTCCCTCTTCTCACACTCTTCAGGTCCTCAGAAAGGATGAGGAAGGGGTTTGCGGTGTCCGGATCCAGAGTGAAATTCACTGCAGAGGGGAAGGTAGATAGATAGAAAGAAGAGCAGGGTGTGGATAGATAGATGATAGATAGATAGAAAGAAGCAGGGTGTGGATAGATAAATTGATGATAAATGATTGATTGATTGATAGATAGATAGATAGATGATGATAGATGATAGATAGATAGATGATGATAGATGATAGATAAATAGATAGATAGATAGATAGATAGATAGATAGATGATAGATGATAGATAGATGATAGATAGATGGATAGATAGATAGATAGATAGATAGATAGATAGATAGAAGCAGGGTGTGGATAGATAGATGATAGATAGATAGATGATAGATAGATAGATAGATAGATAGATAGATATAGATAGATGATAGATAGATAGATAGATATAGATAGATAGATAGATAGATAGATGATAGATGATAGATAGATAGATAGATAAATGGATAGAAGAGCAAGGTGTATTAAATCCTTGGAAAGACTAGTCTCAGAGGCTAGAGCGGATCTAGGGAAACCTTTTTCAGCTTCTGAGGGCCACATTTCATCCTGAGCAACCTTCCAGAGGCCAGTGGTGGGTGGGGTCAAATGGGAAAGTGGGCAGGGTAGCAGATGCAACTCTGACCTCCACACTAGGTGACATTCCAGCCATGCAAAAACCAAAGGCCTCCACACACACATCTTCATCTAGGCATGCAAGAGGCATTATGGCAGTTGACGGACACCTTCTAGCCAGGCAAACACACTCAGGGAAGGCCAGTGATAGGTGTTTGCCTAGGGAGAGTCTGGAGGGGGCCAGATAAGAGAGGCCTTGAGGTCTGCTTTGGTCCTCCTCACCCCCACTTCTCATAATGTCTCCTTTCTCCAGACCAGATTTTGGCAACCTGGTGCCCTCAGGAGATTTGTAGGACTTCCACCAGTCATTACAGTCATGCTGGCTGGGGCATCTGAAAGCTCTGGAGGACATCATTCTCCAACCTGATGCCTTCCATGTTTTGGACTACAACTCCCATCACGCCCTAGCATTGATGATGCTGGCTGGGGCTGATGGGAGTTGGAGTCTGACAGCGCCTGGAGGGCCCCAGCCCTGACCTGACACAACTCAATTAAATACTTCAGTGTGGGGCTGCTGCTGAGCCTCCATCCCCCATCAAAAGTTTCCCACTTTTTTATTTTATTTTATTTTTAGTTCTATGCATATAGTTACCTTTGTACAAGTCTTGATTCAGAGTCTCTGTTGTGCAGGGGAAAGAGAGACAAATTAAATCAGACACCATCATACATAGAGTGGTCTATCATTTAATGTTTCAAGAGGGAGTAAAAACCTGGTTGTTTCTACACTAGGTCTTTTCCCCCTGTTTCTTAAATTACTATCCTTTGTTCATTCAGTCTTTATGGAGAATCTGTCATTGTTGCTAAATTGTTGCATTCCAGTGTTTTCTTTGCTGTACACCCAATTTTTCATTGGTTTTTTTAATGATCATTTTTATGATAAAACAGTAGGGACAGACAGAGCACTTTTGAGGCTTTGAAAGACTAGTGTGACTTTAATTAAAAGATTCCTGTTCTGCTTGTTTTATTGTTTCTTTGGGTGTTTGTAGGATTAGTGGTTAAATGCCCCAGATTTTCTCTTCTCTGGGTCTTAAGACTTTTCCTTCTCTCTCCCTCTCACCCGTTCTCAATGAAAAAGTGCTATTTCTCTATCAAAACAGAAACAGAAAAAATAGTGCATGGAATCTGGATCTCTAAAACAACTACTTGATGAGTAACAGAAGCCAGCTAATAAACAATTAATCTCTGATCTCCCAGCCACACTAATCAGTAGGCAACAAAAAAGCAGAACTTGCAAAGAGAAAACTTCTACCGTATTTTTTGCTCTATAAGACTCACTTTTTCCCTCCTAAAAAGTAAGAGGAAATGTGTTTGTGTCTTATGGAGCGAATGCAGGCTGCGCAGCTATCCCAGAAGCCAGAACAGCAAGAGGGATCGCTGCTTTCACTGTGCAGCGATCCCTCTTGCTGTTCTGGCTTCTGAGATTCAGAATATTTTTTTTCTTGTTTTCCTCCTCCAAAAACTAGGTGCGCCTTATGGTCTGGTGCGTCTTATAGAGCGACAAATACGGTAATTCATATTTCAAGGAACCTTTGTTGAACAGGAGTTATTTGTGTATAAGCTTTAGAGAACTGGTCATGAAGAACAAATTATAGTTTCACTTTTGGAAAAGGAGAACCACAGCCCACGTTCCAGTGTGGAAGCAACCTCTATCTCAAGCACCATCTCCCATAAAAATTTCCCTTCCCGTACATTCCCAGAAAACTACCTTTGTTTACTGCTTCCTCCAGAGATTCTGCCATGTGGAGAAAAGGATGACAAATTTACTCAGACCACCATATACTGTAGATAGCAATGTGTAAATTCATGCGAGAGAGAAAGAAAAAAAGAACTGAAAACTCACTTACACAAAATTAAGTAAAACGTTGAAGGAGTCCTGTGGCACCTTGCAGACCAACCCATTTATTTATTCTGGCCGAAGCTTTCACGGACTGAAGAACCTCAAAATATATATATCTTTTGATCTTTAAGTTGCCACAGGCTCTTTCTTGCCCCGCCAGGTGCCTTTCAAGAGAGCAATGGCATCAAGCTACATTTCTTCTCCTCAGAAACAGATATGGATGGTGGGAGACGAGATTCTTCCACCCTGATGCCCACAGATTATTTTGTGAGAAAACTAACCAGCTTGCCTTTAATGCAAGCTCCTCAAAAGATCCACCAAAGTGGAATGGAACAGAAGGGGACAATATTTATTGGGACGCCAGTCCAGACGTCTGGAGGAACCACAGGAGAACCACTTCCTTTTCATTGAAGGCCTCTCTTTTCTCACATCCAGCCCAGAGCTAGGAGCCTCTCAAAGGACTACACCCAGCCTCCTCCCCTCAGATCCTATGACTACCACCAATACCTTTATATTTCTCCATAGCTTCTTCCAGAGCGGAATTCGTCTGAGAGTAAATCCTGAACTTCTCTTCCAGTCCTGGAGAAAGGTCCACCAGCTGTCTCACTTGCGCTTTCTCATATCTGCAGGGGAAGCAGGCAAAACGGAGAAGTCTGCCATGGCCTCTGCCCAGGCAAACTCCTCTGAGGAGAGCTATCCTGAGGAGACGGATCCATTCCCTGGTTCGCCCCATATGGAGCTCCTCTGAAACCTAAGGAGACATCTTCTCCAACAGACACGCCCCACAAAATGGTTCACAGATTCCTGAGAGCCCCGTGGAGATATCTCTGTTGCTGGAAATCCCAGGGTGCAGAACAGAGTCAGGGAGCCCTTTTTCAGGTTGGTAAAGCACGAGACTCTTATTAATTTCAGGCAAAAGATTCCTGCATTGCAGGGGGTTGGACTAGATGACCCTCGGGGTCCCTTCCAACTCTACAATTCGATGATTCTATGACTCAAGGAGTGAGAAAGTGCCACTTACCTGCTCAAAACCTTTTTGATGTCCTGACAGCATGGGAAGAAGGGGAGAAAGAGTTTTGTTCAGCTGCACAAACACAACACAGGCTGGATTGCTTGTTATTCTGCTGGGAATTGATGCCACTCCCCACGTTTGTGTCAACTTTATTTCCAATCTTATGATTCAAGAAGAGTTCCCCTTTCTTGTAAAGGGAGCTGGGAATGGTCTTTTTATCTTGGTTTGTAAAAAGCAGGAATTAATCCTCCCTGGAATTACTTGTCATGTGAACAGTCTTCTCTTGAGTATTATGCTTGGGCTGTGTGTGCTAATTCTGCCAGCTGGAAGCAGAAGTTGTTGTGCGCAGAGCACTGGACGGCTGAGTGTTTGCGATATCATGAAGCGCCGTGCCCCAAATCTCCCCACTTTAGTTTTTTCCCCCACCTTAAAAACATTTTTGAAAGTTCTCTATGATTGTTTAAAAGCAGAGTGCTCGAGAACTCCCAGAAGTGCAAGCTGGATTTTGAAGGGGCAGAGGAATCAGAGACCAAATTGCAAACATGCGCTGGATTATGGAGAAAGCTAGAGAGTTCCAGAAAGACATCTACTTCTGTTTCATTGACTACGCAAAAGCCTTTGACTGTGTCAACCACAGCAAACTATGGCAAGTTCTTAAAGAAATGGGAGTGCCTGATCACCTCATCTGTCTCCTGAGAAATCTCTATGTGGGACAAGAAGCTACAGTTAGAACTGGATAGGGAACAACTAATTGGCTCAAAATTGGGAAAGGAGTACAACAAGGCTGTATATTGTCTCCCTGCTTATTTAACTTATATGCAGAATTCATCATGTGAAAGGCTGGGCCGGAATTAAGATTGCCGGAAGAAATAACAACAGCCTCAGATATGCAGATGACACAACATTGATGGCAGAAAGTGAGAAGGAATTAAAGAACCTCTTAATGAGGGTGAAAGAGGAGAGCACAAAATATGGTCTGAAGCTCAACATCAAAATAAATAAATTTTTTTATTAATTTATCAATTTATTAATATTATTAATATGAATTAGTTTATTAATAATAAAATTTATTATTATTATTATTAAAAAAAAACTAAGATCATGGCCCCTGGTCCCATCACCTCCTGGCAAATAGAAGGGGAAGAAATGGAGGCAGTGAGAGATTTTACTTTCTTGGGCTCCATGATCACTGCAGATGGCGACAGCAGTCACGAAATTAAAAGATGCCTGCTTCTTGGGAGAAAAGCAATGACAAACCTAGACAGCATCTTAAAAAGCAGAGACATCACCTTGCCAACAAAGGTCCGTATAGTTAAAGCTATGGTTTTCCCAGTAGTGATGTATGGAAGTGAGAGCTGGACCATAAATAAGGCTGATCGCCGAAGAATTGATGCTTTTGAATTAGGGTGCTGGAGGAGACTCTTGAGAGTCCCATGGATTGCAAGAAGATCAAACCTATCCATTCTGAAGGAAACCAGCCCTGAGTGCTCACTGGAAGGACAGATCCTGAAGCTGAGGCTCCAATACTTTGGCCACCTCATGAGAAGAGAAGACTCCCTGGAAAAGACCCTCATTCTGGGAAAGAGAAGGGGACGACAGAGGACAAGATGGTTGGACAGTGTTCTTGAAGCTACCAGCATGAGTTTGACCAAACTGCGGGAGGCAGTGGAAGACAGGAGTGCCTGGCGTGCTCTGGTCCATGGGGTCACGAAGAGTCAGACACGACTAAACAACAATAAATGGTGCTATAAACGACCACTATGAAGGCACAATTTAACAGAAGAAAGGGGGGGAGAAAAATAATCAAGGAAATCATATATGGGTAACAGAAGTGAGTATATGTGTCATTTGAAGAGCGAAGGGGGACATGACCTGGACTTATCCAATGGGGGCAAAAACGTTTCTATTGTGTACCTCTGGAGCCAAACTCAGCCTCACCTGTGGAAATTCATTTTCTGGCTGCTGGCAGTTCCTCTCCACTTCAGTTATCAGGTTACTGAGATGGGAAATCTCTTCTGTGAGTCTGGTGAGGTTTTCCTTCTGGATCACTTCCACCTCTTTCTTCAGGCCTTCGAGCTTGGCCAGCCTGAGGAGCTCCATTTCTTCCAGGAAGTTGTACATTCGCTCAAAGGCAGACACGACCCTCTGCTTTTCCATTTCTAATTCCGTCTGGTGGGGAGGGAAACACAGAAATTGTCAGCAATGGGCCGTAACCACCGAGGGCTGGTTCCTACATGCAGGTGTATAACTCCTGAAGAGAAGAAGGCGAGGAAAGGTCTGTTGGGTCAGCCAAGTGGTGCAGCTTCCTGTTTACCTCAGTGGCTACGGGAAGCCCACAAACAGGGCCTGGGGGCACCAACCCTCTCCCCGCCTGTGATTCCCAAGTGGTGTAGGAGAAACATCTCAAGGCCTTCCACATGTGCTTTGTCAGGAAGATTTTGAGCAGGGGTCAGCAACCTTTTTCAGCCATGGGCTGGTCCACTGTCCCTCAGACCTATATTTTGGGGGGGAAATGAACAAATTCCTATACCCCACAAATAACCCAGAGATGCATTTTAAATAAAAGGACACATTCTACTCATGTAAAATCACGCTGATTCTTGGACCGTCCGTGGGCCGAATTAAGAAGGCGATTGGGCTGCATCTGGCCCCCAGGCCTTAGGTTGCCTGCCCCTGATTTTGAGCATGGTAGGACAGAATGGAATTCCAGACAAAGATGTGCTCTCCCAAGCCTACATCCCCGGCATGTTTGTACTCCTGTCTTAGTGATGTCTACGTTGACTTGGTCATGTCTACAGAATGGAAGGTCAGGATGTGCTCTATGGGGAACAGGCTTCTGGCACCAGGCCCATCGGCAGACCAACTCTGCGTTACAAAGATGCCTGCAAATGTGCCAATGGCTCGTAGTCAACACTTGACTCTTCAGCTAGATGCCAGCCTGGAAACACCGGGCTGAGATGTCTTTGGGGGGCAAGAGGAGTCTTGTAGGCAACACCCATCCCCAAAGACGACAATCTGTCCTTGTCCTCCATATGGAGATTACACACACACACACACACACACACACACACACACACACACACTACATCTGCCATAATTCCTGACTCCTGGTCACGCAGACTGGGGCTGATGGGAGTTGTACTCCAAAACAACTGCTCTAGCTTGGGGAATGTTGTACCTTAAGAATAAGAACTTACCAGACATTCTTTGCTTCTCAGTTCTTCAGCTAGTTTCCGATCCGCAAGAATTTCTCTCTCTTTTTCCAAACACTTCAGCTCAGCCTTTTCCTCGAGAAGCAGAAAGAAAAGAAAAGAAAGAAAGTTTATATGGAGAATTATTGATGCCACTGATTAATCTCCTTTGAAAGCCATGTTTGATATGACTGCAGGATTAGCAACCTGTCCTCCATATTTCGCCTTGGATAAATCAGGAAGCTCTTTTGAGACATGCGCCTTTCACATCTTCTCTGCTCAAATGGGTATTTAAGAAGGTATTTTTGTCCGCATTTTATTTGCAAGTTGCATCTTTTGGGCCACGCTTAACTGGAGACCCAGGCACAATGTGCAGTTATGTATTTATTACAACAACTAGGGTAACGCTGAACCGTCTCTCATTTCAATGTTCACAAATGAGCATTAGAAATCACCCCAGAATTGGCCCTGCTAAACATCTTCTAATACAATAGTGCCCATTTACACCACAAAGAACTCATAACCCACCTACTTTCAGCAGCCAGAAACACCATAACCAGACACTGGAGAGACCTGTCAGGAGTAAGCATGGACCAATGGTACCAAATAGTATGGGAAACAGCCTTACTAGAAAAATTAACCAATAAACTGAAACTGACACGGGGACAAACAGAAGAAGACGCCTTTACCCCAGTATGGCTCCCCTTTATCACATACACAGCCCAACAAGACAATGACAAAAATCCACCAACAGCCTACAAATCAATATGGGTAACCTGATCCAAAACACCCACCCACCCCACTCACACATGAAAACAAAATTCACCACAGCCAATCACAAACAAACAACCACACCCTAGACCAACCCCAACCTCTCTCACCACCAAAGGAACACAAGTGAATAGCAGAGAACCGGCACAAGCGACGCTGACATGAAACCCCATATATATTAAGTATAACAGAAACTTCACGACCCGACCCCACCTTTCCCCCCTCCCCCTCTTCTTCCTAATGTCTCAACAAATGAAACTGATCTGTAAAAAATGTTACTTAGAAAGAGAAAGAGAGAGAGAGAGAGAGAGAGAGAGAGAGAGATTGCACATACTTTTGTAAACCAAGAAAATCTTTAATAAAAATGCATTAAATCAACAACAACAACAAATGAGTAAATGAGAGAGGAGAAAATATGGGGGGAAATAAGCCAAAAAAAGAGGGGTGTTTCTTTTCAAGTATGGACACCTGAAGATTTCTCTCTTTTTTCTTTTGAAGAACTATACTCTATAAGAGAGCAGCTTCAAGCAAAGTTTGTGAATGGAAGGAAAACGGCACGCGCTCTTAGATTATAACCGCAAACCGAGCCCAATGAAGCAATACAAATTCTTCCAGGAAAAAGGAGAATAAAGCTGTAGTCTTGTATTCATTTATCTGGGAGTGATCCCCATTGAAACCAGTGGGACTTACCTCTGAGTAGATCTGTGTAGGACTGTGCTGCAAACAGAAGTGTGGTGTACTGAATGTACGTTTCCGAGCACAATTCAAAGTGTTGGTGCTGACCTTTAAAGCCCTAAATGGCCTCAGTCCAGTATACCTGAAGGAGCGTCTCCACCCCCATCATTCTACCTGGACGCTGAGGTCCAGCTTTGAGGGCCTTCTGGCGGTTCCCTCACTGCGAGAAGCCAAGTTACAGGGAACCAGGCAGAGGGCCTTCTCGGTAGTGGCACCCGCCCTATGGAACGCCCTCCCACCAGATGTCAAAGAGAACAACTACCAGACTTTTAGGAGACATCTGAAGACAGCCCTGTTTAGGAAAGCTTTTAATGTTTAACAGACCACTGTATTTTAATATTTTGTTGGAAGCCGCCCAGAGTGGCTGGAGAAGCCCAGCCAGATGGGGGGTATAAATAATAATAAATTATTATTATTATTACTATTATTATTAAAAAGCTGATGATGAATATAGCAGTGTTGACAAACGCCGTAAGAGCCCTGCTGGAGCACAGCCAAGGCCCAGCATCAACAGCATACATGCTAAAGTACTGTGATACCTCTTTAAACAGGCATGGCTTCCCCCCAGAGAACTCTGGGAGATGTAGTTTGTTAAGGGGTCTGTGAGTTGTCAAGAGACCCCCTATTCCCAGAATTACAATTCCCAGCACCCCCTATGAAGAGATATGGACTGCTAAACCACTCTGAACTCTGAACCACTGCAGTTTCTTCAACTTATTGGAGGAAAAATGGGGTGCCAAGGTGATAAAATAAATATAAACACAGAGAGGGATATGTTCAGCCTAGAGAAGAGCTGGTGACGAGGCAATAGGGCGGCCTCCTTCTGATATCCGAAGCCCTGCCACGTAGATGATGGAGCAAACTTGCTTCCTGTCCTGCCACAGCAGCCACCCTGACACCCTCCAGATGCACTGCACCTCCCATCATCCCTGACTGGCTGGAACTGCTGGGAGATGTAGTGCCAAACCCCTGGCGTGCACCAGTTCAGGGAAAGCTGCTCCAGAGGACAGGAACTGCATGCCCACCTATCAGGGAAGTTGTAGGCGTGGATTTCCTGCAGCAGCAGCCGCGGGCTGGGATGGATGACCTCTGAGGTCCCCTACCACTTTACGATCCGGGTGGTTTCCCGCACAGATCCACCCCAAGAAAAACAAAGTCACTGCCCCATAATGCCCCACAGCAGGGATTTCTTACCTGCTGGGTCACCTCTTCTATGGGAATCACGCGGTGGTCCCGGTGCTCCTTGGACTTGTCGCACACCACGCAGATGGGGACCCGATCCTCCTTGCAGAAGAGCTTCAGGGGCTCCCGGTGCTTCTGGCACAAACCCCCCTCCTTGGCTTCTGCCCCGCTCCCTTCTTCCTCCAGCTTCCGGAGTATTTCTGTCATGCTGGCCAGCTGCCAGTTGGGCCGGGGGCTTTCTCGAGGGACGGCTTCCCTGCACTGGGGGCAAGAGACGCTTTTGCCCCCCTCCTCGCAGCACTGGGCCAGGCAGCCCTGGCAGAAATTGTGCCCGCAGTCGAGGATCACCGGGTCCTTGAAGAACTCCAGGCAGATGGAGCAGGTCGCTTCCAGGCACAGCGCCTGGATGGGACCCCCGGGGTGGCCCATGGCTGCCTCGCCCGGGAGCGGAAGAAGGACAGTTCTCGCTTCAGATCGCAAATGCAATGACTTTGCAGCCCGTTTCCCGGAATCTCCTCCGGGACTGGCTGAGCGAGGAGCGGCAATGGGCCGAGGGGTGTGCCTTAGCTTAGCCGGATGTTTTTGCTGCTGTCAGATGGGTGGCCTGGGCTAAGAGGGAGGGGTAGATCTTTTTCCTCCAGAAACAGCCATTATCTTTTCTCAGGTTCATTTAAACTAGGAGTGGCTCCCGGGAATATTTTCTGCTACCCACCAGATCCTAGCAATTTATTTATTTATTGGGGGTGGGGATGTACATTATATCCCCTCCCCGCCCAGCTGATCTGCTGCGATCCACAAGGAGCTGTGTGCACGTGTTTGTGTGTTCGTCTGTATATATGCGTACACGTGACAGCACCTGACGTAGGGCGCTCTTTGCTCAAGGTACAGGGATAGTTTGGGGCAATCAAAATGATAATGGAGCTGGGACAACTCCCCCTAGGAGGGACGTGACAACATCTGGGCATTTGTAGGTTGAAAAGAAAGGCGGGATCGATGGGGAAATGAAAGGTGTGTGCAAAATCAGGCGTGTTGAACACGCTGCGAGCCGCCTTGAGCTCTTCCGATGAAGGGCGATACACAAATTTAATAAATGGAAACAATAATACTGGAACTCATGGGGATCAAATGAAGCAGAACATTAGAGGATTAAAGGTAAAGGGACCACTGACCCTTAGGTCCAATTGTGGCCTACTCTGGGGTTGCGGCGCTCTTCTTGCTTTATTGGCCGAGGGAGCCGGCGTACAGCTTCAGGGTCATGTGGCCAGCATGACTAAGCCGCTTCTGGCAAACCAGAGCAGCGCATGGAAATGCCGTTTACCTTCCCGCCGGAGCAGTACCTATTTATCTACTTGCACTTTGAGGTGCTTTCGAACTGCTAGGTTGGCAGGAGCAGGGACCGAGCAACAGGAGCTCACCCCGTTGCAGGGATTCGAACTGCTGACCTTCTGATCGGCAAGTCCTAGGCTCTGTGGTTTAACTCACAGGGCCAGGTCAGGCAAAAGAGTATTTCCTCATACAGCACAATTAAACTATGAGCATCCACTACCAGAAGATGTAGCACAGGTAACAACCAATTACTGAATGATGCACAATCACACATGGCACCAAACCTGGAAGCAGCCCCAAAGTGTCATAAAGATGCCACGGAAAGGGGCAGAACGGGCTTAGGTGTATCCCTGCCAAGAAAACTCCAGGACAAAGACAACAGGCATATAAAAAATTATTATTAAGAATATATAAGCATATGCGGCGCGGGGGTGCAAACATCCACAGGTGCCCCCAAAGTTGTTGGAAAAAAAGGTCACCCGGCGGAAAAAGAATGGGAACCATTTATATTATACAGTGGTACCTTGGGTTACATACGCTTCAGGTTACATACGCTTCAGGTTACATACGCTTCAGGTTACAGTCTCCGCTAACCCAGAAATACCACCTCGAGTTAAGAACTTTGCTTCAGGATGAGAACACAAATCGTGTGGCGGCAGCAGGAGGCCCCATTAGCTAAAGTGGTGTTTCAGGTTAAGAACGGACCTCTGGAACGAATTAAGTACTTAACCCGAGGTACCACTGTACTTGCAGAAACAAAGAAAGTCGATAGACTTGATGGCAGGATTTAAATAAACATTCACATTATTTGTATTAGAAAATGTGTAGAAGATAGAGAAATATTACAGTGTATTTACTTTTACTTTTATGTTTTTAGGTTTGATGTTATGTTATTAATAACTTTTTCTGTTAGGAGGTAGCAAAGTGGGTGAAAGGAGAAACAAACCAGAAGCGGAAGTTGGGGGAAGCCCTGGAGGGGAGGGGGGAAGGAATACATAGTAAATGTTAAGAATTTGAGATGTATGTAATGAATGAAAAAGAAAAATGAATAATTTTTTTATTAAAAAAAAGGAAAGGTTGCCCAGAGTTGTTGACCTTTATAATAATAATATAATAATAATAATATCTTTATTGTCATTGCCCCCTTCGGGGACAACGAAATTACTTGACTGCTCCATAAAAACACTAATTAAACAATACAGTATAATACAGCAAGGGAGATTAGATGACTTTCAAAGTCCGGGCTTCCCATTCAGGGCCGAGATCGCTCTGGAGAAGAAGCTGTTCTTAAGACGGCTCGTTCTTGTCTTCATCGTCCTGTATCTCCGTCCCGACGGCAAGAGCTCGAAGAGACAGTGACCAGGACGCGATGGATCTTTTACTATGTCCAGTGCCTTCCTATGGCACCTTGTGGCATAAATCTGCTCTAAGGTGGAGAGTGGGCAGCCAACAATGCTCTCTGCTGCCTTAACAACCCTGCACAACCCCATCCTGTCCTGGGTAGTACAGCTTCCGTACCACACACATAAGCCATAAGTGAGCACGCTCTCAATGGCACAGTGATAGAAGGCAAGCAGCAGTTTCTGCGGAAGATGGTTTTTCCTTAGTATTCTCAAAAAGTACAGTCTCTGCTGCGCCTTCTTCACAAGCCCCCGTGTGTTGACACTTTGGGGGGGGAGGGGGGATTGCTGGCAGCCTGAAATCGCACACCTCACAGAAGTCGACAATCATCTGCCCGATCACCGCCAGCAGCCACAAATCACCCGCCCAATTGCCGCACAACAGCCCTTGGCGCATACACCAATCACCCGCCCAATCACTGCTGTGTATCTCCTACTCACGGCTGCCAACAATCGGCATAGCTGTCAACTTTTCCATTTTCTTGCGAGAAATCCTATTTGGAATAAGGGAATTTCCCTTTAAAAATGGGAAACGTTGACAGCTATGACAATCACCCCCCCCATGCACTACCCGTCTAAGACGACCCCAAATTTTAAACAATATTTCCTAATAAAAAATCCTACGTCTTATACATGGAAAAATATGGTACTTCTTCGTACTGTGCATGGTTCAAGTACGGCATTCCCCAGTGTTGGCCACTAACTTGGATGGCTTAAAAAGATGAATGGACCCTTATCCCCTAAGGGTTCACCAAGAAAGACCTGGTTATGTTTAGAATGATACTGCATAGGGAAATGTTCCCTGATACCAAGATGAGGGATTCTATGGAATGCAGATAGAGAGAACTGATAAGAATAATGATCTGTTGTGGCCTTGACGGAAGCATACAATAGACGAGCCTTCTTGTGTTTTGGCTCATTTCCCCCCCCCCCCTTTTTTTCTCCCCCCCTTCCTTCTTTCCTTTTTCTTTCCCATAATGGCTTATGTTCTATGCCATGTATTCTGATATTTTTTGTAGTTTTTTCACCTTTTCCATTATTATTATTATTGTTAAGGATTTTTCTTTTGTAATTTTGGTTGTTTATATTTATCTGTATTTGTTTAAAGCAAAATAAATAAATAAATTAAAAATAAAAATAAAAAGACCAATGGAAAAAAATTATGGTGGTTATTGCTATCAGAGGCTACTAGCCACACTGGCTTATCCTCTTACCTCCACAGCTCTAAAAGTGCCTCGCTGCCACACTGGAGAAATTTGTTCACCTTTCGTTTCCAAAGAAACAGCGAATTCAGAATATAGGGGAGCTTCGCTGCAAAGAATCCTTTGTCGCCGTTGACAGCCATCATTGCTTGCATGCAAAAACAAGTTGCAGATGTGGCTCAGAGTTCCAACACGCTTTTTTTTGCAATTTCATGTAAATACGCCAAGGATCTACCCACCAGGGAATAATAAAATCACCGAAGTGTTGAGTTCGAAGAGATCTCCTAGGGTCCTCTAGTCCAACCCCTTGAATTACAGGAATCTCAGCTAAAGCATCCAGGACAGACGGCCATCTAACCTCTGCTTAAAAATCTCCAAAGAAGGAGAACCCACAACCTCCAAAGGGAGACCGCTCCACTGTCAAACAGCTCTTACAGTCAAAAACATTTAGCCACAGAAAAGCTTCAGATCCTGGACTTTCCACAACAAATAAAGTTCAGGCCACCTTGGGAGTAACGATCCTTTATTCTTTTTATTTGTGTGTTAAGAATATATATATAAAACTTCCATGGTTCTAAAGAAACCTCCAAGGCTGCTCATTCTGTAAGATAAAATCAAACATTAAAAAGCATTTACACTGATTTCAAAGAGAGGCAGCTTCTGTTTTGTGAAAAAACAGAACCTTAGAGTGTGGAAGAATAGCCAGCCTTTTGGTCTGGAGGTTTGTTGTTAGCTTGCATTGGGAGCAGCCGGAGGGAAGGAGCAGAAAATAGATCAACAACAGAGGCTGCTCTCCTCTCTCACAGGCAGAGTTGGAGATGGGATTTTTTCCAGATCCAAAAGGAGGGGCAGAAGGTGTCGGACGAGGATTCGGCTAAGGAGAAAGTGTGGAGCAGGCTTGCCGCCTCAGCATCAAAAAAAGCCACCTGTTGAGCTTCCAGATTCAGGGCCACTCGTATTCTTTGGGGCTCCCTGCTCGGATACAGGAAAGGGTAATGCGGTGGGACAACAGCCCTGTACTGACCCTCCCACCTCCCAATAGCCCAGACGCCGGCTTCCGGGGAAGGCTGTGCGCCTTTCCTGACCGCCACAAGCGGTTTTGAGATGCCCAGAGCCCAGGCGCCCTCGTTCCTCACTTCGACTTCCCAGTAGCTTCTGCCAGAGCTGAAGGACTCCCGGCACTGAGCGCACGGCCAGCGCTCAAATCGGCCAGCGCTGAGGGGAAGGGCCTGCGGCCTTTCTGCCAGCGCCAAACTTCTCAGGTCCTCGGATACGACGAGCCGAGGATGGGCCGTGGCTGGGTTCAGAGACACTTTCGCTGCGGAAGAAGAGAAGAAGAGGCAGAGTTTGGATTTGATATCCCGCTTTATCACTACCCGAAGGAGTCTCAAAGCGGCTAACATTCTCCTTTCCCTTCCTCCCCCACAACAAACACTCTGTGGCTACTTCTCGATCCAGTTTCCCACCCTGGATTTAAAGTGAGTGAACAAAGAAATAGGTGGTCAGCTATTGAGAGGTACCTCAACACCATCTTTTGCTGCCTGAAATTTACCTTTACGCAGTGAATATCCAGATATCAGATTGCCTGTAGAAGAAAATGGAGGAGTGAGATCAAAGGAGTGCTTCAAATGAACAGAAAACCACCCCATGTGTAAAAACCAGTAACCGATAGACTCCCCCCTTTTGTTAAGAGGGCTTTTAATCAAAGTTTGCAGGACCAACTATCGGGAATGTGATTTGGCAATCTGGGGAAAACCCAATTTCCTGTTAGCTCCGATTGAGCACTAAAGAGTCGTTTTTTCCCCCAGGAGGGTGACTGAAGCGGCAGAAGAGGAGGAGGTGTGGATAAGCCAGTCTGTATATGTTTTTCTTCTGAAATTGCTTTGGGAAGCTTTATGAGAAGCGATTCCTAAGGGAAATTAAGTGAAGAAATAAATATTCAACTGAACAGTGCTTTTGGGTGCCTTCCAACGCCAAAAGTCTATAGGATGGATCCTGGCTTGCCCATGAAATCCAGTCACCTTCAATTCGAGTCTGGTTAAGGTGTATGTGTGTGTTATGGCTTTATAACTCTGCCATTTCCAGGTTCCTAGCTGACAATGCAGGGCCTTCTTTCTTTCATCGAGGGGCTGACAGGAGAGAAGAATCCAAACTTCCTTAGGCATTCTCTGTGCTCCTTTGCTGCAACTCAACAATACCCTAGGAAGCAGTTACTTCCAGATGCAGGAAGCTGGGCTTCTGGTAGAAATAAAAGATAGCCTCCTCGCTGTTGCCTGAGCTCCCCTGCATCTGAGAGAATCTCCTACAAGCCTCGTTCCCACACCAATCCCACCCTCCCCCTTTGCCTGGCAGCCGATTCCCCACCCAAAACCCTTCCGATACCTTTGAATTTCTCTGTGAACTTCTGCAAAATGGCAGTGACGTCCCAAAACTCCCAAGTTTTCCATTTTAGTTTTGGAGGGAAAGTGGCTACGTTTTTAAACTTGACCTCCTTGCTCCTGAAGAGAGAGAAAAAGAGTATATAATAATGATTTCTTGCTTTATCTGGATAGATCAATAATCACAGTGGCAGGAAAAAAGAGAAATGGACAGAAAAAGGAAGGAAGGAAGGTGAACACCAATAAGCCCGTCCCACAGGGACAGAAAACTGGCACAATTTGGGTCATTTTTGTACTGTAGGTCACACTCCACCCTTCCTGCCTTGCGGGCTGCTTAGTGGAGAAGAAGACGCCATAATAAGCAGCTGGGCTTCAAGGCTGTATAAAGTTCTGTTGGGAAACTGTGTACGTGCAGCTACTCACACAGAGTCAATTAAGGTTTGGCAGACAGCCAGAAGGCAATCTGAAGGAGTAAGTCTTCCTGGTGATAACAGAGACATGCAGACAGCTCCCTGATTGGTCAAGCTCTCTCAAGGGAGTGATAATTAATGGCCTACTAACTAGAATGTGTTGGTTCAGTGTTCAGAGGTTCAGAGTTCTGTGTCAGTGTAGGAGTTGTGAGTCATGTCAGAGAGAGCTAGCAAAAGATCTGTGTTCTGTTCCTGTAAATAGTCCACTGTATATAATAAACACCCAACTACAAGTTCCTGGTTCCTGCTTCGTCTATCCTGTCTGCAGCCAAGTCACCAAATGCTTCCGTGGATTCTGCGTTTACTCTGCTGGGTCTGGCTAAGGTCCTGCAACTAGTCAGAAAGTTGTGAAACACCAAATAGGTTTGCCAATAAGTTCATCCCACACCATCCCAAGAATAGTCCAACAGATCATCCACCTCGCACAGGAAGTGCCGCCCCTTTAAGGACAAACCGATTGACCTTCGACAAGTGAAATTAAAAGGAAGAGGAGATTCCTTCACCACCACCTTCTTCCCCGTGCAAAGCTGGCTGGTCCTTTGGAAGAGCTGAGCCAGGTACAAATACAACTGGGGAAGGAACAGGTTAAACGGCGCTGCAGCAGGAAGTTCCCCTATTGTGCAAAGCCTCCCAAGATTAACCAAATGTGAAACAGAATGAAGGGGACCCACTTACCTTTGCAAGGTGCCTGCAACGTCCTAGAGTAGGGAGAGGGAGAAGAGGGAACTGAGTGCCCTGCCGCAGGCTGCTAAGGAGACCCCCACAGAACTTGAATGCCCCCTGGGGTAAGGATGCATTGGGGTTTAAAATTTCTAGCTAAGAATCGCTGGGAAAGAAAACAAAAACTGCCAATACCCTAATGCATGCCCTTATACCAGGGGTCAGCAGACTTTTTCAGCAGGGGGCCGGTCCACTGTCCCTCAGACCTTGTGGGGGGCCAGACTATATTTTGAAGGGGGGGGGAATGAACAAATTCCTATGCCCCACAAATAACCCAGAGATGCTTTTTAAATAAAAGCACACATTCTACTCATGTAGAAACACGCTGATTCCTGGACCAATTAAGAAGGCGATTGGGCTGGATCTGGCCCCCGGGCCTTAGTTTGCCTACTCATGCCTTATACAAATCTGTGGTACGACTGCATTTGGAGTCCTGTATAAAGTTCTGGTCACCTCAACTCAAAAAAGGATATTGTTGAGTTGGAAAAGGGTAAAGGGGGGGCGCAATCTTCCCCCTCCCCCCACGACTACTTCTTCCCCCAGCTTTATTCTGTATACAGTGGTACCTCAGGTTAAGTACTTAATTCGTTCCGGAGGTCCGTACTTAACCTGAAACTGTTCTTAACCTGAAGAACCACTTTAGCTAATGGGGCCTCCCGCTGCTGCGCGATTTCTGTTCTCATCCTGAAGCAAAGTTCTTAACCTGAAGCACTATTTCTGGGTTAGCAGAGTCTGTAACCTGAAGCGTATGTAGCCTGAAGCGTATGTAACCTGAGCTACCACTGAACAACATTACAATCATGCCTCAGTTCCCAAACGCCTTGGGAGTTGAACGTTCCAGCTCCTGAATGATCAAAAACCGGAAGTGAGTGTTCAAGCTTTCGAACGTTCTTTCGGAAGCCGAACGTCAAACAGGGCTTCCAATTGGCTGCAGAAGCTGCAGCCATTCAGAAGCTGTGCTTTGGAAGTCAAACGGACTTCCGGAACAGATTCTGTTCGACTTCCGAGGTACGACTGTACTGGGGGGAAATGCAGCCAGCCATCTTACCTGCAGGAAGTCACTCACAGGCAGCCGAGATGTCTGCTCCATCTCTTGGATGCTGCTGCCCAGAGAGGAGAGGTCCTGAGAGAGTTTGGCCATTTGCTCGTCCCTCTTTGTCATAATCTCCTTTTTGGCCCACTCCATCTGTGCCACAATGAAGCCCAGTTGCTTTTTGATAATGTGGTACAACTGCTTGACCCCCGCCGTCATTTTCTCCCGCTCGGATTCTATCCGTTTCTGCAGCAAGGTGGAGAGAGAGGGGAGCCGGTGCGGTGTGGTGGTTAGAGAGCTCGACTAGGGGACCTGAGGGACCAGGGTTCAAATCCCACCCACCCCACCCAGCCATAATGCTCACGGGCTGCCCTTGGGCAGCCACTGTCTCTCAGCCTAACCTACCTCACAAAGCTGTTGGGAGAAAATGGGGAGGGGGGAAGAAATGCAAATATGCATAGCTGTCAACTTACAGCTTTGAAAATAAGGGACTAGCAACCTCGAAAATAAGGGATCAGCAGCCAAAATAAGGGATTTTGCTGTTGTAAAGAGTTACATACATTGGTAGGATTGACAGATGCTGTCAATCCGGCATGAGGTGCTTGCGACGCTGCGGCGGCCGCTGAATATAATAATAATAATTTATTATTTGTACCCCGCCCATCTGGCTGGGTTTCCCCAGCCACTCTGGGCGGCTTCCACAAAAACCAAAAGTACACTAATATGTCATGCATTAAAAACTTCCCTGAACAGGGCTGCCTTAAGATGTCTTCTGAATGTCAGGTAGTTGTTTATCGCTTTGACATCTGATGGGAGGGCATTCCACAGGGGAGGCGCCACAACCGAGAAGGCCCTCTGCCTGGTTCCCTGTAGCTTTGCTTCTCACAATGAGGGAACTGCCAGGAGGCCCTCAACGCTGGACCTCAGTGTCCGGGCAGAACGATGGGGGTGGAGATGCTCCTTCGGATATACTGGGCCGAGGCCGTTTAGGGCTTTAAAGGTCAACACCAACACTTTGAATTGTGCTCGGAAACGTATTGGCCTTCTGCGTCCCTCCCCCTCCCCTCCTCTTCTTCCTCCCTCAGGCCACCTCCTCAGCTGCCACCACCGCTGCCGCCTCCGGGCTCGCGGGCGGCAAGGGCGAGAGTCTATCTCCCTCACCCCCTCTCTCGCAGCGGCGAAGGGCCGATGGAACTCCTTGCGCCAGGACGACGGCGCCAGCACGCTCTCTCTCTCGTGGCGGAGGACCCCGAGCCGCTGCTTCCCTCCCGAGCCGGGCGAGCATGAAACCCGGGAAATTTAAGGGACATCATCAATAAGGGACAGCAGTGGGACACGGCGCTGGAATAAGGGAGTTTCCCACCAAATAAGGGACGGTTGACAGCTATGGCAAATATGCCACCCTGAGTTTTCTTAGAGGAAACCTGGGGTATGAAGGTAATAATAAAAATATAAAGCAAAATCAGATATCTACAGTCATATGTCATGTTATGTTTGTTTCATGATACGTTTTTTCAGGTTGCGTCCCGCAAGTACCGGAAAGGGTTACTTCCGGGTTTCGCCACTCGCGCAGAAGCGCTAAATCGCACTTTGCGCATGCACACAAGCACCAAATCACGCTGTGGACCTGCACAGATACAGCGCTTCAGGTTGCGGGCTTTTCATGTTGCGAATGGGCCTCCGGAATGGATCCTGTTCGCAACCAGAGGTACCACTGTATTTACAACATTTTCCATCCTGTCTTGTCTTCCAAGAGATCAGGGTGGCATGCATTGTTGGTCTTCCCTCCTGCCCCCCACCGCCCAAAAAAATCCATTTACGGATCGCATTGTGGTACGTGAGCCACCTTTAGGGAACCACAACATTCAGCTATGCTCCCAAGGCACAATAGCTTTCTAGGGCATTCTAGGAAGTCAGAGCATCCCCAGAGGGCTTTCTGAGAGCTCAGGATACACTAGGCAACTCCTGGTGGCACGCGGTGCTTAAAATAATCGTTCCACAAGTTCCTGGTGAAAAGAGACACATACAAGCAGGTCTTGGCTTTCCTTTTCTGTATTCAATATATGCACCAGTATCTCTTCTCTCTGCTTCCTCATCACTTCCAGCAAGCTGCAGACGTGATCCTGGAGAGGAGGGCAAGAAATCGTGTTAGAGCAGGTTTGAAAAAAGTCACTATTGTTCCATAAAGAATTGGAAAAAAATGTTTAAAAGTGCTTTTCCAAAAACAAACAGAGTCCTTTGGGTTGGGGGTAATTCAGATGGAAATTCCCAGGTGTCAAAAAAAGGTTATTTACGTATGCCACTACTGCGGCCCGTGTTTCGTTAGCCAAAAAATGGAAATCGAGCGAGGTCCCAACTAAAGAAGAATGGCAACTTAAGCTGATGGATTATGCGCAACTTGCAGACCTAACATATAGAATAAGAGAACAAGAAGAACATACGTTTAAAGAAGATTGGAAAATGTTTACTGAATATATGGAGGAAAATTGTTTATTTGAAAACGTGGGCCGCTTTAAGATAAATTCAACAGTGTAAATAAGTTTTGATGGATGTAATAATGGACTACTGAATGGTTTGGTTTACAGTGGTACCTCAGGTTACATATGCTTCAGGTTACAGACTCTGCTAATCCAGAAATATTACTTCGGGTTAAGTACTTGCTTCAGGATGAGAACAGAAATTGTGCTCCAGCGGCACGGCAGCAGCAGGAGGCCCCATTAGCTAAAGTGGTGCTTCAGGTTAAGAACAGTTTCAGGTTAAGTACGGACCTCTGGAATGAATTAAGTACTTAACCTGAGGTACCACTGTATATAAAATATGCATGGATTTATGTTTTGTAAAATGAACCATGGAAAGAGAAGGGAAGTCATTGATATTTTAAGGTTGTTTAAATAAATATTCTAAAATGTAAAACAGAAATTTAATAAAAATTATAGGGGGGGAAAGAAAGAAAAAAGTCACTACTGTTTCAATGGAAGCTCCATTCATTCTGCTCCTTGCTTCCCAATTTCCTTCTGGGGCTTTACTTCAGGAGTGGCTAATTTTCAGCCCTACAAACATTGCTCAGCTACAGCTTGCATCCTCCCTGACCACTGGCCGTAATGGCAGGGGCTGATGGGAGTTGTAGTTCAGTAACACCTGGAGGGAGCCCCAATTTCCTCACCCCTGAATCTATTTCACTCGATGCACCAACTTGGCTGAGTGTCAGGTCTAATGAGCCCAGCAGCTCATTCCCGGTAGCTCTTGCCCCATGGATCAGTTGCCGAGACTGAAAGTGCTCACCTCCCACAGCTGTCTAAGTCCCCTCCTCTACAGGGCTTTCCCCAAGCAATCAGAGACTGTGCCTGCCTGCCGCCTTCCACTGCTATGCTCATTTCAGCCCTCTTCTGGTTCTGGGAGAGAAGGGGTGAGGGGAGCTTGTCGCAGCAGGAAGGGGAGACACTTGTGACTTTTCAGCAGCCTGCCTCATTCTCTGCCTTCTGTCCCCCTCCACTCCTGCCTCTGATTCTGGACATTATCTGCCACAGACTCTCCCTGCCCACTAAGCCCTGTTTCCCCTCCAGCTTCTGACACCTCCTCATTCCAGTCTGCTCCCTGTGACCACTCATGGTTGTCACATCGCCACTCCCAGGCTCTGATCCTTCTTCCCTTAGGGCAGGGGTGGCCCGCTCACAAGAGACTGCGATCTACTCACAGAGTTAAAAGCTGGCAGTGATCTACCCCCTTTTTGGGGGTTCAGGTCAAAGTTGTTGAGCTTTCTGTAGGGAGAAGGAAGGCCCATTTTTTAGGGGTGCAGGGCTAATGTGTTGAGCTTTTTTTAGGGGAGCCAGAGTTGTTGAGCTTCTCTGGGGGGAGCCAGTGATCTACCTGCTTAGGGATTCCCCAGCTGGTTCCTCTTACAACCTTCCTCTGTATAGAGCCAGTCTGTGACAGTCAGTCACCAATTGGTGTCCCTGAACATACTCAGGACTGCTTGGAACCGGGGCAATGGCAAACCTCTCCACTGCTACTTTCCAAAGAGCGTTCCAATTTTACTGCCTGTCCACAAACACAAAGCGTGCCCTGTTTACAGCTCCCTGAAGCAGTGTCCCACCTACCCTAAGGTTACCAGAAGTCCCCGTTTCCTGGGGACAGTTCCCGGATTTACAAATCAGTCCCCTGACAAAATCCATCTGTTTAGTAGGAAGTTGAAAAGTGTCCCCAGATTGCACAAGATATAGGACACAATATACAATTTGAGGACTGGGGAAAATTGTGAAAGGTAGATCTGAAATTTACAGAACGTTCTCTTTTGAAAGAAAATTATATGAAAATGATGTACAGATGGTACATCACACCAGTACAAATAGCAAAAATGTACAAAACCGGGTCAAACATATGTTGGAAATGTAAAGAAAAAGAAGGTACTTTTTATCATATGTGGTGGGAATGCAGAGAAGTTTTTAAAAAAATGGGAAATGATATACAATGAATTGGAAAAAATGTTTAAAATGACACTTGTAAAAAAAACACCAGGAGCATTTTTGTTAGGGATTGTAGGACAAGACCTGCCCTGCCAAAAAAATAAAGAACTTATTTATGTATGCTACAACAGTGGCAAGAGTCTTGTTAGCACAAGGATGGAAGAACGAGGAAATTCCATTGAAAGAACAGTGGCAAGAAAAACTGATGAGCTATGTGGAATTGGCCAAATTGACATACAAACTGCATGATAAAGACAATTGTGAACTGTTTACAAATTACCTAAAAAGACAACAAAATGACCTGGACTCCTTGGCAGGTTTTGAATAAACACCCACAAATTTATTAGTTGAACACATGATAGATAAGGCAAGGATATGTACAATTTTATAACATGCAGAGAACAATATGTGCAAAGAAACCAGAGAGGGGAGCTGAGGGAAGTCCTGAGTGGGGGGGGGGGAGAAGGGGGAAAATAATGTAATTGATTATTTGGACTGATAATTTGTTATGCTGAAATTGTTTAATAAAAATATTTTTAAAAAAAAAAAGAGAAGAAAAGAAAAGTGTCCCCGGATTCATTGATAAAAATCTGGTAACCTTAACCTACCCTGTACTCTTGGGCAGCCTCCTCCTTGGGAACCACTTCATGTCCTTTGTGCTCCTTGGACCAGTCACACACCACACAGATGGGGACTTGGTCATCCTTGCAGAAGAGTTTCAGGGGCTCCCCGTGTCTCCCGCAGAACCGCCTCCCTTCAGCCTCCTCCTTCTCCTGATCTCTCAGCTGCTTGGCTATCTCAGCAAAGTTGCTCAGCTGCTTGTTCGGCTTGGACTTCGTTGCCCGGATGGCCCGTTTACACAGGGGGCAGAGGGCGCTGGAAGAAGATTCCCCCCGACACTGGGCAATGCAGGTGGAGCAGAAGCTGTGCTCACACTCTAAAGTAACAGGATCAGTGAAGAAGTCGAGGCAAATGCAGCAGGTCACCTCCTCCTGAAGCCTCTTCCTGAGGTTCTCAGCAGCCATGGTGGTTCTCTTCCTGGAACTGCAGGAAAAGAGAGGGAAATAGTGTCAGGAGTTCAGCCTACACTCGAGTAGGACCCTGGCAGGGACACATGCCCGACTGGCATGTTCTCTCCCTCCTGGTCAATCGTTCGAGAGCTTCAAAAGCTTTCTTTTGCCCGATCATCACAGTCACCGATGCCAACAGACACCGGCACACTTAGGGATCCACAGAGTTTGCACAGTTGCGTAACAGACCTCAGCAACTCAGCATTTTGGCTAATCTACTTTATTTACATATAAAGACACACGCACTGCGACATGGCTCCCTCTCTCTCTAGCATCAGACAGCAAAGAGAAAAAGAACAAAGGACAATAGTCCCACTTCACGGAACACAGTAACACAAACATCCTGTCTCCGTCACTTCCCACTCTGTGGAGTCAAAACATACACTGTCATGTGACAGACAACAAGCCCATGACTGCAATCATGGAGCAGGAATTCTAACAAAAAGTAGCTGTGCCCTTTCTTATATCTCACTAATAGTATATAAACCCTGCTCAAATATATAAACCAAGATCTGAAAACCTCACTTTATAGCAAAGCTCTCTAACAGAATACTCAACAGAGCACCTCTTTACCAGAGCACTTAAATTTCACACGATATAATCTCACCTTTAATGTAAAAAGGTAAAGGGACCCCTGACCATTAGGTCCAGTCGTGGCTGACTCTGGGGTTGCGGTGCTCATCTCGCTTTATTGGTTGAGGGAGCCGGCGTACAGCTTCAGGGTCATGCGGCCAGCATGACTAAGCCGCTTCTGGCAAACCAGAGCAGTGCACGGAAACGCCGTCTACCTTCCCGCCAGAGTGGTACCTATTTATCTACTTGCACTTTAACGTGTTTTTGAACTGCTAGGTTGGCAGGAGCTGGGACCGAGCAACAGGAGCTCACCCCGTCACGGGGATTTGAACCGCCGACCTTCTGATCGGCAAGTCCTAGGCTCTGTGGTTTAACCCACAGCGCCACCCGCATCCCTTCACCTTTCATGTACCTTCCATGTACCTCCACACTAAAGAAACTTGCACCTAGACAACTAGTCCATCAGTTGTCTGACAGCTTCAGCAAATCACCATCCACACGGAGATGAACTCCTCTTCTGGCCTCTAACACTCTTCACATGTTCTCAACAGCCACTCACTCAGCCTGAGGGTGAGCGGGTGAGAAAATGAAGGATTGTTGGATGAGGAAGGAAAGGGTATTTAAAGAAAATAAAATGTTTTCCCGAATATCCATTTACATCAAGCATAGCCAACACAGTGCCCACCTGCCCCATAAATTCCAGGTAGCATGGCCAATTGACAGGGATCATGGGAGTTGTAACTCCATCCTCAATTTAGACAGATAAATAGATCAAAGCAGGGCTTTGTAGGGAGTGTCATTTTAAGGGGTGAAACTTAATTTTTGCAACTTTCTTGAGCGAAGGGGTCTTAACACACACACACACACACACACACATACATACATACAGCGGTACCTTGGGTTACATACACTTCTGGTTACATACGCTTCAGGTTACATACGCTTCAGGTTACATATGCTTCAGGTTACAGACTCCGCTAACCCAGAAATAAACCCAGAAGAACCCAAAGTTTTTCGGGTTAAGAACTTTGCTTCAGGATGAAAACAGAAATCGTGCAGCAGCGGTGCGGCAGCAGCAGGAGGCCCCATTAGCAAAAGTGGTACTTCAGGTTAAGCACGGTTTCAGGTTAAGAACGGACCTCCAGAACAAATTAAGTACTTAACCCGAGGTACCACTGTATATTTAAAACTGGAACACACTAAAGCAGGTACTTTTAAAAAAGGTATTGAGCCAGTGTCCATCAATATCTCAGAGACTCTCCCAGACCTCAGAAGAGTGTGTGGTCACTACAAACTGCGATCCTAAACTCCCAGTAGCCTGAATACCAAGTGTCTAGGTAGGTGGAGATTCTGTAACCCTGAGGCTGGCAGACACACACACATCAGTAGTCACAGAAAGGAACTTTCCTTAGGAATAAAAAGTTGTGGAGGGGGGAGAAAGCAAGCAGAAGGTAAAAAAAGAATACAAAATAAACCCACTGTGGCTCTGCAACTGAACTAAACATAGCCTATTGACTGTTCAGGTTTATTCACAAAGGCTCTGTAAAGCTGGGCAGCTTCATAGAAGATTCAGGATTCGAGTACTAGACAGGAAACGTCTCTCTGACGTTGAGAGAGGGGCAAGGAGGCTGCAAGGCAGCTCCGCTTTTGTAAAAAGCCTCTTTCCTCGCAAGCTTCCCCTGCTCCCCTTATTTAGTTAGGAGGAAGCCTAGGTTGTGCAAGCATAATAATAATAATAATAATAATAAGTGGAGCTAGTTTTAAAGCACAGCAATTTCCCTAAGAAGCCAGCTCAAAACAGCTGCCAACTTTTTTAGCCAGCGAGATAGGAGAGGTGGAGTTACCTGCCAAAACGCTGCGTGCTGCCAATTCCGGTACTTATTTGGGTGGGGAAGAGAGAGCAGAGAACGGCCAGCGTCCAGAGATGGCGAAACTGTGGATGCGGAGGAAGCACCCGCGCGAAAGGGAAAGTTCGAAAGCTGCTCCAGGCGACCGATAAATAGTGGCGGCCGAAGCCACGCCTTTCCCTGCGCGCGCGGGCGTGGCGTGTTTGGGGCAACAATCCATGAATGAGCCGAGCGCGCATGAATGAGAAGGCGCGCCGAGTGCCCACGAATCAACGCAGGTGGAGCAGCGAAAGTTGCGCGCGCGGGTGGGAGTGAAATGTGAAAACCTGGTTTTGCAGGCAAGTCCCGAGTCTGCTCTCGCCTGGGTGCCATTTATTTTCTTGCAAAGGGCCTTTCCCCACACAAGGCATCGCATTCATTAAAACTGCTTGGTGGGAGGGAGGGAGGGAGGGAAGACGGGTGTTTGCGCGAGAAGCTCTGGATCCCTCCTCGTTTCATTCGAGGGCGGATCCGCCCTCCGTGGATTGGCTGCTCCAGGGAAAGGTGTGGCTCAGACCAATTTTATTCCTCCCCGTGGTTTCCCTGCATACCGAAAACAGGAGTGAAAAGGCAAGCCGTCTATTTTATAGACGTAGAGACATCACCTTGCCAACAAAGGTCCGTATAGTTAAAGCTATGGTTTTCTCAGTAGTGAAGTTTGGAAGTTAGAGCTGGACCATAAAGAAGGCTGATCACCGAAGAATTGATGCTTTTGAATTATGGTGCTGGAGGAGACTCTTGAGAGTCCCATGGACTGCAAGAAGATCAAACCTCTCCATTCTGAAGGAAATCAGCCCTGAGTGCTCACTGGAAGGACAGATCCTGAAGCTGAGGCTCCAATACTTTGGCCACCTCATGAGAAGGGAAGACTCCCTGGAAAAGACCCTGATGCTGGGAAAGATGGAGGGCACAAGGAGAAGGGGACGACAGAGGACGAGATGGTTGGACAGTGTTCTCGAAGCTACCAACATGAGTTTGACCAAAGTGCGGGAGGCAGTGGAAGACAGGAGTGCCTGGCGTGCTCTGGTCCAGGGGGTCACAAAGAGTCGGACATGACTAAACAACTAAACAACAACAGGTTTCATCACCTCTTCCTTCTCTTCTGGCTTAGTGGCAGAGTTGAGGCAGCTTCACTTTTTACTCTCTTCGCTTTTATTCTCTCAGATCCCTCTCACCCCTTTTAATTTTGTGCTGTTTATTTAAAAGCGTTGCTAAAGCGCATCATGATGCTTAAAAGCCAGCAAACTCTTAAGTGGTCTAGAGTAGGCATCCCTAAACTTAGCCCTCCAGATGTTTTGCGACTATAATTCCCATCATCCCTGACCACTGGTCCTATTAGCTAGGGATGATGGGAGTTGTAGTCCCAAAACATCTGGAGGGCCAAGTTTGGGGATGCCTGGTCATAAAAGGTTTTGCCCCGTACTAGTCCAAACTTGCCCCAGCCTCTCTGGGCAGCTTCCAGCATACAGTGGTACCTCAGGTTACATACGCTTCAGGTTACAGACTCCGCTAACCCAGAAATAGTACCTCAGGTTAAGAACTTTACCTCAGGATGAGAACAGAAATTGTGCTCCGGTGGCGCGGCAGCAGCAGGAGGCCCCATTAGCTAAAGTGGTGCTTCAGGTTAAGAACAGTTTCAGGTTAAGTATGGACCTCCGGAACTAATTAAGTACTTAACCTGAGGTACCACTGTATATAAAAACATTTCCCGAAGAATCCTGGGATCTGTAGTTTAAGGATGCTGGGAGTTTCTAGAAAACATATGTATTTCTTCATAGAGCTACAATCCCCAAAGGTCCTTAAGAAGAGGAATTTGACTGTTAAACCACTGAGAATTGTAGCTCTTTAAGGGTGTATGTGTGTATCTCCTAAAAACTCTTGGCACTCTTAACAAACTACGCTTCCCAAAATTCTTCAGGGGGAAGCCACAATTGTTAAAAGTGGTATAAGAATGTATGGTGCAGATTTGTCCTCGCTAAATGTTTGGGGGTGGAATGCAGAATGTTATGGAATCATGAATATCTTCTTCTTTGGCAATCACTCGTAGCCGAGTAAGATTGTCTTCCATAAACACGGTTTTAACAATGAGTCCGTAAGTGACTGTGGAGGCCAGTTCTGGATCCACACGTCCTTCCATAGTGGGGACATTGGTTTCCGGGCGGGAGTTGATCACGGTGTGAATTTGCCAAGCATGTCTTCCTCTTTGCACGTTTCTCCCTTGTGTCCTGAGTTCGAGTGTCTTCAAAGCCCATGACACCTTTGGTAAAGGCTGTTCTCCAACTGGAGTGCTCACAGGCCAGTGTTTCCCAGTTGTCAGTGTATATACATTTTTTAAAATTTGCCTTGAGACAGTCTTTAAACCTCTTTTGTTGACCACCAGCATTACGCTTTCCATTTTTAAGTTCGGAATAGAGTAGTTGCTTTGGAAGACGATCATCAGGCATCCGCACAACATGACCAGTCCAACGAAATATATCCTGAACGCAACATCATCTACTTACAGTACAACTTGTCACCGTTATGGGGAAAAGGCTGAGCGAGCGGGAAAGCTTTTGGTTAAATGAAACCAAACTGACCTCAATTCTGGTGCGGTGTACTTTATTTGATCTTAACATGGAAACCCACTGTGGTATACAGTGGTACCTCGGGTTAAGTACTTAATTCGTTCTGGAGGTCTGTTCTTAACCTGAAACTGTTCTTAACCTGAGGTACCACTTTAGCTAATGGGGCCTCCCGCTGCCACCGCAGCACGATTTCTGTTCTCATCCTGAAGCAAAGTTCTTAACCTGAGGTACTATTTCTGGGTTAGCGGAGTCTGTAACCTGAAGCGTATGTAACCCGAGGTACCACTGTACTTGCAAAGCAGAAGAATCAAGCATAGTTCATCTGTTTGGGCATGCCGGTTTCAGTGACCAATTCATGCTTCCAGTCCAGTAGATTATAAGATGGGGAAGCTTTGGCCCTCCAGATGTTGTGGGATCAAAATTTCCATCTGCCCAAACCAGCATGGCCAGTGGTCAGGGATGGTGTAAGCTGTGGTTCAGGGCTGAAGATTAGACACTTCTGAAGTAAAGCCTCAGAAAGTGTACAAATTCTCCCAATTTGCAATCAGATGCAGGCTTGTTTTTCCTTCAGGATCGCTGTTGCTGCTCCCTGTAGAGGCTGAGCAAAGCAGAGAGAAGCCACGTTAGCATACGGCTGGGCTGAAAAGAAGGAAAGCAAAGACCTGCCTGTATTTATTATTTAATATTATTGAATTTATATACCGCTGTATACCCGGAGGTCTCAGGGTGATTCACGTCTTTGTTCACTGCGAAGTGAAGTGGAACTATGACGGTGTTTTGTTTTTCAGTTGTGTAACAATTTGCTGCCACTCAGTACAATACCATATTTATTAAATTTATATCCCGCTCTTCCTCCCAATGGAGTCCACGGCGGCAATTTATATGAGGAGTAATACTGTTTAGATATATAGATTCTGTATCCTTTTGCCTTCCAGGGATGCGGTGCGGCAAGAGATTTATCTTTCCAAACATATGAGACTGACTAAGAACGCTAGAGGTTCATAGTCCTTCGCGTGCTGACCAAATCTGAACATATGTTGCAGGCACAGTCCAATGCATTTTTTTGAAAAAGGTGTCCCTATGGTTTTTCTTTCAATATTTGCATCTTTTGAGTTACTTTCCCCCTGGAAGCCCCAGCTGCCACGTTAGTGTGTGAATGATCCAAATTTATACTTTTGAGAACTTTCCAAAAGCAAACTGTGGTCATTCCTTCAAAAAATAAAAATAAATGAGGGGTATCTTTCTATTTTCAGTTACTAATGAATTGGATACAAAAAAAGAAAAAATATTATCAACAATAACAACAGGTCAGAGCACAGAGCCATCAGCAAAAAATGTTGCTGGAAGATGGAAGCCATTTTCTATAGATGGTGCTTATTCCATGAAATGATACCAGGAAAAACAACAACTCACAAACTTTTACATAAAGTACAGTTGTACCTTGGAAGTCGAACGGAATCTGTTCCGGAAGTCCGTTCAACTTCCAAAACGTTCGGAAACCAATGCGCGGCTTTTGATTGGCTACAGGAAGCTCCTGTAGCCAATCGGAAGCTGTGTACGCCACGTCACATGTTTGGGTTCCAAAGAATGTTCGCATACTCACTTCCAGGTTTGTGATGTTTGGGAGCCAAAACGTCCGAGTACCAAGGCGTTTGGGATCCAAGGTACAGCTGTATTGCAAACGTTCCACAAAAACAAAAAACAAAAGTAGGTTTCTAAAACCCTTACAATTGGGGGAGGGACGGACCTTTATTTATTATTATTTAATAAAACCTATATGCCACTTGATGGTAACAAAACATCTACGTGGTTCACTAGAAATGTTGAAATTATCAATTAAAAAGTTGAAAACAAGTAAAACATTTGAAATATAAAGGCAAAATTAAAACAGTTAAAAATATTATAATTGCCAGTGTAAGATTAAAACACATCTACATCTATGCCTCTGGAAAGGCATACCTGATTAACAAGTATGTTAAGCAGGTACCAAAAGAGTGCAGCAAAGGTCTGACATCAATAGTCTGAGAAGAATTTCAGTTAAGGAGTGATCCTATCATGACAAGAACTCCAACTCGGCCTGAGAGCAGGGTTCACCAGGAGTTCCTGGAGCCTTTGCGTTCTTCTGAAGATCCTTCGGAGCACTGGGGAGGGCTTCACAACCTAGTATACCATTAACAGTGTATGTAAACAGAACGAACCTTCAGCTATTTTGTAGTGTATGTTCATGTTACAATAGATACATCCACATTCAATAATAGCTGAAGGGATGGGACCACAGGTGATATAGATCGGCAGCCAGGATACACACAGAGACAAAAGATATACGTTGGACAAAGTGGCTTCCAAATCTTGAGAAGAAGAGCAAGACTTTTTTGGGTGTTAGAGATGACAATCTGTGGGGCGCAAGGCCTCGTGAAGAGGGTCACAAAACCTTGACTGGAGACACTGCCACTCAGCATGGTTTCAAAAACTCCTCGTCCGTTATGAGTCTCAGTTTAACACTGGGCAGGAAGTAGATCAATGTCACCGTCTCAAGGAATATATGTGAGACACTGACAACAATGTCCCACGAGTCAAGATCTGGTGCCCTATCCACACGGCATGGAAAAATGAGTCGGATGCTGCCACTGCGGTGAGCTGTGTTGTTCAGCGTCTCGGTTCAATTTAAGCCTCCTTCCATGTGTCTTGACATGTGCAGAGAAGTAGTGAAGTTGGCTGAAGCAAACAAATTTGCTTCCTATTGCTCCCAACCACCTTTGAGGTTCAATGAACAGAGAAGAGGAGTTTGGATTTGATATCCCGCTTTATCACTACCTGAAGGAGTCTCAAAGCGGCTAACTTTCTCCTTTCCCTTCCTCCCCCACAACAAACACTCTGTGTGGTGTGAGTGGTGCTGAGAGACTTCAAAGAAGTGTGTCAAGGTCACCCAGCAGCTGCATGTGGAGGAGCGGAGACGCGAACCCGGTTCACCAGATTACGAGTCCACCGCTCTTAACCACTACACCACACTGGCCCTCAGTGTGGTGTTGTGGTTAAGAGAACTCTTTCTTCTTCATAGATATAGTTCTTTGCTCCCGGCATGCACTCATTATGTACTTTGAATGCTCAAAGGACAGGGGAATCCTTTACTTAACCTTCTCACAGAGGAAAACTTGTGGAGTTTCTGACAGATGTCCTGTGTGCGTTTAGCAGATACCAGGATGAGCTTCAGTTGATACCACCACCACCCTAGACATGTTGAGGAGGACAGCGGAGGTCAGGAGCACCACAAATTTGCAATCTGGAGGCTCTAGAAGCGGAACTACGTCAACTTCTTCAAAAGAAAGCTCAGAATTGAGAGCTGAGTGTTGCCAAATCACATCTTGGTCGACGGCTTGCACCTCACAGATCTAGGTACATGGTATGAAAAAATACTGACTGTGTACTCCATGGTTTTGAGAGACAAGGTCAACTTCTGTGCCAGGTGACCAAATGACAAGAACACTGTTGCAATCCTCACCTGCATACTAATGAAAGTCTCCTAAAATTAAATCCGTACACAGCCACTGATATGGTTTCTCGCCACTGTGAGTTTTTTGATGGGTAGTTAGATTGGAGCTCTGGCTGAAACACTTTCCACATTCCAAGCACTGATAGGGTTTCTCCCCGCTGTGAGTTCTTTGATGGGAAGTGAGACTTTTCTTCCAGGTAAATCGCTTCCCACACTCCAAACACTGATAAGGTTTCTCCCCACTGTGAGTTCTTTGATGGTAAGTGAGGTAGGAGCTCTGGCTGAAGCTTTTTCCACATTCCAAGCAGTGGTATGGCTTCTCCCCGCTGTGAATTCTCTGATGGGCCGTGAGATTGGACCTATGACTGAAGCTCTTTCCACATTCCAAGCACTGATAGGGTTTCTCCCCTGTATGAATTCTCTGATGAGAAGTGAGAGGTGCGCTCTGACTGAAGCTCTTCCCACATTCCAAGCAACGATATGGCTTCTCCCCTGTGTGAATCCTTTGATGGGAAAGAAGACTTTCCTTCTGACTGAAGCTCTTTTCACACTCTTGGCACTGAAACGGCTTCTCCCCACGGTGACTACTTTGATGTCGGCGGAAGTTTGTGCTCGCATTAAAGCTCTTCCCACATTCCAAGCACTGATACGGTTTCTCCCCTGTATGAATTCTCTGATGGGAAGTGAGACTTTCCTTCCAGGTAAAGCTCTTTCCACACTCTTGGCACTGAAATGGTTTCTCCCCACGGTGAATACTTTGATGGCTATGGAATTTTGTGCTTGTATTAAAGCCCTTTCCACACTCTTGGCACTGAAAGGGTTTCTCCCCGCTGTGAATTCTCTGATGTCGACGGAAGTTTGTGCTTGTATTAAAGCTCTTCCCACATTCCAAGCACTGATACGGTTTCTCCCCTGTATGAATCCTTTGATGGAAAGTGAGACTTTCCTTCTGACTGAAGCTCTTTCCACATTCCAAGCACTGATACGGTTTCTCCCCTGTATGAATTCTCTGATGGGAAGTGAGACGGTCACTCCGACTGAAGCTCTTTCCACATTCCAAGCACAGATATGGTTTCTCACCACTGTGAGTTCTTTGGTGGGAAGTGAGGCGGTGACTTCGACTGAAGCTCTTTCCACATTCCAAGCACTGATACGGTTTCTCCCCTGTATGAATTCTCTGATGGGAAGTGAGACTTTCTTTCTGACTGAAGCTCTTCCCGCACTCTTGGCAATGGAACGGTTTCTCCCCACGGTGAACACTTTGATGTCGGCGGAAGTTTCTGCTTGTATTAAAGCTCTTTCCACATTCCAAGCACGGATAGGGTTTCTTCCCAATGGGATTTCTTTGATAGGAAGCGAAATGGGAGCTCTGACTGAAGCTCTCTCCACATCCCAAATATTTAGATGGCTTCTCCACTGTGTGGATTTTGTTGTGAACTACCTTGTTCTTCATTTCCAATTCATCCCCACCTGCAACAAATGGAGAAATGGATTAGAGCCTCAAGAAAATAATGTAGCCCCAAATTATTGAACACTGCTAATTAATGCTTGTGAAAGAGGAAGAACTGAAGGGAGTTAGATGTGAGATCTTCCTACAGGGTTCTCTGCCTTTGTTGACGGCCATTAGCTGACATATTTATGGGAACCTGAGATTTGAAAAACCTGGTTCTTTTTGAGGAGATTTCACCCCTCCCATATCCAAGAATCTGCTGATGTTCTCTGCTGATTCTCCAGAGAGGAGGGGGCGGTTTCTGCTCTCTACTTATTCCGCTCCAGCCTCACATCAAAGAGAGAGAGATCGTGTGTATAGATAAGGTTGCTGCTAAGAGCAGCTGCAGACACTCAGTGCAGTTCAGCATTTTTTGTTTAGACCTCATTTAGCTCTGTATATAGTTGTGTATTATAGTTGTAGATAGAATAAAGAAGATATTCTATAGAGCTGCTCTCCGAGTAGTTTATACTCTGCTATACTCTGCTGTGCAACGACTGTCTTCTTGTGGAAGTGAATCCGGTGCTCACAACTCTAAGCTGTGAGTCCACAGCACTTTGACCTGTTCCTGTGCAGAAGGTGGTCTCTGGAAGTGCTACCCAGCTCGCCTAGCCCAGTCGGGGCTGAAGTGGATGAGTCCAGTTGATGACACTGGCTCAAGGGCGATGCTGACACTTTTCTGGGATGGATTTTGTTCGGCCCCATCGTGGAATCTGCTCCATCTTCAATGTCAGTAGTTTCTTCGGTCAACCGAAAACCGACAGAAGCAAAAACAAAAAACTTGATAGACGTTTCTTCAACTCTGAAGGCCTGGGTGGGCTGGTTCAGAGCAGACTGTTTAAAAAGGCATAACCAGAGGAAGAATATTCACAGACGAAACAATAAATAGCCTTCCATTCAAGGTTAGCTGTGGGGGTGTTAGTGTCCCAAATGATTTGGGTGGCACTGTTGAGCTACGTCAAAATCTTGGCACTTTATGACATAGAAATACGTATTGAATTTCAAAACAGATTCTACGATCCAACAGGGAGCCTTACCAAGAGAGTCCATGATCCTACAGTTCTCCTCCATGACTTTGTTATGCAGAGCTCTCTGGTCAGGATCCAGCAATGCCCACTCCTCGTCTGTGAAATAAACAGCTACATCTTCAAAGCGCACTGGACCCTAAAAGAAAAAGGGAAATGTCCTCCTCTTTGACAGCATAAAGATTATCTGCTACATATTTCTCTGTCATTTTCTGCCTGATAATTGCTACGTTGCTTTGATGATATTGTTTTGCTGCACATTTTAAATTCTGGATGTTTATTTTAACGTTTTAATGGAATTCTTTTATTGTGTATTTTAATGATGCTTATTAATCTTTGTGTAAATGGGTGGAACGCCACATTGTGTTCCTCAATCATACTGTCTGTGCAAGCTTTCCAGGTGTAAGGATCTCCTCTCTACTCTCCCCTTGTGCTGTTCTGTGGGGAGTAACCTCCCAATGTCCTAAAGCCGAAACCATATAACACCGGTCCTGAAAAACCTACATTTGCTCCCAGTATGTTTCCGAGCACAATTCAGTGTTGGTGCTGACCTTTAAAGCCCTAAACGACCTCAGCCCAGTATACCTGAAGGAGGGTCTCCACCACCATTGTTCAGCCCGGACACTGAGGTCCAGCTCCGAGGGCCTTCTGGTGGTTTCCTCACTGCGAGAAGTGAGGTTACAGGGAACTAGGCAGAGGGCCTTCTTGGTAGTGGCATCTGCCCTGTGGAATGCCCTCCCATCAGATGTCAAGGAAATAAACAACTATCTGACTTTTAGAAGACATCTGAAGGCAGTTCTGTTTAGGGAAGTTTTTAATGTTTGATGTTTTATTGTGTTTTTGATATTCTGTTGGGAGCCACCCGGAGTGGCTAGGGGAACCCAGCCAGATGGGTGGGGTATGTATGTATGTATGTATGTATAAATAAATAAATAAAATTCAAGGAGTGCCTGGGGGGAGGGGGGAAGCCCTGTTTTGCAACTGATGGGAGCTGGTTAGGTGAATCCTGGCCACTGTTTTTCATGGTTTGTAAAACTGCTTAGAAGCGTACTTTAGCATTAAACGATAAACATATAAATAAAAACTTCAACTATTGATAAATAATACTAGTGACAATTAGAAAGCTAGTTACGGTGAGGCGGCTGTTTTTTATTCTCAGTACATAAACCGCCATGAATGGCATTTTCAGCCATCGTTAAGGGAAGCTCTGACAGAAGCCCAGATGAGAGAGATTTGTTTGGGCCCAGTGGCGCGCTGGCTGCCCCAGTCCTCTGCTTCTTCCCCCACAATGCTCCTCCCCCCTACCTGATCTGGTTCCACAGCCGCTGCTTCCCCTCTGCCACGATGAAAAGATGGATGAGTAGGTCTTGCCAGCATCATTCTGTCACCTGTGAAAAACAAGGGCAGGTGGGCAGCCTTTAGTGCATGCTTCTCAAAGGTTAAGCGGTGCATCTCTTAACTACAGTAGTATTTCGGGTTACAGACGCTTCAGGTTACAGACTCCGCTAACCCAGAAATAGTACCTCAAGTTAAGAACTTTGCTTCAGGATGAGAACAGAAATCGCGCAGCGGCGGGACAGTGGCAGTGGGAGGCCCCATTATCTAAAGTGGTACCTCAGGTTAAGAACAGTTTCAGGTTAAGAACAGATCTCCAGAACAAATTAAGTTCTTAACCCGAGGTACCACTGTACAAATGGGCCTTAGAAAAAGTCTCACCTGCTGAGGGCGTTTTGACATTTGTACCCATTTCATATTTTAGTTGTGTAAAAATACATCCCCTCTCCTTGGGGCCTGTGGCTTCAAGTGTCTTCCCCCAAAAGATTAAAGGAACCCATGGATTAGTTTCAAAATCAACAGAATGTGACCAAACTGAGAGAAAATCATTCACCCTTACCCAGTGGCCTCTGTCTGGTGTCCAATGTCTCTGCCTCAGAGTAATCCATGCACAATTCTACAAACAGATTCGCTCCCTGAATTAGCAACGAGGATTGCAAACAAAGAAAGGGGAGAATGATTAGAAAAGGAACAGCAGAGGCAAGGTATATCCAATTATCATTCCTTGGATGCTTTCCAAAAAAGGACAGGCGATCAGTAGAGACTCATGGGGTACCTTTCCTCATGTTCTGAGCCCATCAAGATGAAAGTCTCTCTCAGATAAACTAACAAGAAGAATTTGAAACCGGCAGGACCAGAGATTCACAGAAGATTGGCGTAAATTTACGGACTATTTGAAAAGCAGTTGTGATGATCAAATTACATTTGTAGGTTTACAGGAAGTTTTGTAAGGTTAATAATTGGAATTATTGCTTTATTGAATCAAAAGGATGATGTTAGTTATGATAATTAAGGCAATATGAATTTAAGAAATGCAGAACAAATTATAAAAATGGAAGATCATCAGAGGTGCTGATGGAAGTCCAAAAAGATTGTATAAGTGATGAAACTTTGTGGAATGCATGATAATATGTTTGAAAATTAATAAAAATTATATATATAAGATGAAAGTCTCTCTCACCTCCTGTGCGGCCTGCTTTCTCTCCACTGCCTGACTCAGGAGGAAACCTTCGGCCAGGGCCACTGCCTGGGAACTGGTCTCCACTCCACATTCCCTCACCCAGCTCTCCATCTCCAGTGGAAGGACAGCCAAGAACTGCTCCAAGATCACCAGGTCCAGCATCTGAGCTTTCGTATGCCTTTCTGGCTTCAGCCACTGACGACAAAGGTGGTAGAGTCGGCTGCAAACCTCTCGGGGTCCTTTGGCCTCCTGGTAGCAGAACTGCCTGAACTGCTGGCTCTGCACATCTGAGCTGAGGGTGTCCTCCTCTCCCAGGATCTTCTGCACTGAGTTTTCCCAGAATCCTCCGATGCTCCCGGTTTGGATGGTATTGCCTCTTCCTGCTTGAGGGCCAGGCGAGTCTTGCTCATCCATCTGTGCTCTCAGGAAGTCTCCAGGAGATCTGAAGGAATCCTTTTGTCTTCTGCCACGTCCTGCTTTTCCCAATTAACAGTGCCAGCAAGTTCTACAAAGCAATTACATTATCATAAAATTAATACACTGTCAGGAGAAGGAAAATGTTCCCTGAGCAAGTGTGGATAAGTCCTGCTAGGAACCAGACCTGGGTTGCACCATAGCCCAGACTCTGAGCTTTCTTTAGAAAGAAAGAAAGAAAGAAAGAAAGAAAGACCGCTACAATGCAAAATGTACAGGCAACTCAAGCGATTTCTATGAGATGAATCACTTCATTTTATTTCATTTGTTAGACTTATTACCGTATTTTTTGCCCTATAGGACGCACTTTTTCCCCTCCAAAAATGAAGGGGAAATGTGTGTGCGTCCTATGGGGCGAATTCAGGCTTTCGCTGAAGCCTGGAGATAGCCTTCAGGAAGCTATCCGCAAGCCTGGGGAGCCCGCGGGAGTTCTCGCCGGGCTCCCACGGCTTGCGGAGAGCTGCCTGAACCCCGAAGCCTGGGCGCGCTGAGCAGTCGCGCCCGGGCTACGGGTAGCTCTGCGCAAGCCGTGGGAGGGCTCCCATGGCTTGCGTAGAGCAGCCTGTTCTGGGGGCTGGGGATGAAATAATAACCCCGCGCCTGGGGGTGAAATAATTTTTTTTTTCTTTAGTTCCCCCCCAAAAAACTAGGTGTGCCCTATGGGCCGGTGCGCCCTATGGGGCAAAAAATACGGTAGCTGCTTGTCACCCAAAGGTCTCCAAGTGACTTACAGCATACACAAAAAACAAACATAAACATACAATACATATTACCATGGCGGGGGAGTGGGGGAACCATATAATATATTAGTATTTCATATAACATAACACCAATGCAAAAATCATACTCAAATAACAAATAAGCAATACTCAGACCCCCTAATTAACAAATAGACAAAAATAAACAGAACTTCAGCCTCCCCGTAGTATAAAAATCATTCACATCAGACCAACTATTTTCCCCCTTTAACTTCCCCACTCCACCCAGAAGTCTGGTGTTGCAAATCAGTGGTGTGTGTGTGTGTGGTGTCCAGTTTTCTCCAGGGTTGCTCCTGCCTTTCAGTGTTTTCAGTCAATGAATGAAGTCAGAACTGTGACTGACAAGTGAGTGAATTGTACAGTGGACGCTTGGGTTGCGAATGTGATCCATGCGGGAGGCATGTTTGCAACCTGCAGCGCAGCGTCTGCGCATGCACAGGTCGTGATTCAGCGCTTCTGCGCATGTGCAAAACACGATTTAGCGCTTCTGTGCATGCGTGAACGCCGAAACCCAGAAGTATCCTGTTCTGGTACTTCCGGGTTCGGCACAGTGTGCAACCTGAAAACATGCAACCTGAAGCGTCGGTAATCTGAGGTATGACTGTACCTAGTTCAGTTTGGACACCAGGCTATAATGTGGATCCTAACCTCAGGGTCCTAAAAAGTTTCTCTCTCTCTTCCACCCCCACTTCAGCTGCACATTTCCCCCCTGCTTCCGTCTCATTTTCTAGCACTTGGACAAGTAAAGAAGTACTGTAATTATGATTGTAGGACTGTGCTTGGAAAACAGTTTTTTAAAAAAACTGTTTTTAATACTGTGTTCTAATGTCGTAATCTGCCCAGGGAATTTCGGGTGAAGAGCGGGTTAGCGTTAGAGTTAGGGGGTTAATAATAACAATGTTATATAGCTTAACCCAACCATAAAGGTAAAGGACCCCTTGATGGTTAAGTCCATCAAAGGCGACTATGGGGTTGTGACGCTCATCTCGCTTTCAGGCCGGCTAGTTTGCCAGCCACAGTCAGAAGATGATATGGTCATGGTACCCCATGCTGTGGGTCAGAATTGGATTACTGCAATGCACTCTCTGTGCAACTGCCCTTGAAGGCGACTCAGAAACTGGTCCAAAATCCCCTTTTTCCCCTGACACACGAGACATGTGTTTTCAGGACCTGCCCTGTTCCTGTGGCTATAATTTCCTGACACTTTTCAATATTGAATATTTATTAATGGTTGTAACCTGCCATGGATAATAAATGTAGCAGTAGCAATAATAGTAATAACCATAACAAACAGAACAACAATGAATAAATCCTCAAGGTTGGGGGGGGGGCAAAATAAAGCCTCAACAAAGGGGGGAGGGGGGACTTGTTGGAATTTGTAGGGTTTTTTTCTCCCTTGAGGTTTTTGCATAACTAAACACAGACATTACAAGCATCCTGATAGTAAAATTAAGCCTCAAACACACGTACACAACCAGCGTTTTGCTCCATCTGGTCGATCTAAATAAAAATTACATTCACTTTGACATCCCCCACCCCATATTCATCAAAAGACCAACACTTCGTATTGTTTCATTGGTAACATGAGAGGAAAAATCAGTATTACACATAATTAACCTGAGTCTCTAGATATAGCATTTGGCTATGTAATGCTGAGTGTTAACTGTTAACTCTGCACTATCCTGTTCCCTCCTTTGTTTTCGGCTTTGTTTAAACCAATTCACGAACCAAGAACTTGTACACGGACCACTGAAAACGAACCACATGTTGTAGATTTTCCGCAAATGTATTGTGCTGTTTTGTGTGTGATATGCAAACGACATGAGAAGGCTTGATCTCTCTCTCTCTTTGTATCATTTATTATTCCTGTGATCCTTGTTAATAAATGTGACTTCTTCATTTGTTCATTCATCGGTTTATTTGCATTGCATTTTCTTTTTTCCTGACCCCAATATCCCTCCCCAAGCTGCGAATTGATACAAATACAGAAGAATAGTTGCAAACCTAAATGTAAAACTCCCCCCACGCCTGGCTTTGCAGAGGGGAAGCGGAGAGGAACCTCTGCTCCCGGATTTGGGGGTTGTGTCTTGGAGGGGGCTTCCCCCATGCATTAGCTGACGGGGGGGCCATGCACGCTCCCCCTGCAGCCCTGGGACCCCCCACTTCTCCCAAATGCAGACTACTGGAGAAGAGAGGGAAGACTCACCAGATCCCTTAAGCCGCCGCCGCCGCAGCACTTAGACAGGAGAGACAACAAAAGCCGTGCTCCCCCCCCCCGCCTTGCAGGAAGGGACTTTGGAGGGAGGGGCTTTTGCTCTGGAGGACTTCGAAGCACCCCTCTCCCCGATTTCCTGTCCTCTCTAGGAATCCCGAGCACTTCATTTTTAACCCTGGGAAAGCCGAGCGCAGCAAGATCACGCCTCCCTCTCAACGCGCATTGCGCGCGCACGCAAAGATGTTTTATTTTAGGGGACCGTTTTGTCTGGCGTCCTGAGTTGTTCACTCCTTTGGCCAGAAACGGGAAGAACAGCTTGCGTTGAAAAAGACTGCGAGAAATAGGAAACCCCATTATAGAAGCATGCCAACAAAGGTCCGTATAGTTAAAGCTATGGTTTCCCCAGGAGTGATGTATGGAAGTGAGAGCTGGACCATAAAGAAGGCTGATCACCGAAGAATTGATGCTTTTGAATTATGGTGCTGGAGGAGACTCTTGAGAGTCCCATGGACTTCAAGAAGATCAGAGCTATCCATTCTGAAGGAAATCAGCCCTGAGTGCTCACTGGAAGGACAGATCCTGAAGATGAGGCTCCAATACTTTGGCCACCTCATGAGAAGAGAAGACTCCCTGGAAAAGACCCTGATGTTGGGAAAGATGGAGGGCACAAGGAGAAGGGGATGAGAGAGGACAAGATGGTTGGACAGTGTTCTCGAAGCTACCAGCATGAGTCTGACCAAACTGCGGAAGGCAGTGGAAGACAGGAGTGCCTGGCGTGCTCTGGTCCAGGGGGTCACGAAGAGTCGGACACGACTAAACGACATTGGTTCGTGTCCTACTGTCCGGAGCGGGAGAAAACAAATTTGTTCCTCCATGCAAAGAGTCCTTTAGATACTGGAAGATGGCTATCATATCTCCCATTCAGCCAGCTCTCAGAGTGTGTGAAGATGGGAGAGGCTACACCCTTCCATTAAACATTTTGATTTTTAATTGTATTTTATTTCCTTCTCTTATTCCTTGCAATTCTTTGTATTGCAGCTTTAATTCTGTGGAATGTGATAAAATGCAATATGTAAGCTATAAAAGAAGCAATAAAAATACAATTAAAGTTCACGCACAGAACAGAACACTGCAAAGGCTACAACAAGCTGGGGGGTGGAGGAAACTATTAAGTGGTCTGCTAAAGCCCTCAGCAATTTCCAAGTGGCTATGGAGTGCGAGGGGGAGGGAAGAGTTTGAGAATCCCTGTTGTAAGCTACTTCGAGGACCTTGGCTGAAAAGTGGCATGTGAATCTTCTATCATTGCACCTCTGCCCAGTTGTGGGTCAGAGCAGCCCAGGATCCGTGTGAATAAAATGGCCATCTTCTGTAGCCTTTGCTAGCCTTTAAAGGGGTAGAAGCAGACACAAACAAGGCTCCAGAGTGGGAGCAGAAGCTGCTCTCCGATACGATACGATACGATAATCTTTATTGTCATTGTCCCATACAGAACACCAAAATCTACACCAGACATTCAAAAACCAACAAGCCTGCTATCCCAGCTATCCCAGCCTGGTTAACCCCCTGCTAAGCAGTAATAATAATAATAATAATAATATTTATACCCCGCCAATCTGACTAGGTTTCCCCAGCCACTCTGGGCAGCTCCCAACAGAGTATTAAAAACATCAAACATTAAAAACTTCCCTAAACAGGGCTGCCTTCAGATGTCTTCTGAAAGTCAGATAGTTGTTTATTTCCTTGACATCTGGTGGGAGGCCGTTCGACAAGGCAGGCGCCACTACCGAGAAGGCCCTCTGCCTGATTCCCTGTAACCTCGCTTCTCACAGTGAGAGAACTGCCAGAAGGACCTGAGAGCTGGACCTCAGTGTCTGGTCTGGATGATGGGGGTGGAGATGCTCCTTCAGTTCTGGGTCTGATCAGTGCCTGATGGATGACTGTCTGGAAACCATGGTCCCTTGCTGATAAGAACACAGGAAGAGCCCAACAGGAGGAAGGAAAATGCTCACTCACAGCAAAATAACATGTCTCTCCCTGGCGAAAAGTCTTTACAGCTGTAAGCCCTTCCATCTTATGCCTAGGTTGTACCTTTGTGCAAATAAAGCTATACATAGCATAAAATACAACCAGAGTCTCCAGCGACCTTTATTCCAGGTACCCGTTTAAGGTTCTGTGCCTTTAGTGGCATTCACAGCATGGAACCTGGGCGCTTTAGGCAGCACCTGCGTCCATCTGGCCCTCCCCACATATTCCTGTCACCATCTGGGGCCCCGCTGCAAATTCCTCAACACTTTTTTTTTTTGTTAGAGCGTTTATTAATTTTCCAATAAAAGACATCCAATTAACATATCAAATCATAATCCAATAAAAATAAAAAATTAAATTAAAAAGGTCAAATTATCTTCCGAATTGTAATTTTTGATTTTATGGCTTCCCATAGTCTGAACCTTGAAGCATGTCCAAATCTCAGTCTGCCTCTTGTTGGTATTTCCATATTTCCACATCTCGATTTTATTTTTCCAAACTTCTTTGTCTCTGGCTTTGCGATCCTCAATCATGTCAGAAAACAGATAACTTTTCGTCCGTCGAGTACAGATTTGTTTGTGTAATGTACCTTTTCAACTATTTTTTTATTAGTGCTGCTTCATCTGGCTCCATTCCAATCCAGGCTATTATCCAGCTCTCTGAAGTTTAATATCTTTGCAGCTCCCAAATCATTAAACTTTCCCGTCCAGCTGTTGTCGAAACCTTCCTTTTAAGATTTAGAAATACAGTATCTTCCACCTTATTGAATTGCTCTTTGTAGTTATTAGGCAAACTGTTTGCTGTATTGCAATATATCAGTCATTTGGCGATCCATCAGCCTTCCTGGAAACCACCCAGTCCCCCCTCCGGGCCCTAGAGGGGGGCTGCTAGACATCCATTTAGCCTTTTCTCTCGCTCATAATGGAAGAAATCTTTTGCAAACAACTGCACTGTATATTGTCCAAAATATTGTCTCAAACCATTGCAGTCAACCAGCAATAAATTCCTGTTTCTCTTAATAAGGGGAGGATTTCAAATTTTCTGGAACTGCGTAGTATGGGAGCGCCATTTTATCTTTTGTTCTCCTGTCTTTAACAAGCATTCCAAGTCTTAAAAAAAAAAAGTTGCGCATGAGTCCCAATTGTAAATAAAAGTCCATCTGCATTCATTGTTTTAAAAAAGCAATTTAAGTTCTTAATGAGGTTTGGCATGAGGAACCAATTGTTGATATTAAGGAAGAAGAAGAAGAAGAAGAAACATACCAAAGACCTCCGCAATCCACACACCATGATAAGAATCTCTTTGAAGTCCGAGCTCATACACCAGAGACTGTACATTCTGCAGGGTTTTTCCCCCCAGCTGCTTCGGTTCAAACCATGCCTGTTTGTTTTTCAAATCTATTTCTTGTCCCAAACAGATGCTCCCGGCTATGGGAGTGACATCGGAGAGTGCCCGCCGTGACCGTGCTCTTTGACCCAGTGTCCTGCCAGCTGCACCTTAATGCACACCGGCAATCTTGGACAATCCGCAGGTCTTTGAGACAGTCCTCCCCGTGGGGAGGCTGCCAGGGCTAATTACTCCCACATCAGCCCTGAAATATCGGCACGGCTGGGGTCCGGTCTTGTGGGAGTCAGCCATTTCCCACCGCCGGAAACAGGAAGCCGCAAACTCCTCAACACTTTTAAAGGATCGTGTCTGTTTTATTCTGCATTTATTATGGTTTGTAAATAAGTCTCCTTGGAAAAATAAGCAGAGTAGAAACTGTTAAAATAAATAACAATAAATAAAAGAAATATACTCTAATTTCTGAGGGCTGCATTCAAGTAAATAGTTGTGCTAGGCGTAGTCACTGCAAGGAGTCCTGCTACCACAACTGGCCTTTCTCAGAGCAGCAATGGAGGATCAGGAGAGGTCAGCTATTTCCTTCAGGCAATGAGAGGAGTGAGCCAGCAGGAAAGAACACTGAGCAAGCTGGAGTTAACTCTTTATCAGCCGCAGTTAGCTCTTTATCTGCACAGGAGTGACAGGTGTAATGTGCACAGCAACTCCCACTTGCTGGATCATCATGGACCACTTATAAACGACATCTCCAACTCTTCGAAAGATTCCATCAACGGTGTCTCCGAAAATTTTTACACATCCCTTGGGAAGACAGGTGAACTAATATCAGTGTATTGGAAGAAGCAAAGATCACCAGTGTCGAAACAATGATTCTTCAACATCCACTTTGTTGGACTGGTCATGTTGTGCGGATGCCTGATGATCGTCTTCCAAAGCAACTACTCTATTCCGAATTTAAAAATGGAAAGCGTGATACTGGTGGTCAACAAAAGAGGTTTAAAGACTGTCTCAAGGCAAATCTAAAAAAATGTAGTATAAACACTGACAACTGGGAAACACTGGCCTGTGAGCGCTCCAGTTGGAGAACAGGCTTTACCAAAGGTACCATGGGCTTTGAAGACACTCGAACTCAGGACGCAAGGGAGAAACGTGCTAGGAGGAAGGCACGCTTGGCAAATCCACACCGTGATCAACTCCCACCCGGAAACCAATGTCCCCACTAAGGAAGGACATGTGGATCCAGAACTGGCCTCTACAGTCACTTACGGACTCATTGTTAAACCCGTGTTTATGGAAGACAATCTTACTTGGCTACAAGTGATTGCCAAAGAAGAAGAAGAAAGCGCAGCAACTCTTCTCCAGCAGGTCTTGCCCCAGTAAGGCAGTTGTGGAGACCTCCCTACAATTGCCCAAGCCAACTCAAGCAATCTGAGACTGTGCCTGCACGAAGCTAACTTCCCCTCTGCTCTCTTCATGCCTCTCCTGGTTCTGGGAAACCAGTGGGGAGCAGGAAGGGGAGACACCCATGCTTCTTCACCAGCTGAACTCCGCTCTGCCTCCCTCCTCTCCTGCTTCAGCTTCTGCCTCTTTCTGGATTGCTCTCTGCTACAGACTCCTCCCTGCTCACTAAGCCCTGTTTCCCTCTTCAGCTTCTGACACCTCCCCACAGTCTTCTCCCTCTGACCACTCATCATCGTCTCACCCCTAATCCCCAGGCTCTGAGCCTCCTTCCCAAGCTGAGACCTGCAACTATTACCTCACAGCCAACCAGTCTGTGACATCCAAGGAGAAATACTAGGATTGCTGTAGCAATCTCCTTAGCGGCATGTTTATTTCCACCCTGAAATCAGACCTTGCAAAATGGGTCTGGTGAAAACATAGGTGCATTAGTTAAATAAAACCCAATAATGTTAACATGATTCTGCTTGGATTCAGATAGGAATAAAGTGGGAATGTCTATATTTAAAAGAAAAGGGCTCCGACCATCCCATTGTCATTAGAGACCAGTTTCCTTTCTGATTCACGTGAAGGAATGGATGCTGCAGGCATGTATATTGATTTTATTAATGCCGTGCTATGAAAAATGTACTAATATTAGAAACCATCTTTACATCACACCATCAGATGCTCCTTTTTATTCAGATCTGGCCTCAGGACGATAATGTAGCACTTGGGGATGAAGATGCAACCCAGTAACCCCGAACTGGAGGCCAAGATAGAGAAGACCTGCACGGCTACCATATATTTCCCCTTGGTGCTCAGGTAGGCTGGCACAAAGGACACCCAAACACTGCAAAACACCAGCATGCTGAAGGTGATCAGCTGGGCTTCGTTGAAGGCCCCAGGCAGCTTCCTGGCTAGGAAAGCCACCGTGAAGCAGACGGCCGCCAGAAAGCCCATGTAGCCAAGGGCAGAAGAAAACATGGCAACAGAGCCTTCGTTACATTGCAGAATGATCTGCCCAGGCTGGGAGTGCATGTCGGAGTCTGGGAAGGGGGGAGACATTCCCAGCCAGACCATGCAGATGCCCCCTTGGACACTGGAAAAAGACAAGACCAGGCAGTTGGCCAAGCTCTTGCCCAGCCATTTCCTCATCTGGCTCCCTGGCTTTGTGGCCATAAACGCCACCACCACAGTGATGGTCTTTGCCAACAGGGAAGACACGGCCACGGAGAAGATGATGCTGAAGGCAGTTTGTCGGAGAAGGCAGGTCCACTTCTGGGGTCGACCGATGAATAAGAAGGAGGACAAGAAGGAGAGCAGGAGGGAGACAAGGAGCAGGTAGGTGAGGTCCCGGTTGTTGGCCTTGACTATTGGGGTGTCAAAGTATTTAATGAAGATTCCCAAAAGAAAACCAGCGGTGAGGGACAAAAGCAGGGCAAAAGAAGCTAGGATGATCCCCAGAGGTTCTTCATAGGACAAATAATGTATAGTCTTGGGGATACACTGATCTCTGTGTAGATTGGAATTCTGATCATCTGGACATTTGTTGCAATGCTTTGCATCTGAAAAACACAAGAGTGACTTCAGTGTTGCAAATATAAATATTATTGCCATGATATTCCATAGTCTACTACATAAAGGTAAAGGGTAAAGGGACCCAGTAGTGGCAGACTCTGGGGTTGCATGCTCATCTCGCTTTACTGGCCGAGGGACCCATAGCGCCACCCGTATTATTCTGTGATTCTTATCTGATTACTGTATTTTGGGTTGTAGGTTTGCCATGAAGCAATTTTGGGCTAAAGTCTGGGGTCAGAATAAAAGTATTAAGGGCCAGCATAATCCATTGAACTCCTTTAATAGGGGAAGACCTCCCTCCATAGGTACCAATGCCTGGAATTTGAATGAGATTTTGAACTCTGAAAAAGTGACTCACTCTTTTCAATATCCTTTCCTTTTAGGGTAATTTACCTTCCTGAATTGAGACTGTCCTTTCCATACATTGAACACAATCATAGCAGCAGACTGGCTGTCCTTCCTTAATCGCCTTGGCATATCCTGGATGACAGCTTTTGGTACACCTTGACAGAGGCATGTTCTAACCAAAATGAGACAAAAGGGGGAAGGGGGAGAAGACCAGGTAACTACCAACCAGTGAGCTTGACATAGATACACGGAAAGGTCCTGGAGCAGGTAATGAAACCGTCTGTCTCTGAGCACTTAGAAAAGGATGCTGTGATTACTAAGACCCAGAATGGGTTTCTAAAAAACAAGTCATGCCAGATGAATCTCATTTCTTTTTTCGATAGAGTTACAAGCTTGGTGGATTAGGGGAATGCTGTGGACATAGTCTATCTTGATTTCAATAAAGCTTTTGACATATCCTCCATTATATTTTTGAAGACATGCTGGTAAAATGTGGGCTGGATAAAGTAACTGTTAGGTGGATTTGTAGCTGGTTGACTGACTGAACCCAACAAGTGCTCATTAATGGTTCCTTGTCTTCCTGGACAAACGCAACAAGTGGGATGCTATAGGGTTCTGTTCTGGGCTCATTGTTGTTCAACAAGTGTAGCGTTCTACACTTGGGCAGTAATAAGCAGCTGCACAAATATAAGATGGAGGACACCTGGCTTACCAGTATTATGTGTGAAAAGGATCTAGGGGTCTTAGTAGACTACATGCTTAATATGAGTCTACACTGTGATGCTGCAACAAAAAAAAAGCTAATGTGATTCTAGGCTTCATCAAGAGAAGTATAGTGTTTAGAGCTAGGGAAGGAATAGAACCAGTGCTTTTTTTCTAGAAAAATATGTGCCTGTACTCACCCTTAAGTTGTTAAAGTAAGTACCACACTTTTTAACCAGAGAGAGGGGGGGGGGAATATATATATATATATATATATATATATATATATATATATATGCCGGTACTGCGTACCCTTGAGTACCCCCTGAGAAAACAAGCGCTGAAAAGGACCACTCTATTCTGCCTTGCTCGGACTACAGCTGGAGTACTGTGTCCAGTTCTGGGTACCACAATTTAATAAGGATGTTCACCAATTGGAATGTATGCAACCAAGATGATCAAGGGCCCGGAAACCAAGAGTTGTGAGTAACGATTGAAGGAGTTGGGTATGCTTAGCCAGGAAAAGAGGAGAAAGAGAGGAGATATGAGAGCCATCCTCAGCTATGGAGAAAGGAGAAAGAGAGGAGATATGAGAGCCATCCTCAGCTATCTCAAGGGCTGTCACACGGATAATAATAATAATAATAATAATTTATTATTTATACCCTGCCCATCTGGCTGGGTTTCCCCAGACACTCTGGGCGACTTCCAACAAAATATTAAAATACAGTGGTCTGCTAAACGTTAAAAGCTTCCCTAAACAGGGCTGCCTTCAGTTGTCTTCTAAAAGTCTGGTAGTTGTTCTTCTCTTTGATTATTTTCTCCTGCTCCAGAGGGTAGGGCTTGAACCAATGGATTCATGTCACAAGAAAGCAGATTGCGACCAAACTTCATTAAGGACTTTCTGATGATAAGAGCTGCTGGACAGACTCCCATTAGAGGTTGTGGACTCTCCTTCCTTGAAGGTTTTCAAGCAGAGATTGAAAGGCCATCTGTCATGGATGGTTTAGCTGCGATTCCCACAGTGGGTTGGGCTAAATAACCCTTGAGGTCCCTTCCAACCTTACAATTCTATGATTATACGATTCTAAAGCATCAAGCAAAATACATTAAGGTTTGTGGATATGAGTCATATAGGGGAATTAGGATTGCAGCATATGCTATGGAAGTGTGAATTTGCTCCTGACTTGCCAGGACCATAGGACTGCCTGGTCTGAGCTAAAAAAGAGAGTAAGGTGAAACTGATTATTTCCCCTACCTGTTTGAACCATCTGGGCCACACAATGGCATTCTGGTCAATGGCAAACTTGATTTTCTCTGGAGATGCTGATCTCTCTACACTCCCAACTTTCAACCCAACAAGGGACTTATTGGGAAACGCCACCCAGTTGACAATGTCAAAGTCAGCTGCCAGTTCCCCATTCTCATCCCAATAAGCTCCGTCCATGGAAAAATTGTAAAGGTGGAGATTTCTTAGGAAAGAGTGGAGCTAAAATGGTACAGGAAAACACACACATGATTAGGAAACGAGGAACAAAGTTGCGTACGTGAGCCTTGCTCACTTGGAACTCCAGTTTCCAATGGTGCAGTCCCTCAAAGACTCAGATGTGGCAGCGGCTATTATTTGGAGGTGAAGTGTGTCTATTTCTGGTTCTTCTTTAGACTCATTAATGAAAGCAAGTTTGGTGTAATAATTATGGTGTTGGTATAGGATTAGGAAGACCAGGGTTCAAATTCCAGCTCTGCCATGAAGCTCACTGGCTGACCTCAGGTCAGTCACCACCTTGCAGTCAGGATACAATGGGGGGGGGGGAGAGCCATGTGCTCCTTTTTGGTCTCCTCAGAGGAAAAGTGTGACACAAATGTAGCCATAAATCAAATACAAACTTCATTTTGCATCCTGATTAGGCAGTTGGGAGCAATGTACGCATTGCTCCGCTCTGTTTTAAAAAGTGTGCTTCAGCCAGGAAATTTTATTTTGGAGTAAAAAGCAGCTGTGGGGTCTCGATCTGCAACATGTTCTCGATCCGGATGAGGGCCACTTTAGTTTCCCATCAAACACCATGCCCCCTCAGGTGTTATTTGCTCCAATAGTACAACTGCTGGCAGCTCTTTCATGGCCGCTAGCTAGATTTGACTCCACAGTTGGGGCCAGCAATGCCTTTTTACCTTTACAAGTTGTATATATGTAAAGGGGGGGGGGAGCTGCCCTCGACCACAGACCCCGCTCCCTTGCATGCAAGTACTAATCCAACAGGGGGATTACAAAATAAACAAAATCACCACATCTGCGGCTCAAAAAAAGCAAACCCCATTTCAAATTAAAAACAGCCCACTTTGCAAAATTCAGAATTAAGCAACCTCATAATAAATCTGTCATGGTGTTCCCTTGCGCCAGAAGCAGTTTAGTTTTGCTGGCCACATGACCCGGAAAGCTGTCTGTGGACAAACACCAGCTCCGTCGGCCTGAAAGTGAGATGAGCACCGCAACCCCATGGTCGCCTTTGACTGGACGTAACCGTCCAGGGGTCCTTTAGCTTTTTACCTTTACAAGTTGTATACAGTGGTACCTCTGGTTACGTACTTAATTTGTTCTGGAGGTCCATTCTTAACCTGAAACTGTTCTTAACTTGAAGCACCACTTTAGCTAATGGGGCCTCCCACTGCTGCTGTCCGATTTCTGTTCTCAACCTGAAGCAAAGTTCTTAACCTGAGGTATTATTTCTGGGTTAGCGGAGTCTGTAACCTGAAGCATATGTAACCCGAGGTACCACTGTATATGTAAAGGGGGGGGCGGGAAGCTGCCCTCGACAACAGACCTCAGAAGTGAGTTCGAAACATCACTTCCGTGCCCACCCTGGATATTTCCCCAACCGGAATTTAATTGCAGTGGTACCTCGGGTTACAGATGCTTCAGGTTACAGACACTTCAGGTTACAGTCTCCGCTAACCCAGAAATAGTACCTTGGGTTAAGAACTTTGCTTCAGGATGAGAACAGAAATCGCATGGCGGCAGCACGGCGGCAGCGGGAGGCCCCATTAGCTAAAGTTAAGGTTAAGAACAGTTTCAGGTTAAGAACAGACCTCCAGAACAAATTAAGTTCTTAACCCGAGGTACCACTGTACTGACTTTACGTTCAAGAATGAGTAGCTGTGAGAGAAAAGGATCATACCTGCCACGGTTGTGGTCTTTGAAGGTTCATCTTGCCCCTTCCCACCGTTGCCTTCTGGCTTGACTTGGATGAGTATACAGCACTCAGGACACTTGCCAAGGTTTGGATAGTGTTGTAAATACTGTAGCTGTCTTGAGACAGGATTCTCTCGATTAGGTCTTGTGGCAGGGTCCCCAGTTCACCTCTCTTTCTACATCTTCTCCGAACTCGCTCAGAATTCTTTGACATGGAACATCTAAATTCCATACTCGCAAACTGATGGATTTCAAGGTTGTGTGGGTCAAATGTTTCATATTTTGCCCTCTTTTTCGTCTGGACTAAGAAGGACAAGGTTGCAGGGACACGCTGGGGATCATATTGAGATGCTTCACTCATACTGAGATCCTGCAAAGCTGTCATGACCCAAACTTTCCCCATTGTTTTCAGTTTCTTTTCAATGTTTATACCAAATGCCATTAGAATTAAAGTAGATTGAAGCTCTGCGTGGTAGACAACTACATTGATTTGTTGCTGCATGAAAAATAAAACCAGGTGCTTTGCATTATAGTAAGTCACAGTTTCTGCGATGCTTTCTGAGAAGGCCACACAAATATCATTCTTTGTGACCGCAGCTGTGAAGGTCCTCATGAACCTTTCTCCATTGTCATTGCCTGAAGCAATGAGACCGATCCACGTCCATTTGAAATGCAGGAGCAATTTGACCATAGCCAGGTGAGGAGGTTCCTGTTTTGGGACCATCCGGTAGAGGAAAGCGAACTGAGTTTTATCAGCAGATTCACGACTAGCAAAACCATAGCTGACCTAGGAAAAGAAAGAAAGAGTTTGGTTTTTTCAATTGTATTCAGGACCAAGTGCAAATATGTATTAACCTAAACAGATTAATTACTAGGAAAATATTCGTCATTACGTTTGGTTGAGAGGCCAAATTTATTTATTTATTTTTAGTTAAAAGATTTATTACCTGCTTTTTGAGCAGATGTCCCACACAACAGTTCACTATGTCAGCTAAATGCACAAAGCGAAATACAGTGGTACCTCAGGTTACATACGCTTCAGGTTACAAACTCCGCTAACCCAGAAATAGTGCTTCAGGTTAAGAATTTGCTTCAGGATGAGAACAGAAATCGTGCTCCGGCGGTGCGGCGGCAGCAGGAGCCCCCATTAGCTAAAGTGGTGCTTCAGGTTGAGAACAGTTTCAGGTTAAGTACGGACCTCCGGAACGAATTAAGTTCTTAAGCCGAGGTACCACAGTACAGCATGGAACCATTTCAAAGATGCACTTAGAACAACAACAGTGACCCTGAACGCCACACAAAAAATAAAATAAAGTATCAATTATGAAAATTTGCCCAGGTTATGATCCCAATGTATACTACAACTGAAAGGCTGCAGTCACAAAATTAAAAGACGCCTGCTTCTTGGGAGAAAAGCAATGACAAACCTAGACAGCATCTTAAAAAGCAGAGACATCACCTTGCCAACAAAGGTCCGTATAGTAAAAGCCATGGTTTTCCCAGTAGTGATGTATGGAAGTGAGAGCTGGACCATAAAGAAGGCTGATCGCCGAAGAATTGATGCTTTTGAATTCTGGTGCTGGAGGAGACTCTTGAGAGTCCCGTGGACTGCAAGAAGATCAAACCTCTCCATTCTGAAGGAAATCAGCCCTGAGTGCTCACTGGAAGGACAGATCCTGAAGCTGAGGCTCCAAGACTTTGGCCACCTCATGAGAAGAGAAGACTCCCTGGAAAAGACCCTGATGTTGGGAAAGATGGAGGGCACAAGGAGAAGGGGACGACAGAGGATGAGATGGTTGACAGAGGATGAGAGTGCCTGGCGTGCTCTGGTCCATGGGGTCACGAAGAGTCGGACACGACTAAACGACTAAACAACAACAACAAATTTCTTCACGGCCTGCTTAAAGACTACGTGAGGCGTGGGTCCTCCTTCACCTTAGGAAATGCTGAATGCAGTAAATATATTCCTGTGGCACAATGGGTCAATGCATCTGGCTGTTAACACAGAGTTTTGGTGGTTCAAGTCTACCCAGGGATGGCTGTGGGCAGGATTCCTGCAATGTAGGGGGTTGGACTAGATGACCCTTGGGGTCCCTTCCAACTCTACAATTCTGTGATATCTATGAATCCTCAGAAAGGCCCTATTATGAGTTTCCACTAGCCAAATTGTATTCACCTGTGTAGGCTCCATTGGTTCCAACTCCTAGGGGCCCGGGGCCCTTTGGGGGCCTCCAATAAAATATTTGAGGGCCCCCCAAGTTGATGCATGCCCCACAAATGCCCCAAGTGTCTCTCCTTGCCGTCTGCTTGGAGCAGCCAAGAGGTTTCTGCCACTTGGCTCCACGGTTGGCAGCAACAGAGCTGCCATTTCCTCGAGGGGAAGGGAGGGCTGGGGCAAGGGGAGTTTCTGCTCTGCCTCTGTTGCTGCAAAAGGGAAGCGTAAGTGCAATCAGGGAAGTTAGGGAGTATAGAAGTACAGTGATTTAAGTTACTGAAATGGGGATTGCCTAAATGCACTGCTGTGTGCTTGGTTCTGGAATGTTCTGCAGCAAGTGTGATTGGTTAACTCTGGTCACATGGGAGGCATCTTATGACGTTTTCTTTTGTGCGTGAGTGAGTTGACCTTAATGGCTGCATCTCCACAAACGCCTAAGAAGAGACAGGGTTAGGTAACTGGAGTGCTAACATTTCTGTGTGAATGTGTACGCAACAGAAAGAAGAAGTACAGAAGTTGACGGTTTAAACTTTCAACCGGTTTCAGGCAATGTATTGATACATCGCTCAGGCCTTGATACGGTATTATTTTGTTTAAAGTGATCAACAAAGCGATATGGAGAAGTTTGGTTTGAAAAGTACAGTAACTGAAAGCATGCATGGCTCGGAAGTATATTGAAGGATGTAAGTAGTTGGAGCCGTCTTCAATGTTTGAAAAACTACTTCCTTTGCAATATTTGTAATAAGGCTATATATGTGATGTGACATCTGATTTATCTTTTTGCCAAATAATGTTATTTAATCTCTTGAGAGGAGATGTAGTCCAAGGAATTGGGCCGCTGAACACAAAGTCAAAATCAAAGAGTTTACAGAAAGTTTATAAGAGGCAAACTGGCTTTTCACCATCTAATGCTTAGGTACCGTATTTTTCGCTCCAAAAGACGTACCAGACCATAAGGCGCACCTAGTTTTGGGAGGAGGAAAACAAGAAAAAAATATTCTGAATCCCAGAAGCCAGAGCAGCAAGAGGGATCTGGCTTCTGGGATACCATGTGGCTGTTCTGGCTTCTGGGATAACTGCGCCAAGCCTCTTCAGGGCAGCGGGAGAGGGAGAGGGAGAGCTGCGCAGCGCCCCTTCAGCGAAGCTGGAGAAGGAACAGAAGGGGCTCCATCCTCCTCCCGCTTCGCTGAAGGGGCGCTGCGCAGCTCTACCTTTCTGCGCAGCGCCATTCGCTCCATAAGAAGCACTCACATTTCCCCTTACTTTTTAGGAGGAAAAAGGTGCGTCCTATGGAGCGAAAAATACGGTAGTTCTTAAAGTGATCATGGGGTGGAAACAGTGTCAAGGAGCTTGATGGGATGACTGCTGCGAGGTGACAGTTGCGGAAAAACGCCAAAGGCAGCTCTGAGCAACAGCGAGAGAATAACCCTGCTTCCTTCCTTTCTCTTTCTGCTCTGCAGCCTGGTGGAAAAATTGGCACTTGCTCAGTACCACGTATGTCTATTTCCAGATTGGTTAATTTTTAAAACGTTTCAATCTAAGCCCTGATGTTCCAGCCATAGTTTCATTTGAAGTCACACTGCATTGTGTGCCTTCAGACATAATTCTACACGCGTATTTCTCTCGTTGCTTTTCTGCATTCTGACTGCTAATGCAGAAGAAGTGTATTAGGGATGCTGCCAACAACATTTGGGTGTGTGTGTGTATATTCTAGGCAAAACACTCCAGACCTTGTTTTCTCAACTGGGCAGGAAGAGGGTGATTTAAAAGTGGGGAGTACAGAGTACCAACTTATGGGTCTGGGAAAGCCCGGACAAAAAGATGCATTTTTACATACAGTCTGATGCAACCGGTGGAGAGAAACTGTAATACGGAAATTGGCTCTGCCCCCAACCCACCCACATACCCCCAATTCATACCTGTGGGATTTTATAAATGCTCAGAATGGTTGAAATCAGGTTGGAAATAGCAGAGTCGCCTCCTTCTAGAACGGCCAGTTGCGTATTCTGTTTTTCACAGATGTAGTTTGGAACATTCTTCTGCCCACCAGACAGCAGGTCCAGCACAGCTTCATAAGTCGTTATTTCATGAAAATAGTTCTCGTAGAGGTTGTAGCCCAGAGTGATGTTGGGTAGGAGCCTGGGGTTCCTACTGATCTCGTGAATGGCAAACAAGAAAGGCAGGGTGTGCCAGTACCTTCGATCGTATACTCTGCAGCAAAATAGATGACATGAAATTTCCATCATCTAGTCAATAAATGTGTGTTAAATTGTCTGCATATAATATACACACACACACACACATACACACCTGCAGATATGCATTGATAACCAGTAGAAATATTTGGATTTTGTTGTGAGGACTCTATTGATGCTACCTCTGAATCCCAGGAATTGTCAGTTTTGATTTTATTAGTGCCCCCATTTATTGCTCATGGTTTCATGTAATTCTTTTTGGAAGCACCCTTGGGATTTTAGGATTAACAGCACAGCAGGATAACAAGGGAGAAGTACAGTAGGAACTGTATGCCTAGAATCATGCACAGTATTTACTTAGAAACATTGTACTGGAGTGGGAAAAGCATCATTATACAGAGTCCATGTTGGTATAGTGGTTAGGGTTGAACTAGTTAGACTCAGGTTCAGATCCCACTCAGCCATGAAAGCCATGGCCAGACTATATCTCATTCTGACCTAGCTCAAAGCATTTCAGTGAGGATTAAAAAAAGGAAAGGGGGAACAACTGCTACCCTAAATTCCTCTGAGGATATCTTTAATAAATAAGAATTCTTGGAAAATGCTGCTCTCAAGCACGCACTCCAGCCAATAGTACAAGGAACTGTCTGTCTTTCAGTATCAAATGAGGTGTTATAATGATAATTTCACTACTGAGCTAGCTTCAGATCTGGGAAGTTGCTTTTAAAATCTTGCTGGAGATTACTTCATCTATAGATTGAGGTGGCTGAAATTACAGTTGAAAACACTTGCAAAATCTCCTGTATATTTAATAAGGTTCACTGCATGGCAGTGTTCAAAACTCCCATTGTTCTAGGCATTTTGCGACAGGGAATTTCATTAGTGTGAGCAGTTTCTGAGCTCTGGGCGCAGTGCCACGCCTAAGGTTTCAGATTAAAACTGCAGAGTGGAAGGAAAGGAGGACCTTTTTCTGCCTCCCCACTTCCAGTTTGTCTCTGAAGACTGGAGAAGAGACCCTCTTAAAAACATTAGTGGCGTGGGCAGGGGAAGGACTAGACCCTGTGAAAAATGAATTGAATATTTTAGCTGCAATTCATTCATTTTCAGCTCTGTATTCTTGTTATAAAAATGTGCGCCTAGACATTCTCTTGTTGCACCCATAACCTAGGTTTAAGGTGCCATTTCCCCTAGCTTTCATATCTCATTTTCTAACACTGTTGTTAACACTGCTAACTCCACTATTCCAAATCATTCAAGGGTTTTTGTTTTTGTTTTGCTGTTTCTACAATACAATTAGGGACAGGGGTGGCACTGTGGGTTAAACCACTGTGCCGCTTGGGCTTGCCAATCAAAAGGTTGGCGGTTCGAATCCCTGCAACGGGGTGAGCTCCCGTTGCTCGGTCCCAGCTCCTGCCAACCTAGCAGTTCAAAAGCACATCAAAGTGCAAGTAGATAAATAGATACCACTCTGGCGGGAAGGTAAACGGCGTTTCCGTGTGCTGCTCTGGTTTCGCCAGAAGCGGCTTAGTCATGCTGGCCACATGACCCAGAAATACTGTCTGCGGAAGTGGACAAACTCCGACTCCCTCAGCCTTTAAAGCGAGATGAGCGCCGCAACCCCAGAGTCGTTCGCAACTGAACTTAATTGTCAGGGGTACTTTTACCTTTACGATACAATACAATTAATTCTTGAGTTGTGAATTCACCATACATTCCCTCTTTTAAAAAGCAGAGGACAATGTTTAATATCACATTGGAGCCAGTGGCATTTTCTAAACAGCAGCAGCAGCACCTTAGAGCACATCCAGCCACACTGAGTAGCCCATTGGGCAGCTACACTACAAACCGTGGGAAACAGTGGCTGGTGTTTCCTGGCTAGGCTGCGACATGAGAGACGCCTGGCTGTGCAGTACATTCCTCTGTGCACCCAGGAAATATGATTTCCCTGGTACCAAGCAAGGACAAGTTTGAGCTACGGTGTATTTGGAAAGACACCAGAAAAATGGGAGAGGATGAAATCTCAGTTGAGAGAAGCAGTAGTAAATTTGTATCTACAGAATAACGTACATTTCCAAAGCGTTAGAAGGAGGCGCGAAGAAATCATGCAACTGGGATATAAAAGTGCCTGTAGATAAGATACCAGTTATGCGGTGGTCTCCCGGCTTATAATAATTAATTACATCTTTTCGATCACTTATCACACTGAATTGGCATTTCCCCTTCAGCGTTGCACAGGACGAATGGGGCAGCAACAATAACAGCAAAACAATTAGGGGGAGGAGTGCCATCATTTCACTGTCTGCTGCTGCTGCAATCCTTTCTGCCCTGGCTGCTCTCAGCTGCAGATCTGTTGCAGCGCCTTCTTAATCCAGAAGTCCAGCTGCGGCTTCAGAATCACAGAATCAGACTCTTGGAGAGTTGGAAGGGACCCAAGAGTCCTCTAGTCCAACCCCCTGCAATGCAGGAATCGCATCTAAAGCATCCATGACAGAGGGCCATCCAGCCTCTGTTTAAAAACCTCCAGAGGAGGAGAGGCCACCACCTCTCGTGGGAATCTGTTCCACTGCTCTTAAGGGGCTAATATTAAACCTCACCTCCGCGTGGTCCCTGCCTGCCCTGAATCTGAGA